TCTTTAAATTAAAGAGTTTGTCTTGTTGAACGAGCTAATTTTGACAACATGCATGGCAATCGACCATCAGCAGTTAAAAAGTTCGCGATAACAGTGCCTATTATTTACGGTTGGCTCGCTCTTAACGGCTATCCGGGACGGGAGTCAAGTAGGTAGTTGTCCAACCGCCGACGATGAACGAAAACCGAATAGAATTTGAAAATATACACAGGTCGCCGAGCGGAGTGAAGCAACGTTACAATGATTTTATCATTGGATTATAACGAATGTTGTCTTGTACCAAAGCTTCTTTTTACAGACACACTAGACTAGAAAAACGACCGCTGGTGACAAGGCGAGCTTTTTGCGAAGGAGAACAGACAAACTTGATTGGTTCATTTTATGGTGAAATACCACAGTCATATAACATCTTTACAACAGACTCTGTGTATTTTGGCTTTGGAAAACCACAGACTGACACCGAAACGCGATTAAAGTTGACGAATTTTTCATCTGTGGACGGTGGTTTGTAACCCGGATGGAATTCAATATTCTTACCATGCATTAATATCCAGATGTCCAGGCGAAGTCCAACAGTCAGGAAAATTATAAATTGATTAGAAACATGTTGTATTCGATAGGAATCGAATCCATGACCCGTTGAACTGACATTGCTACTATACACCAACGTGCCCGTCGAAAATATTTATAATTATAAATTATAATAATAATATGTCGTGTGTTGATTCATCGCCGGCAGTCGATCTGTCTCAGTCTTAGACTATTTTAAGTAACTAATAAATAGCGGTTAATTTCGTAAGGCTAGTATTGAATAATTAGGAAAATTAATACATACTAATAAAGCTGAAGAGTTTGTTTGTTTGAACGCTAATATCAGAAACCACTGGTTCCAGTTGAAATTAAGATTGGCTTGGGATTTGGCTATAAAACATCCCGCTGTGATTAATAGTAGTTAATAAACAGCGGGAAATGTGAAAAAAAAACTGGGAAAATTATTCATATTTGTGGGTTTCCGCTGCGAAAACAATTCAAGATACCCAAAAAATATGTATAAAAGAATGATCTCTCTTTAAATTATTAAAAAAAAAATGTCCGCAACACTATATGTCTATTTTTTAAGATTAACTTAGAAGGACGACAGGACGCAACGTCCGTAACAGATTAAATTTATAAAGATGAATTTTTGTTTGCAAAGCTTCTCGGTTTTCAAAAAAAAAGTTGGATGCCCAAAATAATTATTCTACAGTTCTCTCCAAACCCTTTGCCCGGGCTGAAGTTAGCGCGATTGCCATATTGCGCATGGTACTATCAATTTTAAGCAAAAAGTCGAGCTGCCCTGCACCCGCGTACCCCTTTGTCTCAACTGATACCTGCTTTTTGCGTTCCGTGCAACCAAACGCGCTAACTTCAGCCCGGCCAAAAAGTTTGGAGAGCACTGTACGCGGACAAAGTCCCTGACACAGCTAGTATAGCATAAGTATATGTTATTTATACCCATGATATGTAGTTGACGTGGCTCATTACCGTTTCAATTAAAACCAGAATGTATTATATATTGTTCATTACCAGCAGTTTGTACTACGGATGTTCAAAATCACTGCAGCAAACTAGTGTTTATCGTAAACGTTTACAGCTCGAACATAAAGCTTGGATTACACAGCAGCAATAAAACTAGCTTTACCTGTTATCTAAAAATAACCATTAGTACATTTGAGACAAGTTCTTCGCTTTTTAACGATTCTGTTGCTCTAGTTTTCTTTGATCTCCCTTTATTATAGAACTCGTAGTACATGAAACTTCTATTTTTAACAAATTTTTATTGGTTTTCATATTTATGAACTAGCGCTGTATTTGTACTAAACGCTAATGATATAAATAAATAAGTTGATGTACCTCTTAATAAACTCTAAATAAATACATTTTACATAAGTGTACCTAGTTATTTACATAGTTGGAGTTACACATTTAGGCAAAAAAAACACTTTAACGTTTGAAAATAAAAATAATAATTAGTAAACAAGTGAGACTTATATATTTCGTGTTTTAAACAGTTAAAATGTTTTATTTTGCTAAAGTATTTTTGCCGTTGCCGTTTGGAAATATTTTCTGTGTGAAATTATTTAGAGAATACCTCAAGGATGAAAGTAAATAAAAAAACTTAATACTCTACAACTAACTTCGGTCCTTGCGGTTTTACATAGATAAGAAAACTGAACTCCCCTTGCCCCGTCATGGGCATGGGACGAACACATTTCTGGGTCCATTTCACTGATCGGTTCTTCGATACCACTTATTGTTTTCTTAGGCCTCGAACCCAAAACCTCTCACGCTTTACGCAATGCTAAGCAACACATTTAACCATCTAGCTACAGAGGCGGTCACGACTAGGTTTAATCAATTGTTTGTATTCGCTTTTACAGCCATTGTGTCCTTATCTTAAGTTCATACATTGCACTGGCGTTAGTCCAAGTGCCGTAAACGTATCGACCGCGTCTCAGGAGACAATCTATAACTAAATTGCTATGGAAATATGATTACTGAACGGCTTATAAAGCGCAAATGGTTAACTTCAGATTTTCACATGCGTTATCTGTGCAGTCTGTAGAAAGATGTTATAGTTTTAAGGTAGAACATCGTAATTATTATTTCTACAAATTGTTGTAAATTAAAGTGAAGTTCTAAATCATCCTTTTAGGTATAGGAAATTGGAGTTTTGTAGTATATCTGACATTATTCTCCATAATAAAGCTGAAGAGATTGTTTGTTTGTTAGTCTCAGGAAATACTGCTAAGAATTGTAAAATTCGTATTAGGGAAGGCTTTAGGCTATAAAACATCTCGCTCCGACCGACGCGAAGAAACACTGGAAAATGTGAAACAAACGGGGAAAATTATTCATCTTTGAGAGTATTACCACGGCTGCTGCAAAGTATCCGAAATATAGAGCCGTAGTTGAAATAAAAATGAACTAATATGTTTCGCGTTTTTAACATATAAAAGTGTTTTATTAAAATGTGCACTACTGGCGTAAACTACAGACAATGCTTTATATTACGCGATAATGCCTAAAAATTCAATTAAAGAATATTGTAACACACTATTACTTATAGGGACAAGAAGGTACCGCGGCTCAGTGGTTAAAGACATTGAGTTATTATAAACACTTTCAATCGGACGGGTACAGAAGTCGGATCAACCCGCAAATAAAAACAACGACTATAAAATGTACTGTCTATAGTTTACGCGAGTAGTACACATTTAAGTCTCCCCGTGACCACGGCTGCTGCGGAGCATCCGAAACGTCGGGCCGAAGTTAAAAATCATTTTCAAATAAGTTTAACTAATATATCGCGTTTTAAACCGTTAAAGTGTTTTATTTAAATTTAGACTAAAAAATGTGTTGCCCCTTACTCCATTTTAGAGAATGGAGTGATGAAATTTACTGTAGTTCCACTCGGGCCACTTCAATAAGGCTTTAAGAAAAAAGCCTCGGCGTAGCCTAAATTGTTCAGCTGCTATATTCAAACTGTGGATAGTTATTATTGGTGCCTTCAAGTCATCAGCATTAAAGCATACGGTTATGCACGGGCTAGGTCGTTTCAAGGGATGAGAGCCACGTGAGGTCGTTATGCAGAGATGCGACAATGTGCCATATCAACTCGGGAGGGCTTCATGCAATCGATGTAATGCAATTAACTACTTACATCATATAGTTGAACGTTAACCGATTACTGACAAGTATATTTTTATGCTAAAATGCTTTTTAATTTTTAACATTGCATTTTCTCTAAGTATCTTCTATTAATGTTTGAAAACATCAATATTTTTCACATGTTATTGCACATGAAGGCACTATATAATTTAAAAATCGAAAATAATCAATTTATTTTTTTACTATTAATATAATAATAGTTTTCGTATACGTTTGTAACTTATATACGAAAAGGTTTCAATTCTCTTATTACAAGATTATATGAAGTTGCTGAAAAAACATGATTTTTAATAAGGAGGAAAATATAAAAGCGCAATTCACTTAGGCTAAAATGAATTTGTATTAATATTTGTGAAATAATTATCTTACCAATTTTCGGTCACTGAGTTCTTTAAGACTATGACAATATAAATAACTCAAGTAATAACATTGCAGTTAGGCTACTCTGCCTCTAGCGACCTAATCTAGCTTTAACGTAACTTGTCTTTTTGGATAGGCGGAAGGATTACATCGTTCTACAAAGATGAAGATGCGCTATTTCAATGGTTCAGTGATGAGAGTTAAATACTTTATTTTCAGTTCATTGCCCTAACAAATTGAATACCACAGCGATCCTGCCAAAAATAAGTCGCATTATTTAAGGTCGAAGTTGCACTGGCAACACTCCAGACAATAGTAGATTAGATATTGCGTTTAAAATTATTGCCGCTACTCATTCACGTCGGATGTTTTATATCCGGGATAAACATTTATCCGTGGTTTTAGGGTGGCGTTGGAATTAGATAGCGATTTTATACCAGATACATAGATCTATATCTCATATCTAGATACCAAAAGTACTTACTAGCTATGGGTTATTTCAATAAGTATACTAGGTACCTTTCCCTCCGTTCCTAATCCGTTTATTAAAACAAAGACTTGAAAATAACTTTTAATCGAAAACCAAAGAAATCCTGACATTAATATACAAACTACACATATTTTAATGATTAAAAAACACATTTCTAGTTTTCATTTTATAGACTTCATCTCTGATTTGACATTAATTATTACTGTTTTATGTTTGATTTTCATCAATACAAGTTCGAAATCTGTGGCTTATAACCAGCCTGCTGTATAATTAATTTTCATATTTATATTATTAAGATAAGCCTTTTGCATAATAAAGAACTTAAAAAGCCGAGTCGAATTTAGAAGCTCCTTTTTTAAAAGTCGAACAAAAGGGTAGGTTAGTGACAGAGTGTGCAATAACAAAAAAAAACAACTGATAAAAACACTTTATTTGCCGTCTAATCGTACAATAATCCATACTCAATATCGTATTCTAGATAATCTGGAGACCTACCACTTCTCCTCGTATTCAAAAGCTCCCTTAATTCAGGATATGCATTCATCAAGAGCCTAACATTCTTCTTACTTATCGTCCCATTTACCACAATATCTCTAAAAGTAGAATTCTTTACATATGCCTCGTTCATTCCCTTTATTTCATTCAACCTCTTCTGTAGAGCTGCGTCTATTTTAATCATTTCCATTTCGTGAATATCTTTCACAGCCTTCCTATCCTTCTTGTACTTCTTCTTCATTTCTTTAATGAACTTCTTCAATTGTTTCGTCTTCTTCTTCCGCGCTGTGGTGCCGTTTCTAAACGATCTATTTAGTATTTTAGTGATTTCGCGAATTATTCTTCTTATATCTCTTTTTATTTTGCGCTTTCGTTTCAAACGTTCTCGTCTGCGTCGTTTCTGTTCTCTTTTCTTTTTCCGACGACGTCGCTCTTTTGAACCCCTATCTCGATTACGTTTTTCTTCTGTGTCAGTGGCTAGACTCGAATCAGCGAAAGATACATCAAAGCCAGTATAAAGATCGTAAGTGGTCATTTGTAGAGCGCAACAGACGAACTGACTTCGACCACAGAAGTAATCGCCACGATAGATTCTGTATTCGGCTTCACATTCCATTGGCAACATGCAGGAACCCCACGGAGTATCATGTTGGTTGGGATCTCCACAAGGCACACCCCATGGTCCTTTTATGAAAGAATAATAATATACATTAAAATATATACAATATTTTTAAGGATGTTCATTTAACGGGATAAAGAATGTAAAAAGAAGATACTAGTGATATCCTTTTTTGTCGTGCTCCATTGTAATGTTTTTATTTAAATGACAAAATCGTTGAATATATAATCAGAAGGCAACCTGACACAAATTTAATATTAGAATCCTGCACCAGACAGAAACACGAGCAGAAAAATATGTCTTGCTAATTACTTACTTAAACTACTCTTACGGGTAAATTCCTACAAATATAGCTAGCTTTTAATAGTTGAATATAGCAAAGAGATCTGGGATGAGAAAAAGCTTACGTGCCGCAACCATATTAACCATATCTCCTTTTGGTATAGATGAGTTAATGGCTTCAAGTTTTTTCAATAGCCAATGTTCTTTCCATTCCTCTTTCCAATTTTTCCCCTCTAAACTGGAACTTGAAATACTATCGGTTTCGGGACTATATTTTCTTCTGCCATTCATATTCTTGATAATATTAAGTACGGGGTCCTTACGATAAATTTGTTTATCAATTTTAATAGCTTTCGCGACAGCAGGATTCAAAATAAACTCGTCGTTTTTAGTTTTGAAAACTTTCATGTCTTCTTTCTTCTGAGCTAATTTCACATAATTTATCTCAGGTCTTTTAAAATGTTTAATTCTATTATTCTCGTGTAACAGTTTTCTCGCTGAGCGTGCATTTGATAAGACGTCGTCTTTCACGTTAGAATAGATAGACGACTCTATTGAAGCAAAATACGTTAACATAAAAACACAGAAAATAACTTCCTTCATCGTTACTACATTTCTACGTGAGATAAATATTTTATGTAACTAGCAACTGTTATTAAGTTGGGTATAGTTTATATTGCATATTGTATATTTGCAATATTGTAATAAAAATGTTTTTTATTACAATATCGTATTGTATACGATTTAATCTATATAGTTACTACTCACAAAGGTTAGGCACGTAAGACTTACTTAAGAATTTATATTTTTTATGGATCTGGGATAGTAGAGAGGCTCTACTAATCTTCTTTGGTGGGAAGGAAATAACATAAACTAAAATATTTCAATAATTTCATTTGTCAAGTCAAGTATTTTGACCAAGTTTGGATGATTTATAGTGCAACGATAAGACAAATCAACATCAATAGTTCCCGTTATAAACCGTTAAATGTTAAAAAGTAATACAACTTCTACTTAAATATGTTAGTTAAAAGCTAGCTTCTGCAAAAAATATCCTTTATGATAAAAACATAAAATTCGTCCCACGTAGTAGGTAAGCACTTTATCAGTGGTCGAAAATGTACAAAATTCGTTTTATTTTAAAACAAGGATAGCATTTGAATTTGATTTATAGCGCGCTGTATTCATGCATAATTCATGACATTTTTATCTACCGCGTATTGAGAATCTCTACCGCAGGTCTGTGACAACGAAAACTTTTATTTGGAAAATTTAAATTCACTTCCAGGTCTGAATTGTTTGTATTTTGAACATAAAACAATACTGACCATACGGAACGGGAAACAATGGAAAACTATGTCCATATATAATGATAATCAGTTAGTGTAAAAACGACATTAGTTTTTAAATTATTTGAAAATTCTTAATTAAAAATACGATACGGGCGGAACTTGAACCATTCCACGACGTTCCGTGGATTATGAAAAAAAATATTACAATTAGAATATTTCGATGGGATATGGGCCCAGGCCACCTGTTTTATTTTCTTGTCTAAGTACAAAAAATAATAATTCAGTATTTCCACAAACTCAGTATAAATTATTGCATATACTTAAGTATCTACCCACATTAAAAATATTGAAAGAAAAAAAAAAACAATTTGTAGAAACACATCTTGAGGTAATAAACTTCATGAAAATCATTTTTTTATTACAAATATTTACTAACATTAAAATTTTATTTTTCAAAAATGAACCTACATAAATAGCTGATATATACCTACTATATTTACACACAGTACAACACAAGCATATAAGATCTTAAGATATAAAAAAAAAGTCTCATAGAGTCAAATAAGTCCATCATAATTGAGGAATCCTAATACCTGGAGGATGTTGTTAGACTGAGCCAAGGCTTGACGGATCATAATATATTATGTTGTAAGAAAATAACATTACTATGATATTACTTCCACTGTGGCTTCTGGTCTCTCTAACCAAATTCTATTGTCTTTGTTTTTATCAACTAAAAAGTTCCTTTCGGTATTACATATCTTACAAATGTGCTGAATATACTTTGAATTGTTTTTACATTTAATTCTCACTTTTCTTGTTGTATTGGTGAATACAGATTTGCACTTTTTACAAATTTGTCTTTTAATGTCTGGATGTCTGAAAGAAACATATGAGTTACCGTGACATTACAATATTCCTGTACCAAAAAAAATTATATTATAAATACATTGTTAGTTAACTTACATTTTTAGAACACCCTTTTTGGCAATATTAATGATCAAGTTGCCATAGTATGAAGATAATGCCGGATTAATAGTCGACATCTCTTTAGCAATCTGTTGATTTATATTGAAGTTATTACAAAAAATACTACATTATTTGTTATTTTATCTAGTTAGATTTATTTTTACAAACTTACTTGATATAAGAAATTAATGCGCTGAAAAGAATCATTTCCTTGAACTTTCTTCATTCCTTTCAGTTTTTTAACTTAGAATATTCTCTCTGATTTTAATGTAAAATCATAAAATGATTTGAAAATTCAAAACAGACTGCTGTTTTTGACAACGAGCCAACCGCAAAGCACGTGAAAAATGACAGCAGGAAAATCTAATTCTTTTGACATTGACAACTGACTGCACGAAATAGCAAAATAACCTAAGATTTTGTCAAACTGTTGTAATCAAAATTCTTTAGATTTAACACATATTTATGAACTAAAACCAATAATTCAATTATTATAAACTAAAAGCATATTTTCAAATGTAATATATGAATCTAAAGTGTTTCCTTTAGTTTATAATTAATGCCATAAGACTGTTACTAGTATCAAAATGTTCAAACACCGAGTACTTCTATCAAAAAATCCTTTTAAATATAAATATCGGAAATATTTCTCTACTAAAACTGATGCAGCAGAAATTGATGTACCTTTTACTAATGGGTAAGCCTTACTTTTTTGGTATTTATTCGGTTATTTATTGTTTGTATTTTGGTTGTATTGTATTTTGGTTATTATAATTTAACATTCTTTATATTTACAGAACACGGTTAAAACTTTCATCAGGGCGCTATGCTAGATTTGCGGATGGTGCTTGTGTGGCCACTCTAGGCAATACTAGTGTACTCTCTACAGTAGTGTCAAAAGCTAAGCAAAGTAGTGCTTCCTTCTTACCACTTGTAGTAGATTATAGGCAAAAAGCAGCAGCTGCAGGCAGAATACCAACAAACTTTTTAAGGAAAGAATTAGGTAAATTTTCAATTCTTTATTTCAAATCCTATATTAATCTTAAAATAATCTGTTGAAACCTGGATTTCCTCTCCAATAAAGGCCTTAATCTCCGTTCAGACAAAAGCCTGCCTTTTCGTTTTCCCCCCCCCCCCCCCGGGTTTTCTATTTCCCCCCCGCGTGGGGGGGCTCTAAATTTCTGTAGAATTCCCCCCCCCCCCAAAAAAAAAAAACATCCCCCCCCCCCCCCCCCCCCAGATTCCCCCCCCCCCCCCTTTTTTTTTTTTTTTTTTTTTTTTTTTTTTTTTGTTTTTTTTTTTTTTTTTTTTTGGTTTATTTTTTTTTTATTGTTTATTATCCTATTTTGGAAATTAGAGTTTAGTAAAGTTAGCTTTTCTCTCCATGCTACGAATTTTCATACACGTTGCAGAAGAGTAGCTGTTTGTAGTTACTTCCACTATATTCTGTTGTTTTGTTTTGTGACAATAAAGAACATTTGTATTTGTATTAATCTTCAAAATAATCCACTGAAACCTGGAATTGTTTATTATCCTATTGGAAATGAGAGAGAATTCATGTTATCATTGTGTTTTAAGTACTTTCTTCATACTACCTAATCCAATTACCATATATTGTTTTTGCAGGTCCAACTGAACGTGAAATTCTTACATCCAGATTAATAGACCGTTCCCTTAGACCACTATTTCCTCAGAACTATAACTTTGATACGCAGATAGTGTGTAATATGTTAGCAGTGGATGGGACCAATCTCCCAGAGACAGTAGCAATTAATGCAGCTAGTGCCGCATTGGCACTGTCTGATGTACCTTGGAATGGGCCAATTGGTGCAGTAAGGTAAAAATAAAAACACTTATTAAAGATTTTTCACTTTCTTTTTAAATATTTTTAGGAATCAGAAGCAGATTTACTAAAATAAAAACAAAATAACACAACAACTAAATAAATTTAAATTCAACAAAATCCTATCGACCGGGCGGCACGTCTGTTCCGTAAAACAAGCGGTAAAAAAGTGTAGGAGCCGTTGCTTGAGGCTTGTTTATATAGCCTTCAGTGTGGCAGGTAGTTGAGCTTTTCTGATAATTTCCAACAATATACATTATTATATAGATGTATGGACCTCTGTGTCAAATCTATCATTTCTGTTAGATATTAATTTTATACTTATTTTTGAATACAGGCTTGGTTTAATAGATAATGAAGTCATTGTTAATCCAACCCGCCGTGAATTGGAACAATCCAATCTTAACCTTGTTGTGACAGCTGCTGCTACAAATTTGGTAGTAATGCTTGAAGGTCATGCAAAAGATATCCTTCAGCAGGATCTTCTAAAAGCAATTAAATTAGGTATGAATGTAAGTCTGAATTTTGTATTATTTTAAAATAACTTTGTTTAATATTTGCCACATGATCATGCAGTGCCAGCAATAAAATTCTTCTAATACTCTGAATTCTTATTTCCATTGTCTCCTTCACCCAGTATGCTATTTCTATAATAAAGAATTATTTCCAGGTACAAAAGAAGCTCAACATATTGTAAGAAGCATTGAGAAACTGCAAAAAGATTATGGCAAGATGAAAAGGGAGTATGAAATTCCCACAACCATAGAACAAAGCATAGTAGATTCTATCAAAACCTTATCTACTATGAAAATTAGAGAAATATTGAGGTAAATATTTATCGAATTTGATATTTTGTGAAAGTATGTGTGTGTAAAAAAATATTATTATGTGTAACAATCAGGTCAGGTACTTAGATAGGATGACCCAACCATAAGATTTCGAAATTGCGCCCGTGTCTTGAACCACCATCGACTGTTGAAAAAGCCGTGAAAGTTAATCACGTTTCGGTTTCAGTCTGTGGATTTCGCAATATCCAAAGCTAAAATAGGGAGACAGAGCATCTTGTTTCGATGCTATAGACAGGGTTCACCTATGCATCAAGTGGACCTAATGCTTGTCTGTCCCCCTGTATCATTAAAAAGATATCTAATAATAATAGTCACCATCGGGCTTATAAATGTATGTTGGGTTAAGGAATAATTAGAAAGTGTTTTTTAAATCTTTGTTTCTTACTTCAGTGACTTCAGTCATGACAAGATATCACGAGACAATGCTATATCAGAACTACGTCAGACAGTACTCAACCAGCTGCGAGACTCGGAAGTTGATGTTGGGAAGCTGCAAGATTGCTTCAATGGCCACTTGAGACAGATCTTCAGAGATCTGATCTTTGAAACCGAGACACGATGTGATGGCAGAGGACTGAATGATTTAAGGAATATTTCCTGTGAGGTAAGCTGTTTTATTATTCAAAATGTATCTTTGAATCCGTTGCTTACTTTTTTACCGGGAACATAGGAGTTTTTTTTATAATGATTAAAATAGTTTCATCATTGTTAATACACTTATCATACGATTAAGTTATTTTCAATTTTATCTTATAGGTATCTTTATATGAGCCACTACACGGCAGTGCACTATTCCAACGAGGTCAAACTCAAGTATTGTGTACCGTGGCGTTTGATTCTCCAGAAAGTGCCCTAAAAATGGATCCTCTTACTATGATCACAAGGTAAATTTCAATAACAATAATTATTTGGTTAATTCATCTTCTTTAATACCTGGGAAAATTAAAATAACACTGATAACGAAAGAAATCTGAAATGCAAATATTAAAGGTAGCAATGATTTTTTAATTTTCATCAAACACATAACATATTATATGACACATAACTAACTTAAAAAAAATATATGCCTTATTGTATTTTAATCCTGGAGAAACATCATAACCTACATATCATTTCACGGTCATCGTCCACCTTTTCACATTGATTGCTCGAATTGTCGATAGCTCGAAGAATTAAATTATATTAATTCTTTGAGCAATCGAGGAGTTAACATCTCCTGAAGATGTTAACTCCCCCCGTCCACTCGTGATGGCGAAACGTCGAGAACCTCTTCTCGCTCACGTCAGCCGAACAGCCTGAAAGACAATGATATGGTGAACGATGACCGTAAAAGCCTTATTACCGTAAAACAATTTATTACACCATAACCTGTTTTGGATCTAAAAGTCTTACAATTTGATATAAAAAATATATACATAAATGCGTCACATAAAGAATAGTAATTCTTGTTTTCAGTGGCATAAAAGAAAAAAGTTTTTTCCTTCACTACGAATTCCCTTCTTACGCAACGGGGGAAGTGGGTCGTACGGGACCTGCTGGACGCCGCGAGATGGGGCATGGGGCGCTCGCTGAAAGGGGGCTTATGCCGGTCGTACCCCAACACCCTTGCACGGTGCGGCTAACTGCTGAAGTGTTGGAATCAAATGGTAACATGAAATCCTATTTTACCTATAAGACACTTGAATTGAACAGACGAATTTCTGAGCCAGTTTCACTGATCGATTTTAAATGAAACGGTTTAAAACGCAACTGTAAAGATTTCGAAACGTCGGCCGTAGGCCGTAGTAAACTTCTGTGATCCATCCGATCGAAACTATACTCTGGGATTCGGACCTAGATCCCCCCTACTTAACGCAAAGCCCTTAGCCAAAACAGTGGTCAGGGCGGACCTTCAATTCATCAATTGTCGCTTTCAGGATCGTCATCTATGGCCTCCGTGTGTGGTGGTTCGCTAGCTCTGTTAGACGCCGGAGTCCCTCTTACAGCACCCGCGGCTGGAGTAGCCGTGGGACTGGTATCGAGGCCAGATGAGCGCGGGAATATCGAAGATTATAGAATACTTACCGATTTGTTAGTAAGTCTAGAAATACTGTTTACGATTTAAAAATCTTTATTAATCAAAAATTTACATGACTTTTTGAGAAAATACAAATTGTTATGAATAAATAGGCCCTTTTTTATAAATTCATGCTATCAATTAAAAGCATTAATAAGTAAATAATATTATGGTATTTTAAAACACTATGCAGTTATATATACAGGTTGAGAATCATAATATTTTGTTAATAATAGGGAGTAAGTAATAAGTAGAGTAATAAAAAATATTAACAGTCTGCAGCTAAATAGTTAAACATGATTTGCATTAAGCACGAGAGGTTCGAATCCTGGGAATATTTCGGTCGGGCAGGGCACAGAAGTCTGATCAACTACTTGTATGTAAAGGAAACCGATCAGTTTATCGAACACAGAAGTATGTTTGCTTCATGGCCTAGGGGTGGGAAATGGGTTTTCACTTATTCTTACGTAACAATATTGGGACTAGTAGCGCTCAGAATATTATTAAAGTATACAATAAAATTACAAGAAACTGAAATATAGAGATTAATGATGTTTAAAGTTTCCGCATGTACAACATAATCATTGCGTCCTCTAGGGTATAGAAGATTACATGGGCGATATGGACTTCAAAGTAGCGGGAACAAAAAAGGGAATCACCGCCTTACAAGCAGACATCAAGATCGCGGGACTTCCCCTCAAAGTCGTCATGCAATCAATCGAAAAGGCGTGTGATGCGAAAAGCAGGATTATCGATATTATGAATAAATGTATCGATAAACCAAGGTTAGTAATAATTATAATCGATGTTACAGAAAACATTAAATAAATGGGTTCTATAAAAATAATTACTTACTGGGAAATTTTTTTTCGTTTTTTATTTCTTTTGATTTAGTTACAAACCGTAACTATTTTTGCTTTACAATTTAGTCCAGCCTTTAAATAACTTTAATAAATATACCTCAATAGAGAAGTGAATAAAGAGAACATGCCTGTAATGGAAGAGTTAGAAGTGGAAGCTCACAAACGTTCCAAGTTACTTGGTGTGGGGGGAGTCAATCTCAAGAAACTATATGTGGAAACTGGAGTTCAGGAATGTTATTGTTAATAAGACATTTATTTATTTGACGGGTCCAACATTTTTCTAAAATTTATTCTGAAACACATGACTTCATCTCGAAATCTGGATAATAAATGGGTGGTAGGAATATCGAAAACTTCGTCCGGGTCACGAACTACTTTCCATAGATGAAATAGCCGTACAGTTCGGTTTCAGTCTATGCATTTCCGAATATCCAAAGGTCGACAACACATCTTGTTGTGCTGTTATATGGCTGGCGTATTAAACCAATGTATACAATCAAGTACACCTTATGCATTTCTGTCCTCTTAAAAAAGACATCACAAGAAGTAACCTGTGCTATTAATAGTGTACCTTAAATCGTATTTTTAAAAAAGACATCACAAGTAAACTGTTCATATTACAAAGTATACTTAAATAAATCGTATTTTTCAGATCACTCCTATAGACGAAACAAAGTACAGCGTATTTGCGCCATCTCAAACCGCAATGGACGAGGCGCGTGCGCGCATAGCAGGCTGGATCGCGGCTGAGAGAACCCCCGAATTAGAGTTTGGAGCGATTTATACTGCTAAGGTTTGTAACATCGATGAGTCCCTTTCATCCATCAATTTTACTTGTAGGCAACGTGGTCACCCTTTTCGCTCTTCCCAGTAAAACGCAGTGTATCGTGTATTCTCACACAAGTACAAGTTACTTACTTGCAGTTCCACTTAGAACCAAATTTTTTTAGTTCTTGCTTACGTTAAGATAAAAGTAATTTTCAATTAAAGTTTGTGGATTTCCGAATATCCAAAGCCAAAAATAGGTCGACGTTGCATCTTGTTTCAGTTACTTCTATCATAAAAAAGGATATAGTTGAAATATTGTTAGATATCTGTGTAGGAGGTCAACTTATTGTATTGGAAATTTTTAATATTGGCTTGTTACCAATATATTGTTAGTAAAAACTGCACTGCACTAAATTTCACGATCATAATCTTAATTTATTTCAGGTTGTAGAAGTACGTGATATTGGGGTGCTAGTCACTCTGTATAGCGGTATGTCTCCGGCATTAGTTCATAATACCCAGTTGGATCACAGAAAGGTAATTTAGTTTATTTCGTACTATTATTATAAATATTATTCGTATTGAAATGTGCCCTGAGACATTATCTAATAATATATAACATCTCCCATCTTATATGAGTAAATATGGAATGGTTTATTCTTATTTTAATATTATTTATTGTTAATACCTAAGAACTTGCTTCAATCATTTGTTCCTTTAAAGTTATATGGTATACGACTATGAGGTGTAGGACTCGGTAGCTCAATTGGTAGAGCAACAACACGAAACGCTGAAGATGCCGGTTCAAGTCCTGCCCGAGTCGATTTTTTTTTTTCGATTTTTAAATTATATTGGAAACAAAAGCTTTTACTATTAATAAAACTACAGATATTTTACCTTCCGCACCTCGGCTGCTTAATCGATTTTTATGAAATTTTAAAGATATTTTAAAAATTCAGAAATGTGTGTATTTCTTACAGATAATGCATCCATCCGTATTAGGTCTTGATGTAGGAACTGAGATACAAGTAAAGTACTTTGGACGAGACCCGGTTTCGGGGCAGCTTAGGCTTTCTAGAAAAGTTCTTACCTCACCGCCTCCCGGGATCGTCCGTAAGTTAGACAAAAGCTAGGATTAAAAATATATTATGTTCGTTATGACAAAACCTATTATGAAGAAGAACATAGAATGTTCTGGATATCTTCAATATAACATTTGTAATGGTAAAATTTCAGTTGTGGCAAAAATATTTTTAAATTGTATATACGTAGTTATTACAAATTATTATACCAAAGTGTATTTATTTTGCCTACAAAAACAATGCTGTAGTAATAAAAAATATTTTCTACTTTTATAGTTTTATTGTAAGAAATAATCTGTACAATCTATGAAAATATATTGTATCACAAAAGGACGTTATTTCGAAGGCACTACAGTACATTTGTCCAGGGATTTAACGCTATGTTATACATACACATACACTCAGTACATTTTTAGTATTAATAACTGACCCCTAGGCTTAGAACTAATCAAAGTGATCGTCAAAAAGTAAGGAATATTAACAGTACTTGCGACTACCCTCGGTAGACGAAACAAAATTCCACATTAATACTTGCAGTCTTTGATTTCGTTGTGACTACCAGCATTAAATAACATTAATAGCTATGTACATTATTCGATGAAACTATGAATAAAATTCGAATAGGAATACTCTGGCCAGAGCGAAGAATTAATAACTAACACAGTGCGAGTAAATACAGTGGCAATTTTCCGGCACTCGAATTGACATATTCATTATAGGTTCTTTACACAAGTATAATATAAGAACAAATAACGCAAGCAAAATGCCGAAGTAACAACTAGCATCCGCTATGAGCAGTCATAACGAATGCCTCCCCGCAAGAAATAGTCACACATTGTCTAGCATAACCTATTGTAAACAACAAAACGTAACTACAGACTAAAAATGGGCACTACAATAAATAAATTTTACAGGAAGTGTTAACATGTACAAGCCAGCTATAGATTTAAAATCTGTAGTTACATTTGTCATATGTAAAATGAGATCAACGTGACTATTGTTGCCACTATATTCGTAAATACAGGAAGCACGTGCACCATAAACAATACAACATAAAAAGCTATAGAATAAACAAGTTCTGTACTACCATAAACAAAAATATCTATAATATAATCTGTATTATGCACATTTCGAATGGCGTTTATAACGTTCAGGTACACCTAACCTAAACTTAACCATAACAACATTATAAATAACTTAAAATGTTTTTAATAAACGAATTACAGTTGCCAATATAAAAAGCGACATTAAACTTATAATTAGAGAGGCATTTCACTTTGTCTAGTCTTTCATTTGGGTGGCAAGAAATGGATAACAATTGTTAGTAATAGCCTCATATTGCCATGTTCTCGGAATTGCGAAAATTAGAAGTGGTTTGGCACGTTCATCATTAAAATAATCCAACCAATAAACTATCCAATTCACTGAACGTTTGATTATACTTTTCTGTTATAAAATATTGCTCTATCCCATTCCAAGTATCTTTGCTTTATTCAACTGGTCAAATAAATTACCTAAAAATTACATCTCTATCAATAGGTAACATTCATTTTCGTCAATACATTATAATTCATGGGACAACAATAGTATATGCTTAATAAAGTAATATCAATAATTCAATATTTTCTTACGCCCATAGGTTGGTGTATAGTCCGTATAAATATTACAACTCATCTATTATCATTGTAGCTGAGTATATAAATTATAGTACTGTCAAAATTATTTTGAAATTTTCTTAGAAAACCTATATAGGGTTTTCTTCAATTTATTTTTACAATAAAAGTCGAGACATTATAACATCGTTCTGAAAAGGGACCAATGGTACCGATACATTGATTTTCATAAAAAAATGGCATATACTAGAATATATGGGCATATAAAGAGCACTTTATTTCGAAGAAATAAAATGTATTTAAAGCCATCTTAAAAATGTTAACTTTAAGGTTGCTGCCAAAATTATGCGTCAATTCTACCTACACGCACGCAATCAAATGTGGCGGTATTTTGTATTTTATGTTCATTCAAAATAAGAATTCAATGAAAATCAATTTATCACTTCGTCCACTCACTGGCTTAGTCCGAATAACTTGAGTGCGTTGAAGGCAGTGGCGAGGGCGACGTCTTCCGGCTTTTCAGCTCTGAATCCCGCCACCAGTTCCACAATTGCTGGAAGGGCGCACGGCTCGTTCCGCTGAAATGTGCAGTATCTGTGCACGAAGTTTTGCGATCTGTAGACAGAGGGGATAATTGAGCAATGGGTTTACTTGAGGAAAGATGAAATTTCCGTTAACAACACCTGTATTGTTATGAAACTTCATAAATCATAATAGTTATAGAACCATTTAGTTTTTTTTTTAACCCAGTCGCCCGTGCCCAATCGTTTGGATAGATATTTTTAGAAAATAAAGAATTTGTATTTGAATATCTGGTGGTTTATCATAAGATCTGCATAATTTACGACACTTACCAACCTCCTCTCTCTCCCTCACTACCATTCATGACTCCTTCTCATATAAAGTAATAATTGAAGCCATGATATATTTCTAGTTAACGGAAATAACAAGTGATACATCTCACAGTGTTACCTCTCAGTAAGCGAATCTTTCACGTGCAACGGCAGTTTTGAAGCTCTTATATTCGGATACATGAACGGCGAATCCGTCTCCACCAGTAACTTGTCTAGGGGCAAAATCCTCTCCGACAGCAATCTTCTAATTCCTCCATCGGACTTATCCTTACAAATGTAACCCGTTATTCCAATGTAAAAGCCCTTTTCTATATATCTTATACCCTGTTCGACGGTACCGGTGAACGAGTGGATAACGACTGGCGGTAGTTTGTTACCGAATTCGTCTAAAATCGTTAATAGATCATCTTGTGCTTCTTTTTCATGTACGAATAGTGGCTTTTGTAGCTCACATGCGATTTCAACCTGGAATCAAGCGATGGTGTATTTTTAGAAATAATGCTGTTGATTGTTTCTGCTTACTAGGCCTACAAGCTAACAATAACGCCACCTGTATTAAACTAATTGGATCAATTAAAAATTCTGTCTCTGTAACAGATTCCCGCGTATTTTAAGAGTATTAAGTTACAATGCGAATATTTGAAATAAGAATTTTAAAAAAAGTAACTATATAAATTATAAGCTGTAACTTACGCCATCATATTAAAGACCGCGTATTAATCCGTTTAAAATTATTAAACTAGATCTATGTACCACCCATTTAGAGTAGAGTCCTTTCAATTTTGTATTATCATTTAGTCTCTTCTTATCATTACACGCATTATCAAAAGAAAAACAACGTTGCAGACAAAGACAAACGGCTTATCTTATTAATTATTTACTCACAAAATCAATTATTGAACTTTGTACGTAATTAAGTCTAAAATCTCTAACATACATAAATAAATCTAACAATGTATATAGTGGTATAGTATTTAGTATATGCACTGGTAATTTGATAGCATGCCTAGGGTTTATTTATAGTGCTAACGAGTACGTTGCAGTTAGGTATGTTTTTGTTTGTAACCTTGTATCACTTTTAACGTCTAGTCTATGAATAAGCTTGTGTTACGTTGCTAAAGTTTAGGCCTCTTAATTTATTCCCTTCATTTGTATGTCACATAATAGAGTACGAGTGGGCGAGCATATATGAATGTTCGTACGAAGTTTTAAGAGGTCTCGTTGTTTAATCAAATTTCATCAAGTGATAGTCACTTCTGCGCAACCCAAGCTATATATATTTTTTTTTCACTTGATGCTAGGTGCCCCAGCCTATAGCATCTAAGCAAGATGCCGAACAATTTTGGCTTTGGATATTCGGAAATCCACAAATTGAAACCGAAACATGATAAACTTCACGGCTTCATCTGTGGACGGTGGTTAGTGATCCGAACGGAATATCAATATTCCTACTACCCATTTAATGTCCAGATTTCCACACGAAGTCCAACGTGCTTCAGAATAATTATATAAGTTAAATAGAAAACTGTTTGACCCGGTGGAGATCGCACCCACGACCCGTTGATTATTAGCCATAAATTGCTACCGTTTTACCAACCAACCCGTCAGAATACCTAATGATTCCCAATGTAGTATACAAGACAGAAACCAGGATGAGCCAAGATTAAAAATTGAGCAGAAATCGACCATCATAAAAAAACTTTATTTATTCTACTAACTCAAATATATTTATTCGACGTGCGATTCGTGTTCTGTTTAAAATCTTCGGTGGCGATGTCCATCTTACTATCTCTGTAATTTTAGATCTGAGGAAAGTTAACATCTGCAGCGGAAATGTTTACAGTAATCTCTTAAATAGCTCTCGATAAAACGGGCTGCATTATATCTGATTAGAGGAAATAGCTTGTATGTCATAGGTATTTTTTGAATTTAGAATTACTTCATACTTTTTTCTAATAGGAAGTCCACAGATTAAAAACAAAAGGTAGATTCGGAATTTCGATATTCTTATCAGCCATTGAGATTCATTGAACATCTAGATTTTCCCAGACGAAGTCTAACGTGTATAAAAAAAAAATATAATTAGATTTTTAGAAACATGTTCGGCCTGTGAAACCCTTTTCTTTCGGTCAAATTTTGGAAAATGTTTTTGATAAACAAACTAAGAGCAATATGTATTCTTAATATTAGATGAATCAATAGTAAAATCCTTTATTCAATTTTATCCTGTAAATCGCCTATCTATGTCTTTGGCTTCTCGATGTTGGGATATATCTGTACATGTATCATGAATAATGCCATTTTGTACATACATAGCATAGCTACATACGAGCCGCAATACATGTGGGATGCGTTTAACCTTTCAAGATCGCGTTCATCTAAATTTATCTCGCGTCTATCGCTCCCGATAATTTTATCGACGGAAATATTGCCTTAACCATAACAAGATATATTTTATCAATGTATAGTGACAGCGTTTGACTTACATGATGCCTAATCAAATATTGAAGAATTACTTAGATGTTTAAATAAAACAGGTTTAACTGTTTAAAACACGATATCCTTTTTTACTGATCAACAACCCGATACCAGGTTAGAAGTGTTTTTTGCTTAAATGTTTACTTGTATAAACCACAAAAATACTAATAAAAATATTGGCAAACCGATATGACTCAATAAATATTGATAAATACGCGAATAGAACTAACCTGCCGTTTAAACACTTCCCTCTGCACATGCGGCTCAGAAAAGTCCTTACTGTAGTTGAGGCCGCACTCCCCAACCGCCACACACTCCGGCGCAGCCGCTATCGCTTGCAACTCAGACCACAACTCTTCCTCTACCATGGACTTTGCATCGTGTGGGTGTACACCTGACAATGTGGTTTTATATGATTATATAGATACAAATCTATTCAAAGAATTACCAGCATCAAGTATTTCGTATAACCAATACAAATATGAATTACTTATTGAATTGAATTAAAAACTGGAGAGCAGATTTTGTGGACTAATTCCTGGATTCCCAAGAAAAATAATAATGATACTTATTTTACAAGACTATTCAACAGAAATCCAATAAAATTACCTGCCGTGGAGTATATAGTACTGGGGTAGAGGCGTGTGAGTCTAAGTGCTTCTTTACTGCTTCTTACTGATGTGCCAGTAACCATTATTTTTTGGACACCTAAACAAACAAGGATTTAAATCATTCATCAACACCTTAAAATATCCTTTGGTGGTCTGACCATTTTCTTATCTTCAGTAATTATATGGGAGGTTATTTTTTCAGCAACTCAAAAATCTTATTTAGTCAGGTTGATACATATGAAGTAATACTATTAGAGCAAGGAAGTTTTGCCATCAAATGTCAATTTGTTGTGTTTTTTTATAAGTATGTTTTTATTGTAATATTGGAATTCCACATTTTGGAAACTGTCTACACAAATAATTAATTAGAATTATTTGAAAAATACTTGAATAAGTTGTATTAAGTTAGATGAAAGAAATAAAGGAAAATTAATGTTCAAATCTATTGAAAAACAGTTCCATTGCAATTCTGTAATTACAAAAGGTAATTAGCTGCTATTGTATACAACAACTTATGCTTCATTAAATAATAATTAGCGTTCTATAACATAGAAGAGTTACATTTGTCATGCAGAGAAGCCAAAGTAATTTTCTTATTCAAGTTGATGTATGTGTTATAAAGGTCTTTATGATAAGTATTGTTTTACTGTAATACAAATGATGCTGTAATAAGTTACTGTAGTACTGTTACAATTTATAAAAAAACATAAGATATATTTATAACAATAATAATACTGTCAGTACTTATCTTATCAATCAATATTATCAAATAGAATTTCAGGAAATCTAATATCTATATTATTGAGGAATTTCTAAACAACTTGAAATATAAATAATATTAGATAATTAAATGAAACTATGTCCCAAAATTTTGGGTACTTTTCAGCAGCCATGATGACTGTGTAATACAACTTTAAATCGGGTCAAAATAGTTTCTTTATAATATGTTTCATCCACAACTCGCGGTAACGACAGTATAACTAAATCTCTATTAATATTATTCACTTTCTTATTACACCAAAGGAATGTTTACATATAAAGCAATAAGTACACTCAGCATTCGTACGAGTAATAGATTACAGGTCTTAATTAATGATTACGTCCTTTGCATATTTACACGCGAGGAATTTGGTGCCGAATTTTCGTAATAGTATCGTACCTGCATCTTTTGCCCTTTGAACTACAGAATCTAGATCACGGCCATATTTCTTGTTCGTTAAATTAGCACCAATGTCGATTACAATAAGATTCTCGTAACAACCCTTCAGTTCTTCTGAAATCTGGCATTCCTCAGACGTCATCCTAATTTTTTTGTATGAAGCTTATTGGTTCGGTGTTTACCTAAAGTTAAGTTCAAATGTTAGTGAAGTCTATGTTTTACTGTTCGGCGTATTCTAAATGTACTTACAAATTGTATCAAACACTCCTGCTTAATAAGCTTTCTTAAATTTTAATGACTAGCAGAATTGTACACCCTTCTCACTGAAATGCCACCATGTTTTTGATTTTTTTTTAACACCAAGATGTTTCTTGTGATCTCTTGTCAACTGTTAATGTCAGCTGTAATTGTCAAAAACCATTTTAAACTGTAATTAAGCACTATAATTCTGTATTTTCTGTGGTAAAGAAACAGCTGATTAGTAGATTCCATGAAAATAAACAAGTGTCTCTATTGCAAGCCGCATATTGCATTGATTTATTAAACTAAGAGTTCATCATGCCAAATGTTAAGAAATTTATGAACAAGCATTTAGTTACAATTGTTATGGTTCCACTCCTTTTTGGTAGCCATTACGGTTGGATGAAACTGCAAAATGTTGACGCTCTTGTTAAAGAGTCTGAACGCAAGAATTTACCTGAGGTTAGTGGAAAGAAGATACATTATTTTATTAAGCATGTCATCATTCACTTTATATATATTAGAGAACAACAATGACTACAGACAAAAAGATAGAAGAGTACCCTTATACTATAAAATATTTGTAACCTAGTATTTCCCTACATACTAGAATGTTCCCAAAATTGATTAATTGTTATATATAACAAACATATTATCTTTCAGATCTTCAGAACCGAAAAGTAGCACAATGGAAACCGAGTTTAACAGACATAGTTGTAAATTTTTATATACATTATTATTTTTAGATTATGATACTATTAGAAATATTTAAGTAAAATAGTTGACTACATGCATTGTGTTTATTTTATTTATTTATTATAGAAACACCTAACCATACTAAGAAGTAAAGATTCCGTTCTAGGGTATAAAATTAACTTGTATATATTAATTAAAACTTTTTAGCTAATGAGGTTATTTGTTTCCAATTTCATATTTAGCCATATATACATATCATATGAATTATGATGTATTAAAGAACACTTAGTGGCTTTCATTATTTTATGCTTAATAAAAGTCAAGATAAATAGGAATAAACATTTAATTTCTGTTAAATGCGATGTCTAGGTGCTAGTCATATGGTAGGTAAGTGTCCACGGGAGTCCATATCTGTCTTCTTTCCTTTTGGTTGATTCCGATCATTTACAATCAGCTGGGGCAGTAGTGGAGAAGATTGTACCTATACGCAAATCAAATTTGTAAATTATAATAATTTCTATGAGAAATTGTAGTTGCTATTATAAGGTGGCTACACAAAGTAAAAGTAATTATTAGATTTGGGATCAACATTGTTAAATGAATGCAAAAAAACTGTCATACTTTGTGAATGAGGAAAATTGGTATATATACTTGGTAATATTATATTGGTACTCCTAAATAATTTATCAAACAATGTACTTTGTGTGTATATGAATAGATCAAATAGAACTAAAAATGATACTAATTTTATCGTTACATTATCAACTTTCTAATGAAGTTAAAAATATTTTTTAATGAAAGCAATTTACGAGAAATCTTAGTATTGGCATGGTCTTCGTCATTCATTGGCGGGTCATATCTTTTAAACACAGACGCCTTATTAAGACAAGTAGCAATCTCACTCAGACATTGTTTTGCCATATAATTTTATCATATTACGATTTTTCTTAACTCTAACTAGGCATAAACGGACTTAAGAAAACAATAAAGCAAAACAGTAATGTATTTTCTATTTAGGAAATAATAAATACGAAAAAGTAATATCCTCATTACACTTATTTTCCTTTAGCTTTCTTTGACGGTGTGGTGCTATCTGTTACTTGTGTGGAAGCATCTTCGTTCTTAGCTCGAGCTTTCTCATTAAAGTCTTGCTGTATTTTGATAATAAAATTATTTATTGAGAATTTTTAAATTTACATGTTAGTACAGCTACAAGTACAAAAACATACAAAACTTTATTTCAAGACTTTTAACACGCGATGTTAATTAGTTAAACTTATTAGGAAATTATTTTAACTACAGCCCGATGATTCGGATGCTTTGCAGCAGCCGTAGTCACGGGGACTTAGAGCATCAAAACTCCCAAATAAGTTTAACTAAAATACAACCCGACAAAACTTAATTTTTCAAATATTAAAAGAGGAGTACCTAAAACCGGTAAGCAATTTTTGTTTATATACGTTTCAACTGAAGGTATTATATAAAGTACATTATACCTGCTGTCTCCTAACCCTCTCGTATTCATCATGATCAGTAGCGGGCACTGTGAACAGAAAGTTTTCAAAGATCGGATGTCGCAGCAATTGTTCGCAGGTCCACCTCATCATCGGATCCTTGTCTAGGCATCTCTGAAATAGGGACTCATTATAAATCCGAGTTTTTTAAATGCCTTGAACATATATATTGCCTTTACTTATCTCTCACCTTCAAAAAATCTATTATCAACTCATTATTAGCATATCGTGGTGGTATTTTCTTTTCAAGGGATTCCACTGTCGTCGGCTCTGGTAAGGCCATACCCTGGATGTTAATGAAAAGATAGCTTTATGTATTACCAAGAATAAAGGTACACAATATGTAAGGAAGAGGTTTAAAGACAACTAGTGATGTACTTTCTCCCAAAAAGCGTTCTTATCGCGGCTTTATACATCAATGGTATTAACGATGCTAATCGAGTACTGATAGACACTGATAGTACTTCCTATATAAGTGTTAAGGTACCTGAAAGAATGAGTTCTGTGAGAATATAGTCATATGCCTTGGTAACAGATCACCCAATGTCTTTCTTATTAGGTAGAGCTGGTCTAAATCACTTTTGCCCGGCCAGAGCGCTTCACTAGATAAAAGTTCCGCGAACACACAACCTGAAAACGAAACGTGTAGAAAATCACTACAAATCAGAACGTAAGATTTAAAGGCTAAGTAGCTGCCTACTTGAGTAGTATAAGAGAGGTATTTGAACTTCCTACCAGGACACACAAAGGAATAAAGGTCATTCGCGACGTATGAAACCTCTCAGAGGACAAAGAAATTTTACTCATCGCATTATTCAAAGGTCATCTTGAGTATTGTGTGTATACTTGTGTTATAGGTATATACATTACGCATGCTATATCATCGTTAAAACTAACTGACATGTTTATAATTCTAGTTAACTCCACCGATTAGTTTTTTTTGGTGCAAAGGAAGCCACTTTATCTTCAAGGCTTTACGTTTAAGGTTTAGTGGAGTCTATCGGGTATTCTCGTTATATCCCATTCAATTCCTATGTACCATTGTACCCTTTGCAGGCCCCAACCACTTGAACAAGTTTAATATAATTAAAAATATTAATTTTCAGTCACAGTTTCATCAACTATCATGTTCTAATATACATAATATAAAGGGACGTACCAATGGCCCATACATCGACTGGCATGCTGTACATAGTGTCACCTACGAGGAGCTCTGGGGCACGGTACCACCGTGTCGCCACGTAGTCTGTATAGCTCTCACCAGGACCTGGGCATGTTGGGCGAAAATTCTTTTAAGTTAATAATTCTTTGGCAGGTGGAAGCTACAAATCACTTATAGTATAAAATACAAATGCTCCATTTTAGATTAAAAAAAAAACTTCATTTTAATGTTTTGTCTCGTTCGATGATGAGTAAAAAGTAAATGGTCTTTATCTAACAATAAAACAAAACGAAACGAAATTATAAGGAGGTCTGTAAAACTTATTATCTCGTAATAGGTTGTTGCAGACGTTGTCTCGTGAGTAATTTAGTAAGTTGTGGATCATGGTTCTGTACCTTTTAGTTTAAAACAATACAATTCTAATAATAAATGAATCGTTGAAGGAATTTGATCTTAATTACAAAAACCACCTAAAGTTTACATAAATAAACTACGAAACAAAATCTACAATATATTCTATCCTACATAACTGGAGACATTTTCAAACTCATCGTAGATTTTGTAAGAAACTTTAGTAGCTCCATTAAAATTCCCATGTTGAGCCAAAAATACCTCAAATGCGTGATTAATTGGTGGAAAGTATAAGAACCGCAAGAAATGACCTTGGTACCGCTTTGTTAAGCTTTAAAGGTGAAGGTTTCTACGTTAGGCCTTGAAGAGAAGCTAATCTTGTACCTAATTATGGAAACCTGCAACTGTTCCGCTGCAATTCGTAAAACACTGTTTTTTGCTGTAAACGCAACTTGTTTGCGGAAACAGTAAATATGAAGTTACGAGAAATTGGTTAAATGCTAGATGATTCCAGTCTATCACAAATATTGCAACAAATCGTCACGATAATCTGGCCAACTTATTTATACCACCAGTCATAATACGTCATGTTGTGACGGAAAACGTTACAGTTGATCCCATTCCACGAATCTCAAAAGTCTAAAGTAAATACGATGCATAAACTTAGATGTATACGTAAGTACCTGTTATTCGTTAGCGTATAAAAGCTACTGGTGGCTGGCTATTACAAAATAAAACAGCCTTCAAAATACTCATGGACCGAGAACCAGTTGTGATATAGTACTGCTAAACATAAACATGATTGCAACGGTTTCGCAAATTCTCTGCAGATGAGCATTTTCATAACATCATATTTATTATACTCGTGTGGGATAATATTGTATACAGCGTGTACATCAAAAGAAATAATTTTAAATTCGAATTCTTTTGTTTCCTTCACACCTTGTAAGGATTGTTATTCTTTTACCAAAAAATTTAGTATTATACTTCAGCCATAATTAAGTTACCTACGACTGTTTTCAAAAAAACACTACATGAACAGTAAAATCAAATCAACTCTCTTTGGTCTTTGTTTGTTTTCATGATACATTTGTATGTTTGCTTCACCTAAAAATTACAAAACGAAATTCAACCAAGTTGGTTGTGCTTCCCCGTTCCAGGGAAGACTAACTTCAACTTTGTGCTAAGGCGTCGTGTGTTTGATTAACATACATATGAAGAATAAAAAAAAAAGTCTATTTTACTGTTGTCTCAAACATGTTTAGTTCAAAGACTTTACGATATTACTAGTGTCATCAACAAAAAAGACATTTGGGTCGCGTGTATTTTTTGTCATATGATTGCGTATTCGATGCCGTATGCATCTATAATGTTAAATTCTACAAGGTTTTAATTTATTATGAATATTTAGCGGTTACTTCAACAGATATTAATTAGTATATCAATATTTATTGTCCTTATCCCTGACCGATGGTTAAACGCATTGCCTAACATTGCTTTAAGTTTAATATGTCCTAGGTTTTGTTTTAGAGAAATATAAGTTTTGGTTAACTCGCTTGTAAAGAAAAACGATGTGTGAAACAGACACAGTGAGTGTAGCTTAAATACACGCTTACGGAAACGGGATGTCACTTTCTCTATAAACGTTATCTTTGGTATTTTTCCACATTAACATACATACATCATGTCATTTATGGTATGCGAATCGAACGGAAAAATGTTAACTATGCTTTTAATTTATAAATACTAATTTTTAAATACAATTGCTCAATAGTTAACATTTAACACGCATAGGTCAAGCCTAGCATTACAAACTCCGCACAACCTACAGGATGTTCCAATTTATTTAGCAAAACTACCCGAATACTATTTTTAAACTTTTTGACGATAATTATAACCGGTGTATAAAAGTAATGTCACACTTGGTAATTTTCTTTCGTATTGCAAGTAAAATGCATCTAAAAAAAGATTTAGTACTTGTAAGTTAACATATCGACTAAGTTCATATACAAATATTTTTTTTATAAAAAACTTTAAGATTAGGTAAGTACTAAGGCATCAAAGCCTATTTATAGAAATAAGGCCGATTACTGATAAGCGTTAACCGGGACAGCTATCTTGACTTTGCATCTACCTACTTTCTATCAAGCCTACCGCACGAATACACCCAAGACCGATATTTTTACTACATATTAAAAATAATAACTATAAGATGACAAGTTAACTAAGGGCACTCTAGACTTATTAAGTTACTATATATATAATTATTTATAATGCGGCAAAAATAAAGAAAATAAATAAATAGGTACTAGCTCTCCTTCTGACGTCCACCCCAAAGGGGATCATGGTATGCACAGAGTACTCTGACGAGCAGGTTCCACCTTTAGGAAATTACAGTAAGGATAAGAAATTATATTATAAGAATAATAAGTTAAGTAAGAAGTTTTACAGTAGTTGATAGTTTAAATATTACAGTTTAAAAAAATGGGGTAATACTAAACCCACTAGTTTATGTTAGTAATATAAATATGCATTTATTATTTTCAAAATATTTATAACCAGGAACCTCGGTTGGGTATCCACCAACGATGTTGAGTTCTTATAAAACTCATCAATTTTGTATTGCATCGCTATTTGCTTTCAATATTCATTTAAATAAAACACTTTAACGGTTTGAAACGCGATACATTACTTAAACTTATTTGAAAATGATTTTTAACTTCGGCCTGACGTTTCGGATGCTTGGCAGCAGCCGTGACCACGTCAGGCGTTAAAGTGTTTTATTTAGACGTTTACTACTCGGGTAAACTGTAGACAGTATTCAATATTCATGTTCATTCATAAGAAATTATACAGCTTCTATCCTAATTATAATTGTTAGCTATTTCATCGTTTCTTCACTAGAGATTATTTCTGTGGCTTTTAGCTTTCGAGCTATTTCAAAGTTACTTCAAGCGGCTATGCACTATGCGCTATTTAACTGTGACATATTAACTGAAGGTTATTGCAAGAATAATCATTCTTGTCATTTCCTCGAACCAAGAACTAATATAATTAAAGCTAAGCCTAATATAGGACGGAGTCTCTACTGAGGGCTGATGATAATTCCGATAATTTTCGCTTTTAAATCGTTATCTCGCAAAATAAAGGGTCTTCGCATGCTAATACGCACTTATCATTCTCGCGAACCCGAAGTCACACAGCTTGACCACCCCATCGCTGGTCAGCAAGATATTCTCAGGTTTGACATCCCGATGGATGCAATTGTGTCTGTGACAGTACGCTACACCCTGCAGTGTCTGCCAGATTATTTGTTTTGATAAAAGTTCCGGGCAACCCTGTAAAGAATATTTAAAATTTATATTTGTATGGACCTGCAAAACTATCTATTTACTTGCAATATAGGACCAAGACAAACCATAGACCATAACTTTGTCATCGAGTAAAGAGTTTTAACGATTTATTCAAAGTTTTTTTAAATCATTTTTACGACAGCGACAATATACCACATAGCTCTGTGGTATACAAACTGTCTTATAGTCCTGATACACACATGCAACGTGAAGTTAAAGCAAACGTTAAATCACAAACTGCCATATATCAAAACTATACGCAATCTGACCTTCCAATCACCAAGTGCTGGTCTTGCACAAACTTCCTACGAAACCTTATCTATGAAAACATAGTATGTCGAAAGAAATTGTTGTAAAAGCGATATAATACAACGATTGTTGTATTATATCGATTGATTATAACGGTATTTAGACTAAGTAAATAATATTATTATTACTGGCTGATCTGGCAATTTTTTTCCCCGTTTTATTTGTTTTAGTTCATCGCTCCTTTAGTCGCTTCATGATAATATATGTTTCAAGCTTTCTTCAATAAATGCTTCAACCAAAACAAAAGTATTTTTTTGATGCAAACCAATAGTTCCTGAGACCAGCGCGTACAAACAAACAAACTCTTTAGCTCTAAAATATTAATAGACGAAAATGTTATGGAGTGAATGTCGTTCAAAGACGTGTATGATTGCAGGGTATGCCGTACTTTCCCATTTCCTGCACTTCTATAATCGGTACTTAGGTAAGAAAAATAATTAGCAACGGCTTCTGGGAAGGTTACACGTGAGTAAACCACACGTGAAGCGGTGTTGTTTCGACATTAACTCGTTTTAAACTGAGGCAACATTTTGCTTTGCTTTAGAAATCAATTTCAATGAACTTAAACATTTGTTTATATAAGACTTTAGGGAGGGAAACGATTTTCCACAGATAAACTAGTGAGCAATACAAAATGTCTGTCCTTATTAAAAGTAAAGAGGATTAAAAGAAGGTAACATGGTGACGGGTGACTTTCGGGGAAATTGTAAATAAGTCTTCAAATATATTTCGCGTTTTAAACCATTAACAGTGTTTATTTGAATATCTATACTTCTTCAACAAATAACAAACCAATTATGTTGCAATGATAGGCTCATATACTTTTTGGATGTAGTTGACATCTTCTTAATTTCTTACACTTTTAAAGTAATTTCTTTTATTAATTAAATACCTTAATTTTTAACCCTTTATAAAGCAAATACCATTAATTTCTCATTCAAACCCGTAAAGCTTTTCGAACGAATAAAATTTGCATTGTAATGTTACACTTAAGCAAATACTTAGCTATCAGACTTAATGAAAATGATTTATGATTCGTCATTATCATTATTTAAGGATACACGTGACTTATAACACATATCTTATAAACCGCGCACCAAACTACCAGACTGGAACGTTATGAAAGAGCCTTTTTTAGTCCAAACGTATGTATGTAGGTACTATGTAGTTTTCGCCATTTTCGCATAAAACATGTTTGAACTAAAATGTTAATTCGTGTAATAGTCAAGAACTCCTTCTACGGGATTTCGCAATGTATATTTTCTGTTGCATCTATAAGATACTAGCTAAGTTTTATAGCCTATAACCTTCCTCGACAAATGATCTATCCATCATAAAAGAACAACACAGAATTTTTCAATTACAACGCGTAGTTCCTGAGATTAGCGCGTTCAAACAAACAAACTCTTCAGCTTTATATATTAGTATAGATGAGGGCGTTAATAAAAAAATCGGATTTAAACACAAACTATAACAGTTAATTCATCCTTCGCGGAAATTACAAATTCAAATTTATGTTTGTTTATATGTAACATACTAATACCATCTGGCTCTTTATGGTGTTATATTAATTCTTATCAAATCCTCCGAAATAATACTACTTACTTATACAAGTCACTTATGACGCCAGATCTAAAAGAAAGTGTTTTATATGATCGTGAAAAGAAAGCAGCGAGACTTACACACAGTTCTATTAAAGATTTAGGTATAATATACCAAAAACTAAAAATATATTAGTAAGATCTTACGGCTGGATATTTTTCCATTTCATGAAGCACCGTGTGGTCGCAGTATTCAAAAACGAGGTGAAGCTTGCGCTTGCGCCGAAACACTTCGATCAGGTTCACTAAGTTCGGATGCTTCAGATTCTGAGGATAAAACACAATAAAAAAAATGCGAGTTATTACAGTAGTTTATACATACACAAAGCATACGTTTTCAGATTTGACTTAAAAAAAATATTATTCGTTACTATCAAAGGACATGGAATCTGGGATTTAGCTTCTTAGTCTGGATGGATTCTAGCTTAAGAACCTATCTAGATAAAATATGTGTTTGGTTCAACGATAGCCAAAAACAAATCATTCTTTTCTTGCGTAAAGCATAAATGGTAGTGCCTTTCTTTAATGATTTATTTACAGATATTAAGATAGCCAAGATGGGCAGGTTCTGCCGTTACAGGACATACAAAAATGGTAAATATTTTACGTCAAGTTACTGTGCGTCAGCGAGTTTAAACGGATGATATCTTCCGTATGACTTTAACAAAGAGAATTGTAATAACGACCTTTACTGCGTGCAATATAAATTATTATATTGTCTTATAATGTATAATATTCAGACACACCTTACTTGCGTAGGATATAACAAGTAATTGTTGGCATTTATGTTTAAGTGATCTCACATACAGTGGCTTTCCTGATGTACGTGACTCGTAAAGATTAATCGATTTTAAGTTCATAAAGGGATATTCTAGAGTCGCTTCTTTATCTAGAAATAAATGGTTTCTCTGTAAGTATTCTCTATAGCTATTTGTATATTGGTTTCCGTACCATGACTTTTGCGTGAATGAAATAAGCGTGCATCTCGACACGCCCGTTTCTAATATAATATGTTAACGCAGTAACGCGTTATGTAACTAATTCGTTAACTATCCAATAAGAATTTGTCACTTGAAAAACCTATCTATATTATCTTTCCGTAGTCCGTACTAGCACACTAGGGCAAGCCTGTGACCTGGGTGGCTAATTTCTCCCAGGTTACAAACAATAAATATCTTAAGGTTAACTTATGTATACTTACAATTAGTATCTGTTGCGATACATGCCAGAATAAATGGATATTTGCATGTTGTGTGTGTTTGTGTATGTATGTAGGGAGTGTAAAACTCTGTAGGCATGTGTGTTTATATTGCTAACCAAATAAACCAAATTACAATGGCATTATGTTATAATATTTTACCTTCAACATTCGTATCTCTCGGAGCGCAATTTTACGAATAAGCGGATCGTCTTCGTTTTCGACAAACTTCTTTATCGCGACAACTTCGCCTGTCTCCCGATTGCGGCACTTGTACACCAGCCCATAGGAGCCTTCGCCGAGCTTAGCGAGCTTTTCGTATCGCTCCATCGCGCGGCTAGAGGCGCGAGATCTGAAGGAGATTACGATTAGAGCAGAGCAGAAGTTGAAGCATAAAATTGGGTGTCCTTTTCAACCTTATGTAAGTGTGTAAGTATTGGGAAAGAGTGACGAAGCGTAAATGTTCGAGCTATGGTAGCTCTTAAATCGATTATATGAAAAAAGTTGAGTTACTAAAAGTCCTTAACACAAGACTTGTTGTAGGGTAGATTAGAAAGGTAAGGGTCTAAAAAAAGGTTTTAAAATTAGTGCTTAAAAAAAAATATTTCCGCATTCTTATCTTAATGGATAAATATGTCGATGAGTGATTTCATTGCGTTTTTGAGAAAACAATATATTGTTTCGGATAGGACGACGAAGTTCTATTATCAGTAGATCAGTAAAACGGACGCAAAAATGTGTTCCCGCATGCGCCACGGGCGGTTTGGGATTTCAATATAATTTCTCGAATGTGTTAGTCGTATTACCTGTACCATCGAACCTAAATGTATAATTTTACGAAAGTCAAAACGCCTGACACGAGGCTTTTGATTAAATCTTTCAATGCTGTAATATCCTAAGGACATGATTGAATTGACATGATGAAATTGCAGCAAATAACGATATGGCATTCCACTCCTCCCCTATTAACAAAAAACGCACCCTAAAAAGTACCTTGCGGAGACAACATAAGGAGAAATAATACTTATATTGATTTCCCCTTTCATAGTTCACTGTAATTTGGCCATAAATTAAATCCCTCACGATATCAACGTTTATGCTCCGCAAGCATATTTCTTAAGATTATATTCGCTCTAAATTGGCGGTGACCCAAATACTTTTTCTCATAACCGGAAAAATATACTCTAAACAAACATTTGTATCAAAATTTTGTGATTTCTGTCACTTTTATTATGACGTGACATAGTAATATTCTCTTTTTGCTGTGAATTAACGCAATTAATGATATCATAATGTCCATAAAGTAGGTAATCTTTCTATGAGTTCTTATTACCCCAAAATATATATCTTGAATTAAAACATGGTATAGCTTTAATCAGTTTTGTTAACAAAATTAACTTTATCAAACAGCTTAATAAAATATTTATTAGAAATTGTATGTATGTGTACATCTTGGTATGTAAATCTCAAACAACGTGTATACCTAACAGTGCCGTTTATGGTATGGTTGAATTACTTTTACTTTAATTAATGGTAATAATTAAAAAAAAACTAGAAACTATCAGGCAAAATACTGTAATATAAAAGTGCATAGAAAAATTAAAAATCTATTTTGCTTGAAATTTTTGAGAACTACGATCTATAGCATTACGTTTTTCGTGCTCTCCCACTGACCTAGAGGGTCTCCTCCTAATTGGTGATGAAACAATAGCAGAAAATATTTTCCGCCTTATAAACACTTTTATTTAAAGATATATTTGAAGTAAATAATATATAAAAACGAATAAATTTGATGGGTGGATCACAAATGTATTATATTATATGACATAATTTAAATATGAACGATTTATCAAATAAGCATATAGTCCTACACGTACATTATAATAAGGAGGTACGGAACTCGTAATAGCCTTATTTACTTATACAATTACCATATTATTTCAAGGCACTGTCGCAAGTGATAAAACAAATGACAATTAGTCGAATATTTATTGTACAATGCAATAAAAACCAAGAAAGTGTGCTAATCGTAATGCATAATACCTATACCGTCATTGTTTTTTGAAATTATGAAAATATTAATTTCTTTATTTTTTTTAAATAAAATATATTACTATTTTTTCTTTGTATACGTACTAATAACAACTTATCATTTTTCTTTATATTTTTTGCTACCTAAATAACAATAAATGAAAATCTTGCTACCCTAACAATAGTTTATTTTTATGAGTATCAATTATCGTAGTTTAAGAAATTTTGTCTATAAATGGATATATTTCTTATATTACTTTTTACTTGAGTAGTAATAATTATTTAAACTTAATGCTACAAAACACTCATCAACTACGTATTTTGTATACGTCGGGTCGTACTTAAATAAAATTAAAAATAAGGTATATTTCTAATATAATATACATAAATCCATCAACTTTCATATAAATAAAATAAATCAATAATCACAAATTTGACTGTCCAATTCGGTACATGGCGCAAATTAAAAATTCTTTTCTCAACTCTTATTTTTATAACAGAAAAAATATTATTAGATAGCGATATTTAGCAATAGTCGTAAATAAGATTAGATATGTTAAATATGCAACTAATTGCTTGGAAATTAGGGAAAGGCCAAGGTCAATCACCTTCGCGGCAGCAGTGGCAGATTGTTACCAAATAACCACAGCCGCTTATCACCGAACCATTTCTCCATACAGGAAGCCACGTTGTTCCACAGCTTGATAACTTTATGAACAACACTACGCATTCGAAAATCGAACGAACATAAATACTATTTCAGCCAACAGGTACTAAGAACTTTTTTTTTTGCGCGAGACAAGCTGCTGTTACAAGAGCTAAAAAGGTTTTACTTGAAATATGGAAGTATATTGATCGACCCGCGGTTTGTTTACAGTTTTACTTGTTTACATGACAACCGCTGGTCGCAGTGGTAGACCAAGTAAGTACGTGGTACTTGCACTTAGAATGTACCTTAGAAAAATAATCAGCCAGCATGATATTAAGAATGCCCAGCTCACACTTGACCTATCACTTTTAGCGTATTATGATAGCCTTGTTTTGTTGTTCTGAATTAGCAGGTAAATAAAATCTGAGTTTTATGTTAGTTATAAGTAGACAATTTTATAACAAGTAGTGTTTTGGTTTTGTATATGGTCGGTGAATATTAATCGGTCAATGATACAGACAAACTACCTATGTGTCTACCCCATATCCTAGAAGAAACGTGCTTTCACATATATAATATACTGCATATATAAAAATGCATCGACTAGTCGGTAGAACTCACTATTAGCACATAAATAGTACCGACATAAATAATATTTTTGGTCCAACTCTGAAAAACACTGAGGGAGCTCTAGAGTTCTTTTGTCCGTTTGTTTTTCATACTAACTCTATCTACTTTACTACCTGTACTGTGGCCTGTAGAATGTAGTCGACATTTCGGCCCATATCTAGAATATAATATTATTGGGTAAGAAATATTAAATATGATATTTCTATATAGGTTTAATTTCAATATGATTCTGTACTATATAAAGTGTAAAAGTGTATTTACAACATAAGTAGGTACTTAATATAAGAAACTACCAGACCGTGATAGATTCTGATTTAAATTATTGTCTTGTTGCTACTTTAAACGAGTACAGAGTTCTAGGTATTTTCTGAACACAAAAGTAGTTAACAAGACAGCGTACAATGAAGTAAAGTTACCTATGAAGTTAATTTTTTACTATAATAGCAATTGAAAGATATAAGATGCAATAGCAATTTTCATCTCTTAACTATTCTTTCTTAAGACAAAAAAAAAATAGTATTAAATCGTAACAACTCCGACACAAATTATAATGTTAAAAATAATAGCTTTGTATCTGTAAATATTTAATCGAGATTCGTACGAAGAGACTTTTATAAAACTACCTGTCCTATGGAGTTTATGTGAAATAGACTCTGACAACATAAAATACAAATTACATATTACTCATTGGTCAATTGCAATATGTCACTCATTTCTTTCGTAGTTTGCCATGAGCGATACGATTCCCTTTTATATGACTTATTTCAGTTTTATAGATACGACGCCATAAAAAATAAATGTTCAATATAAAAATTAACAGATGAAAAGTGCAAAGGAATGGATTTTTTTATATTTATTTATTCTTTTGCACTTGCACAAACAATAATAATTATACAGAATAAAACTTATACATATAACTACTGGAATGGAGTGCAATGGGCGTCCTTATCGCTCACAAGCGATCTTTTCCAGGCAACCTAAAGTTAAGAAAAAAAATAGAGAAAATGAGATATACAAGGTAGGCGAAACAAAATATCATTTTTATAAATAACTATTGAAAACTAAGCAAGAACTATAGAGTGATTATAAAATGTTATGGCAATTAGACGTTAATCCGTAAACTTGGAAATTGTATACATTCTATCCTACTTAAAATTAACGTCAATTAAAAATTACTTAAGTCATCATAAAATCATTTCACAATAGGAGTGACATATTCCATATGATTGTTCATGGCAACATTGTTATGACATTTACATTCTGAATGAAAGAACGGTGATTTCGTTTCGGAGCAAATTGCTCATCACGTTCATTCGCTTTACTAAACATTCTGTCAAAAATCTTCGTGAAGTGTGGTATACAGCGCGGATCCTTCGTATTTTCTATTTCGATCAATGATAATGTTGTTGTTGACCAGACGCAATCAAAACACCGTTATCGGCAAGGTTAATCGATATTATATTGATGCAATTGCTTAAAGTCGTTGCCTAATACCTTATGTATTGACGAAATAAATACAGTTTATGTAAAACATTTTGGCGATGTCCACTTTTGTGATTTTATTCCGGTGCAGTGAGTGTACATTAAGCTGAATGAGTGATAGTTCCTTGTACTATTTTGTGTTTTGTTTGTGATAAGACAAAATGGGTTCTACAGGGCTAACGCTGGCGGACTTGCCCAATATTTGTATTATGATAGGTGCTCTAATAGCACTTTTTGTAATGCTAGTCATTCTTCTCAGGTGAGCTCAATTTTTTCTCAAATTATACATTCAATTATGATAAAAATACTCGTTTCGAATGGCATTCAAAACATTATAATCGTGGTCATCTAATTGAGGACTAACAATTTAATGTTTATATCTAATCTATGTCAGCTGATTGTCAGAACAGATAAACAATATTTTCAAATCACTTTGATCTTAAACATTTTTAAGATGCATATCAATTAAATATGTTATATAAAATTGTTTAATTCATATATAATATCTCTTAAAATCTTCTAACGCACATTTCTGTTCCATAAATGTAATTTTGAGGTTTGTTTAGTTAGATTTACACCGATAAGATAAGGCATGATGTTATAGACATTGCAAAAAGTACACTTATATTAATCTAGAACATAATATTCTGTTTCATTGGCATTACATTAACTACTACTAGAATATGGTATATATTTGATCTAATGCCATCTTGTTCTCTTAATAGGGAAATATATTAAGCTTCAGCAGCCTGTGTGAGCTAATCATCTAGTCATTAATGGGTCTTCTTTACATAATTATAAACAAGATCTCATTGAAAGTGATTTACTGAATCATAAACCTTATTAAATATATCTTTTTAAATTACTTTTTATCATATTGTAACTCTGCCATAGCTTTATTTTTGAACAGATAATTAGGTATCCTTTTGGCTTGTGTTTTATTGTGTATGTAACCAAGATAATTCTTGGTAAGATAAGATTGTAGAGGGCTTGATAGTAAATAGAAATGAACAACATTTCATTTAACACTTTGTAATAAACATAATGTTTATTTCTTCACTTATACAATGTTGAAATTTAAATACAAGCCTTTGTCAGGGAGTAAAATGCCTCTCACACCATTTTATTAGATACAATTCTTAGAAAATATGCATTAAAAAAATTCTATATCTGCTAGATGTAAAGATATTTTAGAAAGATTCAAATTAAACGTGGTTTATATAAAATTTTAATATATACATTTTAATAATAATACCTACACCAATATTATAAGTATGTATTGATATTTATTATCAATCTATTCTCTGATCTAAGATGACTTATATTTAAGTACTTATCTGTAAGTAAAACAACAGTCAGTAGATATTGCTAAGGAATCACAAGGTATTTTAACTTGAATATAAAAGTTTTTACCATTAACAAGCCTAACAAGTACCTACTACATAGTATTACGGTAAGATTTATCATGATGATGACATTCTTTGTTATTTTTGGTTTGTTTCACTGATATACAGACATAATGATTCTAAATATTGTCAAATGTATCTCAACAATTGAATGTCGTCAAATTTTAAAGAGGTCTCGTTCGTGATTACACGCGTAGGCGATCTCCGGAAATATTCAATGATTAGATCCTGTTCATGTAGATTGTAGGGGTTGCTATGCAATTGCTAAAATTTTTTTTATGAGAAAGTATACTTTAATAATTATTATGTATGAATGAATTTGTGTGTTAAGTTGACAAATCAACTTTTTTACTTACCACAATGGACGGGAATCAAACCCACAGACATCCGTGCTGCCGCTCTTGCTACTTACTCTGTTTCAATGTGAAATAGATTATTAATTGACAGTTTTTAAGAGAATCATTGAGAGGAAGTTATGTGCATTTTAAAATAATAATAAAAAAATCTAAGAACAAAATATAAAAATCACGGAATATATCAAAAAAATTCGGTAATAGGTATGAACAATTTATTTATGCAACTAAAGTTCATAAGCAAATTGTTACATATCTTGATTAGTAGAAACTAAACTAAGTATATTTGATTCAGTTCGCCCCGCCATCAAGGTGTGTTTGTTTACTAAAAGTGATAGAAAAAGTTGTTTATAATATCGCCAATGGAACTGCATTCAGATATTTCAAAGCAACATAATAATAAACAAGATAAATAAATAAATAAATATATATGTTGAGAATAGAGTTAAATATACATTAAGAAGTTGATTATAAGGTAAGATAGTAACTAGTTTTGCGATTACAACATTTTGTTTTTATTTATATATATTTTATAACTTTGTTAAAATGTTAAAGAAAGACCGATGTCTTGGTGCACTTACTATACTATCATTTCTTAATATTATTTAAATTTTAAAGTTCACTCAATTAGGTTTAAAGAAATCATTTATGAAATGAGTATGTTCTACGTTTCTTTTACATATAATATGTATTATAATCTACGCACTAAGTTATTAAGATTTGTGTGACAGACAGTAACTGTTCTATTAAAGTCTTTTTAATCGACTCTCGATTAAATAAGGTTCTGACTAAATTTCACTTTATTCCTAGGGTTGTTAAGCAGTATTTTATAAAATACGATACATTAAAACTAAAATGCGTACAATTCAACACTAAATGAGACCCGAGGGTGCATTGACTTTTCTGCATCACCACTGACCAAGATAAACCTGTAGGTACACTATTATTATTCTCAAAGATACGGTTATAAGTACAGTTATAATATTATAGGTTCATAATTTGAAGTGTATGCAATTTAAAGAAATAAACTAGCCTTTAATATTAATAACTTTTAAATCACTGGCTCGGAAGTTTGCTTCCGCGAGAGCGGGCTTTGAAATGCCATAGTTTTTCACACGTGACGAAATAAAAATAAAACTAACTTCGAACCAGTTGAATAGAAATGAAAGCTAGAAAAAATAACCCACAAATAAAAATGGTCTCAATATTTGTTGCATGCAATATTTATTTGTTTTTTATCGCTCTTTATTTTCTGTTTTACGTATACGTAATAGATCTTGTTTTATTTCTATACTAAACTAAATATATAATAGCTTAATATCTAAAAAGCATGGTTAGTTAAAAATCTATTTTATTAGTTTATGAAGATGAACGGTATACATTTTTTGGGACGTAGGTTTATTTTATTCGTATCAACAATTGATTATTTTGTATGGTTCTTTCGTGAAACCTAAAATTCATTGAAATCGAAGTAGTACTGTGTATATTTGTGATTAAACGATTAGGAAAAAAAGAACAGAGTTATCACATACTATTAAAACTTTATACTAGCAACCTGCCCCCTTCCCTCGGGTTCAATTCTGTTACTAAATACATACAGAAAAACTGTGAACGTTGTATTTAAAAACATAGCGGACCCTTTGGCTTTGGTTCGGCCAGTACCACCCGATGTCCCGCAATTGTTAAATCTGTAATATATTCGAAAATATTTATATAAATCATATAGATCTATATTAAATCAACAATATATTTATGGTTTTTTATTTCATAAGGTTAATGCTGTATTGGTTATAAATTATATTCGCTTCTATTTTTGTTAAATAAATGATAAAATAATGTTATTGTGAGATATCCATAAGAGATAAACATATACCATCGCGGAGTTTTCTATAGACCTTTGTAATGTGTACAATACTTAGTACATTATTTTTATAAATCTTCTAGGGTCCAGCCTGCGTTTGCCATTTATAAACGGGAAAAATAATTATTTACAACATCACATTAAAAACCTCAAAAATAACCGTATTTCTCCGCTATTTAACGGATGTTATTATACATATAAACCTTCCTATTGAATCACACTATTTATTTAAAAATCCGCATCAAATCCGTTGCGTAGTTTTAAACGCACATAGGGATAGAGACAGAAATAGCGATTTTGTTATATATACCTACTATGTAGTGATGTATTACGAACTTTTGCATTTTTTAGCATCTGCATGACGCAGTAGACGTAGGTGGATAGGTAAGAAAGGGTGAAGAGCACTATTAAAGCTGAGAGCGCACTTTAATGCAACTTTAACAAGCTCTCTGCCCCGCGGCAACTCGTACGAAAAGAAATCACCAACCCCTCAAATATGTCTCTACGAAATATACTAGGTTTTATTCGTCGTGAATCAACATGGGAAAAGGCTTTGTAATTTGTAATAACAAAAGAGGACAGACAAGCATGACGCTCCTTTAATAGAAGGTGACATCTCCGCCAAATAATATGTAAACAAAAGCGTCGTCGACGTGTTTTGGGTTTGACATTTGAAAATCCAAACGATAAATTACATTTTTCCCTATGTGGACACGGAACAGACACATGCGTGTGTGTGCAATGTGTGTGTTTTACTTTTGTTATTACTGTCTCAAGTAGTCCAGATCCAAACCTTAAACTAAACTAGGCCGTTAACTCTTAATAAGACACGTCGTAGCTTATAAAACTAAACAGGGAGTATAGTCTGCTTATATTAATATTTCTATGTTGTACCTTGAAGGTAATTAATTTTTAAAATATCAATGTTATTAAATACTGTCTATAGTTTACGCGAGTAGTACACATTTAAATAAAACACTTTAGCGGTTTAAAACGCGATATATTCGTTAAACTTATTTGAAAATGATGATATTATGATTAAACGTCGGGTCGTAGTTAAAAATCATTTTCAAATAAGTTAAACTAATATATCGCGTTTTAAACCGTTAAAGTGTTTTATTTAGATATCAATGTTATTCTTTTTTTATCATTGTTTTTCGGGCTGTTTGGCCGAAGTAAGTGAGAAGAGGTTCTCGACGTTTCGCCATCGAGCGGACGGCATCATCAGAAAATGAATAGATAAAGTATGATAACCTGAAGGATGGCCGTGAAAGCCTTACACAATTTTTAAACGTTATTGTTTTAATGCAGTCTCGGTTAAAACAATAATTTATTTTTTTACTTTAAATTTCTTAGATTCAACCTGGCGTAATTTCTTACATCCTTCGATAAATAACGTTAACCTGTATTAGTTTAGTATTTCACAAGTTAACCTTGAATCTAATAAACCTAGTTCAAGCGATTGCAATTGCAGTAATTATAAAATAACTCGTTAATAAAACAACTATATAAAATGTTATGCTAAAGGAAGGTTCTAATTTTGCGTGCGTTAATAAAATAAATAATACAACTTTTTCTATTTATTTATTTATACTTTATTGCATAAAAGATAAGAAAAAAGAACGAGACTTGTATATACTAAAAATGTGCAATGGGTTGCCTTATCGCTAACAAGCAATCTCTTCCAGGTAACTCAAATTTTAAGGCACCCCCAATTCTCAATTTGTAAATGTAGTTTTCGGAGAGTAGGCGTACATAGATTATGCTATGTTTCAAGGCTTTCTTTGTGACTTTAGACTGATACGATTGTTTTTTTATTTTTATTTCAGGAACATGGAAGTAATAGGAATAGTAGGTGAAGGCCGCGAGGACAGTTGGCCGCGGAACATGCCGCCACCAAGACTTCTGATGCAGAGGGTACATATACCTTTCACCTTCAAAGTTCTGGAGAATGAACCCATTAGTTATTCCGGTGAGTTCGATACCAACAGCATCTTAGCTTTGTTGAATATTGTATTTTAATATCGTTTACGAAAACTACGTTTTTTTTAAACCTATTGGCAGGCAGCACCAGGACTTCTGTATTATTTTATCTAGATTATGTTTATAATATTTCGTTCTCCTCTATATACGTCGGACAAATACGAGTGAACGTGAATCAAACTAAAAATAGTACTACACCACATCGGTTGAAAATAAAACATCGACGCAGTTTTATTGTATCGATATTTATTGCACGGGACTTGGTTTTGCGCTTTCGATAGAAATCAGAAAGGCCTTTGTACTGTTTTTGTTAGACTTATTCGATATTATATATTATACTAGCTTTATCAGCGACTTCGTCCACGTAGAATAGTTGTTTTGTGCATCAAAATTTGTTTTTGCAAACCTCCATTATTGCTGTTACCCACGACGTCCCGTTCCGCCCCGTCGTTCTTGCAAGTTAATCTCAAAAGATAGACATATACAGCCTTATTACAAAATAATTAAACCAGAACTGCAGAGTTTTGGTTTAACTCTTAAAACATGGTCTAAATACATCTAAGATAGTTTGTACAGTACAAACGTTAAACTTTGTTTTGTAATAAGGATTTCAAATAGGTTTACTTGGTTACCTGGTTAGGTTTGAGAGTTAGTCCTTGTTTTGTAATAAGAGTGTTGCAGACTTTTTTTACACCTTTTAAAGGGGAAACATTCGTTCTTAATTTTTTTGGATACCTTCAACCGTTTTCGCAGCATACGCAATGGAAACCTACAAGGATGAATAATTTTTCCCGATTTTCCACATTTCCCGCTGTGTCTTTGCTTCTATTAGTTGCAATGTGATGTTTTATTGCCTAATGCCTTCCTCGCTAAATGCTCTAAATAACACAAAAATATTTCAATTCGAACCAGTAGTTCCTGAGATTACGTTGTTGAAACAAACAAAGAACTTCAACTTTATATATTACTATATATACTAAAACAGTGCATTAGGCGGTCATATCGCTAAACGATGTCGTCTAAGCAACCCAAACTATCTAACCCTCGTATAAAAAGGCGACTATCCCCTTCACATAGCTATGCTCTCTGTGCTAGTCATTCACCCAACCTCATTTACACTGAGGTAGGTTCGTTAATGCATCTGCGTCCACTCACACGTTTAATTTGCATTTATCTATGTGCACGACAGATGTTAGGAACAGGATTCATTAAAATAGAATGACCTTTTAAACGTTCTGGCTTACGAATTGACTAACTGGGTTTGACTAAGGCAATCAAAAGAGTTGGTGAACGAAATTATGGTTTGATAAACTTCTTATGTAACTCTAAAATCTAAAAACTCTAATCTATATAGGAGTATAGAAATCCATCTGAAGTGGCAGTTTGTTTGTTTGAACGCGCTAATCGTAGAAACTATGTAATTGGAAAGTTCTTTTTGTGATGGAAAATTCTTATTGAGAATAGCATTAGGCTATACGTCAAGCTGATACCAATATGTGCGAAGGAACAGTTCCGACAGCGACACGGTTCCAGAAATCAAAAACTCGTAGTTGAAAGTAAATTACCTAAAATCTTTCGCGTTTACTAAAGTAAGTAAACCGTACCAGTGTTTTTTAACGTATAACAACTAACGTCAAGCCAGACACTTCATTGAATAAGCCTAAATGTCAGAGACAAACAAGGTCTAATCCTTCGCAGTAACAGTATAGTAAGTTACAAAATATTCGCGCCATTTAACGTATTGCGTCTCGAATATTTGTAAAAACTATTTTCAATGCTCTATTGTGGTCTAATATTTAAAATTCAAGGACGTGTGAATGTGTGTGTATATCATTGAACTATATTTGAATTGTTTCAAGCAATTGGCATGGTATAGTTTTAAAACTTATTTGTTGTTATACACGTAATTTTACAATATTATGTAATCTGATGTTCATACTTTTATTTACGTTTTATTAATTAATTATGCTTATCTTCGTTTTCTGCAAGGAAAAATTGAGGATATTGATTATTGCATTTTTTTTCTAATTAATGAAATATTATTCTTATTCCTTAATTATTTATTTTACATTAAGTATTAAAGATTAAATAAATACGTAATCTAAATATTTTTTTTTGTTGGACTAGTAAATATGAAAAATTACCTTAACGTAGCTTCAATATTGTTGTTTTGGTGTAAAACAAAACAACTAGTAATATGTATCATATTGTATATTATGTATTATCGAGTATTACATAGTAAATAAAACAGTGTTAATTGTGAATAAATTATTATTTTTATCTAGAACCTATTATTACCTACCTTACCCATAAATATTTTGCGTATGTTGACTTGTATTTGCTATTGTTGTAACACTCAGGTTCAACTGATACTTTGTAATAGATAGCTAACATTCTAGTTGAGTTAAAAAAAATACTGTCTTCTCTCTCTACCCCACTTATCCCCCCTTCTTTTGTTATAGACGGCGCGTAGATTTCAGTCCCTTTTAGACTACTTAGTGACTACAATTTTTCCAATTTAAAAAATTTACGTCAACAGCGTTTATTTTTGTATTTGTATTTAAAAGCAGAGTTTGTTTCCTTGCAGGTGTAAACTGCTGCATATCTTCGACGGTTCGATATTGGCACGCGTGCTGGTGGGGCGCACCAGTACGAGATCTACATCAGACCCTGTGGGGAACACTCCCCGAGATACTAGCATCAAACCGCCTCAACTTCACCAGGTTTGACCTAAATTATTATTGATATTAATCTAAAATAAACCAAGCAACCAAATGGAAAGATTATGTAACATGTACATGAGTTCTATATTACGATTGTATGTACCTTGGTTGTTTGACCGCCACTGTAGCTAAATGGTTAACGTGTTGTCTAGCATTGTATTAAGTGTGGGAGGTCCTGAGTTCGTATCCCGGAAAAACAATAGACTGTTTGGTTAACAGAGCACAGAAGAGTGTATAAAACTGATCAGTGAAACGGACACAGAATTGTGTTTGCCCCATAACCCTAGAGAGAAAACGGGATTTCATATTTTGGCATGTAAATGTTTTTTCATTCCGATAGATAGCTAAACAAATATCCCGTACATCTTCTTGCCTAACTCATAATGATATAAAATAAATACCGTGTGTCGTATTTATATAATTTTTCGGCGGGTAAAAAGATGTCATCCCATTTTTTTTTCAATAACTGACATAATTTAAGTGTCGGCAACTGTCAGATATCGACAGAAACCTCCCCCCATATGCGTCATTGTTCAGAACGGCTGTCAGAAATTTTGTCATACAAAAGTTAACGCTCTAAAGAATACTCTGTGCTGGTGATATTTGGCATAATAATATTTGAATATTTCAGACAACCTTGAGACTAAAAACAGCGAAGGTACATAGCGATATGTCTCAAAGTGAACATCGGTTTCTGATGTTTGGTGTTAAGTTATTGTATAAATAAGATATTCATGAAAGTGAAGTGTAAAAATAAAATGGGTTTATTGCTTTTGTACTTACGCAAAAAAAGTGATTTTTATTTATTTATATGTTGTGTGCTTGATTAAAAACATAAATATTGTTAAGTTGACGTCTATACAACAAACAAATAAATAATAAAACAGTATAGCTATCAATGGGGTCGCGGGTTCAATTCCCACCGAGCCCAATATGTTATAAGAACAAATCTGTAATTACTTCGATTCATTGGTCTATGTTTGGAAAAACTGGGTATTAAGTGTGAGGTATGAATGTGGAATTTCTGTCCTGGTTACAACTACGACTACTCTTTAGATTTCTACAACTGTGCAAAGGCCTGTAACCGCACCTCGGTTTCAGTCTGGACTTCTCAATGTCCGGAGCGAAATAGGTCTACTATCCTTGTTTAGATGAACCCCATGCTCCTCCATCCTCGTCTGTCATACAAAAGTAACTCTATTCTGCACAGAATTCAATATATATTCCTCGCTAAACAAATAAAACAATAAAACCATGTAACAATCATAATATCAAGATCTGCGTAGGATATCAAGTCTATTTATTACTCATCGTCTGCGCCGGTACATAAAGTAGCTATCCACTAATAAAACAATGCTATGGCTGTAAATATGTGTTAAGCCCTAGTTTCAACATAAAGAATACACATTAATTTTTCCAATGCTGGGAGTTAGGCCTCGAGATCAAATTACACACACACACACATTAAAAATAGCAATCTGAACTTGAACTCACTATCTAAACATTCATATAAGAACAGGTTTCTTCCAGCACTTGACCATCTCTTTCTCTATTACTATTTTGCCCTATTGTTATAGTACATCCAGATTTTCAGACAAAACCACGACCCACTAATTATTAGCAATACATTGCTATTACACCTCCGAGCCCTAGTAACGAATCTAGCTATGGCGGGCTAGATATATAAATTTTTAAAGCACATCGCTTAGCTTTTTATCAAGCACAGGCCTAATTCAATATGGGCGCAAGATCAATGTACTTTTGGCAAACGTATGCAACGCCGTCTCAATTCTCAAGTGTTCTTAGGCCGTTAATTCGTCAATAATTAATTATTAATGAGGCTTACCCTCGCATGTAGCTGATGAGTCTTCCGCTATGTTGATTTTGTTTTGTTTATATAAAAGAACTGGCGAGGTGACTATGGTGTGATTATTATTTACCATAACTTTCTATCAACGGCGATAATTCGGTAGGCACTCAATACCACTACAAACATTTACTTATGGATTGAATATAATTATGAAACGAAATTCGGCTATTTTCACTAAGAGATTATTAATTTTTAATTAACCCTTTCACGCTCAAGGAAAATATCTTTCTTATTTACCGATTATTCAATAATTCTTTTCATCGATATTTTTTTAATGAAAAATTGATAAATGTCAAACGTATGAAACTCTATACACCCTTACCCGTTAGGTATTTCTAGTGATAACCTCGTAATTGACACCCAAAACAAACAAAAAAAATGTTTTGTATTCGCATATTTAATCTCAGCCTTACTGTCTGGTAAGGTGTAAAAATCGATTTTAGAGTTAAAAAAAATCGACACGTGCAAGACTTCAACCGGCATCCACAGCCTTCAAATTGAGCCGATGATACCGTGTCCTACACGTCATCGTCGATTTTGTTTCACGCGCATCATGTAATTAATTCTTATTAATTAATATTGGTTTCAATATAATAATGAAACGAAATTCGGCCGCATTTTGTCCGAATTTTGCATTCGCATCTAATGATCCATCATATTACGGTGACGGCAATAGAAGGCTCAACTAGTCAGATTCTAAATAATAATCAAGTGGAAAATTCTGATAGAAATTTCCCAATCTTATTTATATATAAATGCCGGAACTATTACATTCTAGATTACTATCTCGAAAGATAAATTAAGTTTTTGTTAATTCCATTTATTTATAATTTTCCTAACACGTTGCTATTGAGTAATTATTAAAAGCTTAATATCTGCAATATTAATTATGGTCTCTGGTTGGTATCGAAGTAATTTCAGTTACGTAAACTTAGAACCATTCTGATATCATTACCTAATTATAATTTCATCCCATACATTATGTCATCGTTGATGGAAAGTTACGATGCCCCACGATCCTATATGAATTCAGTTATAAACTTGTGTTACAGCTAAGATCTCCGCTGTCATTTCTGTCTTCGTTTAATTTTGCTCATTAACATATAACTGTTCAATGTCGTATTTGAATAAAAAGAAATTAGAAACCAATTTTGTCGCGCTTTTAACCCGAATTATATTCGTTTATAAATCTTAACTACGACCTCACGTTCGTGGTCGTAGTGGGTACACTATTTTTAGCCCCCCAATGTAAAGCCTCTGAAACAATTGATTTAATCATATGTCTACCACTCGCCCTTACTTCTGGTACATATTGGGTAATTGGTTTAATTTCTGGCCGATTTAAAAATAAGATAATTTTCGCTATCAACTTTTCCTTTTTTTTGGAATTTGGTATTCATTACCATTCCGTTATCACCGCCTAGGTTTCCAATTCATTGGACGGATGCGGGAAAAGCTAGCAGGAAAAAGACGTTTTGAGAGACCGCGTTCAAAGCAGATGGCCGAAGACCTTAGAACTACGCAATTTCAGTTTCAATTGCGTTCGGAAATATTGTAATGACTAATGCCACAATGACGATCTGTATACGTAAATTGGTGAACTCGCTACGTCACTAATTATATTTCACGTAGATGGAAAACACGTCGCAATATCAAAATTGGTTTCAACTATTAATTTCCTACTTTTAGACATGGGTCTTCTGTCTTATAACACGATTTAGGAGCTCATTCTAACCATGGCTTTTATAACTACGGCTATCTGTGTCAGCGACTTCATCCCGATGAATAATTATTTTGGACATCAAAATTTGTTTTGCAAACAGCATATCGTGTGCGTATCGTCGCGGACTTTTTATAGGATAATTTAAAGAGGTATCACACATATTTTTTGGGTATCTTGAAGTAGTAAATATTATAGCCTATGGCTTTTCTTGATAAATGATCTAAGCAACACAAAATACATTTTTCAATTCGAACCAGTAGTTTTTGCTGCGCGTTCAAACAAACAAACAAACTCTTCAGTATTATATAATAGTATAGATTTTAACCGGAGCCGTTGCATGCTCTTAGAGATTCGGGGGTGTGTACCTCTGAAAAATTAATCTCTTGACTTCGTGCTCTGCGTAGAGTTTAATTTTGTAAGTAAGCGTAAAGTGTGTAATTTTAATTGGCAAGGTTTTTATTGTTAACAAACACGCTTACGTGACTTCTACCGAGATTAGCTATGAAAATTACAAGTTTTCACGCCGTGTTAACTCTTAACAGCGTAGTCGGTGATACTTTCTTTGTCATGTGTGTACTATGCCATACAATGTTTAAGATGTTGATTAATCTGTCCTAATAATCTAAGCTTTACGTTACAAGTAATTTCTTAACGCCCATAAGAAATTAAAAAAGGGATGCAAATTATTTCCCGTTCATATGTATTATAAAAAACAAGAAAATCAATGATTTTTTTTTCGTGTGATCACATGATTTATTTCATATGATCAATATACAATAGGTTATTTAACATGAAGCATTTGTCGATGTAGGGTCGTAGAGTACAACACTCAGGTTCCGTCTGAGATTCCGCACCGTATGTTATGTAAACATGAAAATAATTGAATAAACATTTGTGCTATGCTATTAAAACATTCCTTCGGTCCAATCTTGTTTTTAATAAAGTTATATTTACAATCAGAATATACGGCGATTGTTATCGGCGGCACTGAATCGTATCGGCCATTGTTTCGCAATAAGCTCGTGAAACGCTATTATGTTTAGATGCAGCGTTTCGCTTCAGCGGCTGGACTGCGGAAATCATTTTTTGCTGCAAGGAGGTTGCACGGATGCAATGCGTACGATATTGGATCTGGTCAACCTTTCAAAACTTCGATTTTGAATAGCATTCCGATTTTAAAATGTTAGGTTTTTCCGAAGTTCGAAGTCAAACAACTGCAGTTTAAACGTAAACCTCCTGTATGAAAAAGCCTTACTTCACAACTATGTTATATTTAATTTTTTAGTAAAGTCTAACTACTTACTAAACTACATATTTACAGTTTAAAGATCTTCTTATGATTAAGTTGATGTCTTAATAAATAAGCCTCCATCGCCTAACACCGGGTCTGTCAAGACTTCCTCTCATCCCTTTTACGTCCTTGATTTATAGGTTACGTTATATCTCACCTAATCTCACTGAAGGTAAATAAAACAGCTTCATCTGATGTTCTATGTAACATTTACAGTCGCGTTAACAATGCCCGATCTTACTTTATAATGGAAATAAGATGGAAATTATTAACCTATTATTTCGTGAGTCATGAATGAAATTGTCTTAATGATAAAAACCTACGGTTCAGTCACTCAAGTTGCCCGTAATTATTTGAGTCATATAAATAAATAAAAAATATGTATTTATTATAATATTTCGATAGGCTAAAGCAAGAGTTACTTTTCTCCTGTACCTGGTTGCCTGGAAGAGATCGTTGCTTAGCGTTTATCTGTAGTTTTTATTTTGTGGTATGTATTATGAATAATAAAGCTGTAATAATTAGAAATATACAAGTAAAAAAAACTGAATAAATAATTAATCTTATCTTCTCCTCGCGTATTTATAGAAGTAACCCTCACGATGAGAGGTTCCTCAAGCTGTCATCAGACGAGGCGCTACAGCTTGGGCCACCACCACGAAGCTGTTATCCTCTCGTGGTGATTCTTGCACGCGATCAAAGGGATACTACAGAATTGCGACCTGATGATACGGTAATTTCTCTTCGTATTTCTTTTTCAACAAAATTAAATTCCATATGTCCACGTTCACTTAATGTAGACACGACAAGTTAACATTACATCAGTTCGTTTGTTAACTTATTCAACTTAAATAAATATAATTAAAATTCTAATAACAACTCTCCAAGTCAAACCTTACTTAAAATCATTTTTTTTTTATCCTTTAAATACGTACTTGGATTCAGCATCGAACTTGGCACTCATTTAGTCCATTCTAATTATGGCAAAGCCTAGAGCCAAGCATATTTTTTTATTGTTTGGCTCTCCTTTTTTACATTTTTGTTTTTGGTGTAGAATAAAAAAACAGTAGTAGAATCATTGATACTTATCTCTATAACATTAAACATTATTTTATACTAGCTGTGCCCGCGACTTCGTCCGCCTGGAATACTGACTTGGGGTAGAATTTTTAATTATTTAGGCCGTTTATTAATTTATATAAGGGCGCATTTAAGGCAGCCAATCTATGCTGTAAGGGTTAATGTGCCGCAACACTCTCACCTCACATTATCTCCCACTCTAACTCCCACTCCCACTCCTATTCCCAAAAAGCCAAAGAGAATGGTTTCATTGTTTTACCTTCAAAAACCACGAATTTCCATACAAACTTTCATACCCTTTTTCAACCCCTTTCGGAAAAAGTAGCTTTCTCAGGCTCTAAAATATCTGTGTACCAAATTTCATTTAAATCAGTTCAGTAGTTTCGGAGTTAAAGCGAGACAGACAGAGTTACTTTCGCATTTATAATATTAGTATAGATTCGTTGTCGTTAGGATTCTGTTTAACATAATCAATGTTGTTTAATATAGTAAAGAATTCGTCTTTACATATTTTTCTTTACTCGATTTCCTATGTAATGCTTTTTATTTTCGGTTTATCGCAAAACGATTAAGCAAGATGAAGTCATCTCTGCAAAAAGGCACAATCCGATTTGTTTGTTGTATAAGCCTTCTTCAAAAGCTTAAACTATGGAAGAATTCCGCGTATCTTGCTATTTATGTTGTAAAGCCTATTAGTGGAAATTATGCGCGAACACATTTTCAAGAAGCCATAAAAGGGGTTATTTTGTAGTAAGTCTAGGCTGAAAAATATATTGAAACCTTTCAACTTTCAAATAACTCTTTTACAATCTAAATCAAAAATATCTGGTAGGTTTTTATTGTGAAATTTGTTGATACAAATTTAAGTTTTTTTGTTATTTATTTATATGTGTGATTTTTATATTTCAGGTGGCACTAGTCAGTATAGTTCACATAAAGGACGACCAATGCCCTCTACCCAGTGGTGTAATCGCTCAATATTTAAAACAGGCCAACGGGCACTTGTCTTGTTTGAAGGTAATTCTCTTTTCCTCCTTCCAATTGACTAGTTGATGACATAGAAATTAAATTAAAAATCATAACTACGTTGACAGTGTAGGATTTTATTTGGTTATGTTTCGAAAATGATAATATAGATTTTTATAACATTGTAATTCTACCCACGCCATAGTGCGCCTTTTTTCAGATCACATTATTATTAGCATTGATATTTCATTATGTATTTAATTTAAATGATAAACTTTAACGGTTAAAACGCGAAATATATTAGTTAAACTAAGTGTTTTATTTTAATGTGTAATACTCGCGTTAACTACAGACATTATTTTTTGTATTTTTTTTTCAGCAACTCTACGTCTCCGGCGAAATGGCGGATGTAGATGAGGGTTATAGATCGAACGGCGAAGCTTTGTGCTGCGTGTGCGCCGCGGCACCGCTGTCTCGCGCGCTTTTGCCTTGTCGACACGCGTGCCTTTGCGCGGGTTGTCTTCGTGAGTACCTTTTTTTTGTCTCACTGTATTTATTAACGATATCCACAGTTTTCTAACAGTATGTATATACGCGTAATTTTAATACCAACTCTGCGCTATATCTTACCTGTAACGAATCTTTAATCTCAAGAATTCCTCGTTTTTATAATTTCGTTTTCAAGCACAATGCGATAATATCCGACTACCAGAAGTAAACAAGTCCGTTGAAAATCTAATCACGCGCATCACATCGATTAGCATTCAGCGTGTTAATCAATCTGCACTGAGTTGGTATCAATCTATAAAAGTTTGTATGCTAGTCTCGCGTTCAGTGCTCGACCCACGAACTCGCAAGGTTGCGGTCACAAAAACCCGACATCAGATAATATTTTTTTCAATGACTAATATAAGATATAGGTCAAAATTAAAATTGATGTTCAGGAAATTTTTTAATAAGATAGTGTGTTTGTTCTGTTTGCTTCCAACCAAACTATATAATATAGAATAACTAGAAATTAGTTACAATGAAATACATATCATCAAACAATCCACATTATAAATATTCCTTTTTTGTCCCACGGAAACTAATGAACCTTAAAAAGACTACAGGTTTCAATCCAGAGTGTCCCGTATTGTTATATTTGTGTTCCTAAGACTCGAACCTAAATCTTCTTGTTCTTAACACAATGCTAGACATAGCCGAAGAGTTACGGCAGCGGTTGACTCTTTAAATGTTGTAAATTTTCGTATAGACTTCCCTTAATCCTAAACAGTCTGAAGATTAATTATCGATCGTTCTCGAATGCTAATTCCCTTGGACCAATAGTTAGATAATAAAATGAATAGAAGGTTAATGACTGTGACATTGGCTGCATCGATGCTGATCACGAGCAAACAACGGTTGCGCGTGCGTTCTGAATATTTATATATCTAGGATAACTTAATGTCTACGGTTTCCTTGAATTGGAGCCAATGCTGGAAGATTCTGTGATTCTGAGGGACATCTCATCAAAACCACCAGTGATATAAACATGCACCTAGCATATATATATAAAATATATCCTTGTGTTGGTAAAAAACAGCTAGGAATCTCCTAATTTTTTATGGATATTGTTGGGTCTAATCTGTACCGTAATTCATTAATTCACTTTTCTATACATCAAAAATTTATTTCAGATTTTTTATATCTTTTTTTGTTATTCTTCTATAAATCAACATATAAGGATGTAGATTAGGGTTTTATTTTATGTAGCCTACATTAGCTTAAATATATATTGCCCGAAATGTTATTTCCCAATATAGATTGCAAATACTGAATTTGTTTTCAACTTTTTTTAATATTGTAAATTAATATTCCAGCTAAACTTGACAAGTGCCCCATCTGCCGCAGCATGATCACGAGTTACTTCTGTATTAGAAACGAAGAGGAGCCCCGTTCAGACAAGCAGCAACATTACCCCATCAACAGACGAATACTCAACCTGTTCCATTATCACTAGCTAGTGTATACACACATTTATGCACTACAGTGAGCAAAAAGTTTAATGATAACTTCCGAAGTGAAGTACAGATGGCGCTGTATAAGAAGGCGCTTTGTAAATCCAACGTGGTTTAAGACAACGCTCATAATGCTGCGCGTGCAAGGTCTAATTTCCTCTGCGTGGTAAAAATTATCATAATTTGAAAGTATCGATTCAATTATAGCAATATATAAACCGAAATTCTTCAGATCTCATATTATGACTAGTGATCCTTGTTCCTTCCAAAATATTACAATTTTTTTACAAAATGCAAAAAACAACCTAATATTTATTTGAAAGTAGATAATATATTTTGAAACGACTATAGCTTTTTATTCACTAGTTTTAGTTAAAAATTACGTGCACACAGTAGACAACGAGAGTTAATCGGGGCTTTTTATATTATATGAATAATACTATTGTTGTGTATACTAAGCTTTATTTAAGGTTCTCCCTATGCTTATTTAATGTCGCTCCTAATAATTAATGTGATCTAGCATGTAATCGTTTAAAAGACAAATCGTTTGCTTGTGATACTTTTGCGTGAATTTGAATTTTGTACAAACGTGGTTATTTTTATTAGCGTAGGAAATTGAATTTATTTCTTTTAAGACTCCTCGAAGCTTGTGTTCAGAATATTTTAAGTTCTCTATAAGTATTCGAGTTAGTAGCAAGTTTGCTTTGGTTTCTTGCGATTTTTTTCTTCAATACATATTATAAGTGTGGGTGCAAAGTATGGAACTGTGATACAAATAAAAAAACTCGTGACATTGTGTTGTATATAAATATTTATGTAGTGAAATGTAAGTCTTTACTTTACCTAGTAATAAGACGCTTCAAAAACCTATTATCATTTATTTAGGGATTATTACTACATGTTGCATATATGTTGTCTACCCTTAACATAATGTTACTCATCTGACGAAAATTACAGTCAGAAATGTGCTTTTACTTGAGATTTTAAACATTTCCTAGTAACAGTTAAATGTAAATTCAGACATGATACATTCTAATTGTCAAAACATCACGCTATTTATATATCTTTTTTTAAATGTATTTAGAACCAACTAAGTCTTCCAATATGTAATTATATCTCATACTTCGAAAGAGAAGTGTCCCATATTTTTAGTTTTGCCGCGTCAATACCTTTCAAAGAGATTTACATAACTAAAACGTTTTCAACCATTAAACAATTCACAAAAAGGTAAGCAATAATGAAAAGCCTTTCAACAAATAGTAGTTTTTGACACGTACAATTGTATATTCTGAAATTATTTAATAAAATCGAATTTTATAGAAACAGTTTAATGTGAAACAATGAGTTATATTTGCACATTTTATCAATAAGTAGACACCTAAAGCCTAACCGAGGCTAATAAGTCAGAATGTAGATGTATATTTTCAAGACGTGTTAATAAATAAAATTGCCAAAGTAATAATTGTAGTTTGTATTCTTAGCTTAACATCGTGGATAAAGGTAATCTATAATCTATCCTTTTTCTTCCTTTAGCCTATCGGCGTATAGCTGCGAGTTTTTGACAGCTGAATACAGACTAAACAACAAATGAAGCGCCTCTATTCTGTCATTGAGCGTATCTCCCGCGACGGGAATGTCAAATAATGCACAGACTATATCAACGTACTGTGATAGCGTGCAGTCAAGCGACGCTGGCGGGAAACCAACTTCGTTGAGAGATTCCTCCATAGACTCGGGCCATTCTTCCATTAGACTGTCTATATCTGGCATTTTTCTGAAAAAGAAAAAGCGTTTATTATATTTTAATATAAGACCTACATTTGGGGCATGCGGTGGCCAAGTTCCTATCCCGTTCATTAATCTATTCTATATAAAGGTAAACAATGCATTCCTTACGAGAATCTCTTGCACAACAAAATACTAGGCAGCAACGAGGGGGCAAGGCTTAAGGCTACAAAACATCTGGCTGCGATCAATAGAAGGGAAAAACGGGAAATAATTCATCTTTCAGGGCTCCCGTTGCGTGTGATATGTAAACGATTCAAGAAACCGAACAACTATGTATAAAGGAATTTTTATTTAACTATTATAGTATTTTTATAAACTTACGTGGTGTAGGTTACCGTTGGTGCCGGTTTCGACATGTGCAGCTCACTGACGTCCTTAATCCATCGATCTATAGCTTTTGGATTATTCTCCGCGTCCTCAATCTTCTTCGTAAGCTGAAACAATTCGTATATATAAAAATAACTTTCATCCACAACCTATTCTTCATATATATCTTTTTTCTTCAGGATAATTTAAAAAATAATCGACATTGTTGAACAAAAAAAAAATAACGCCCTCGCGGCCGTTTACCACGAAAGCCTTAATTTTTTTAACTGATAAATTAGTCTTTAGAATGTCCACTGTGATTGTGACACTTCCAAAACCATTTCTTTAATATTTATCCTAATTGTACGAACATACATGTATTTGCTTCCTTCTAACACCCTCGCAATTACTCACACATAATAGGATTAAGTTAGATAATTGCTGACGTTTGTTAATTATTGTTAATTAAAACGGTTTTAACAGTTTAGAAGGAGAAGAATCTTATTTATTGTTAACATATTTGGAAAACTGTACAGCCATCATTGCAACGGGAGGATTGACAAAAGGTGCGGCGCCCCCTCGCGTAAGATACAGGTATATTTTAAAATTTGAATCGTATTCACTAACCAAAGTCGACTTGGCGCTGGACGTTTTAGAAATCGCTCGAAGTTGCAAGTGTAATAACGCCGAGTCACTTTGCTCTGCAGATGGCTCATCCAATATTGTCAAACCTGGAATAAATTTTACATAGACTTAGAATGGATAGATAAGTGTTTATGTTTTAACAAGGTTTTTAAATTAAATATCGGAAATACCGAGTCTTGTTGTTGTCGTTTGGAATTTAATTGCAGGACTCGGTAACTCAATTAGTTAGAGCAACAGCATGGAACGCTGACGATGCCGGTTCAAGTCCTGCCCGAGGCGGATTTTTTTTTATATTTATTTTCGATTTTTAATTTATATCGTATAATCTAATATAATGTGAAAAATATTCAATTTTCTTTTAACTCGAAAGAGGAGACCATGACATAAAATGGTCAAGCTCGAACTTTAAACTGCCATCACTAAAAGAAAAATATACAAGAGTTTAGGTATAAACACTGTGTATAGTTTACGCGAGTACCCATTTAAATAAAACACTAACGTCGGGCCGAATTTAAAAATCATTTTCAAATACGCTTAACTAATATATATCGCGTTTTAAACTGTTAAAGTGTTTTATTTAAATGAGTTTAGATATTTTAAGTATGCGTATGCATATATAAACCTGTACGATAACATCGTCAAACATTGGCGCAAGTCGACGCGCGATTATTTTCGCATGTAGGTCACAGTCACAATATATAATTAGCAAACATTCGTCTTTAGTGTTCTAAAATATACATATTAACTGATTGCAAACCTACTAGCAATCAATCATTACTAATTGGTCTATGATTATTATTGACGAAGAATTCAAGTGTAGATAAAAATCATTATAATAAATGCTATAATACTATATACTCGTACAGCTTTTAAACAAAATAATGTACATTGGGTTGGGTTGCCTGGAAGAGATCGCTTGTTAGCGAGAAGGCCGCCCATTGCATTCCATATTTATATATAAGTTTAGTTTGTAATTTTGTTCTTTTTTTATTTTGTGCAATAAAGAAATAAATTTATATAAGGACAAACAAGATATGCATCTCCTACTAACGGTAGAAAGTGTCATAATTTTTAATTAATTTTTTTGCTAAATTCTGGAACCGGACTAATACCGCATTAGCAGAATGTTTTTTCACTCGCCTTATTATATCTTATAAATTTCAACCTATAAATGTTTGTAAACGTTTTAGCCATGTTAGACTTTATATATAGCGAATTCTTTACTATGTTGTCTGTTCTCTCCAAAAGCTCACAAACATAACTTCTTAAAATCGGCGCTAACGCATATTACAATTTTTATTTATGTACGTTATGCAATCTCCTAAATATAACTATTTGTCTGTTCATATCTGTATACTGTTGTTCTGTATAATAAATAATTTCTTCCTATTAATTAAAAATACTAACCCAAGTTGTCTATGAACTGCAGGGCGCGTTCGGCGAGCGGCTCGGCGCGCAGTCCGCAAGCGGGCGCGGTCACTTTGATGAATGCGTCCGTATCGCCCACGGCGGGCACGTACTCGGGAACGAACGGTTGCAATTTGAACTCTATATCGATCTTTTGGGGAGTGTATCTGGAAATAACGGTGGGACATAAACATACTAGTCGTATGATTTCTTGTTTTTTGAGAATACCTACGTTTCAAAAAACCAATTTATACAAACGTTCTTCAAACGATGTAAAAAATGTTTGCGACTGTACTCGTAATGTCTATCTATATAACTAACAAAGACGACAGGACGCGGACGACAGAGACGTTGTGAGCAACAGCTATAATTTATAAAGCCGAGGAGGATGTTTGCACATATAAATAATATGATGCCCAAAATAACTATGGCTCGCGGACGAAGTCGCAGGCACGGCTAGTTTAAAATAAGTAGGTATTGCCCATCTCTATCGTCATCCATTCTAAAATAATATGAGAAATATATATTTAGAGAAAGTGAATGTGACAAATGTCTATTCATAATTAGCGAATTAAAAAAGCATACCTTCTCACATAACGGAAGTGCAGTTTCCCAAATAAAATAGATTAAATGACACTTTCACCGCGTCATGAGATAGAATTCACGCTTTTATTGTGTATCATGTAGCAAACCCACAATCGTATTAGTGAAATGTAAGACACCTAAATGTTCAGTGAAGTATTGTTAGTTTCCAGGCCATTTGCGTTCCGAATAGGGAAAAACAAGATCTTATTACTACGACTCCACTGTCCATCTATCTGTCACGAGGCTGTATCATGTAGGCCTCATGAATCAAGTTTATTTTTACAAATAACAGCAAATAATAACAAACAGAATCTAACAAATATTGCAGGTGCTCCTATAACAAAACGTGATCCACTCACTAGTCAATTTAGTCTTCTTCTAGACTCTAGAGGATAAGTAATTTAAATCTTTAAAAGTCACTAGATTCCAAAAAAACGGCACATCAAGAAAAAAGATGACACAGTGAGTCAGTTCTGTAAGGGTCCAGTTTTTCCAAATACCAACTACGAGGAACCAGATGGCGCTAACGTAGCAGATTTGACTTTGACATTAGGGACACCCTCCATCATCGTCGTCTCATGATCACGGCCGCGGTTAAGCATCCGAAACGTCTGGCCGTAGTGAAAATATATTGATAATAAGTTGACTAATACATTTAGCGTTTTAATACGTTAAATGTGTTTTTTACGAAGTAAACTACAGACAATACTTGAATAAACTGTTTTAACTTCTTAAATAAAATATATGTTGTTTAAAATCGAAACGACTGGACGCCGTAAAGCTCAGCCCATATCCGAATGATCAAAAGTAAACTATCGTTCAACGAAACATAATGTAATAATTACTAACTCACTTCATAATATATTGGAATATATTGTCCATCTCAGGCGGTACTTTGAGATCGGCGAATTGTTTTGGATCATACGCGCCCTCAGCTGGTATAACTACTCCACGCTTCTTCCCACTTCCGGCCACTGGCAGGACTGGCTCAGGCCGGTTCAAATCAGCTTCTAAATCGCCACTGTCTGTCTCTAAAATGTAGATCAAATTTCTCATTAAAATATGGATGTCACTGCACTTATTAAAATATCTACCTGTTTTTTTTAAACTCACGTAATACTGTGTATTTTAAAATTATTAAAAACTCATAATACACAGGTGCAGTACAGGTACTTGAATTTAAAGAGGAAATGTGAAACATAACGGTTCTCTATAAAACAAAATTAAATAAACAAATACCGATTTAAAATCTATAGTAAAATCAATAATAGTTACACTCTGAATAGTAAAACAATATCATGTGCTGTGTAAAATCTTGTATAAAAAATAAAACATGAAGAATGCGGTAAAAATTACGCGGTTTATTGAATTAAGGCCTATACCTACAGTTGATATGAAATTACAGACCGCTACGTTACGTAGATATACTATTACATTCTTCATTAAATTAGCATTATTAATAATTTATTTTTATATAACTTTATTTATAACCTTCATTTAGCTAATTAACGAAGTGCGTCATCTGGAATGCAACACTTAAATATAGATATTATAAATAAAGTTTTGTTAGAAAATTAAATTTTGTAAAACGCTATTTAAACTGCTATACATAGAAGAAATACGATTGATGATTATGTATCAGTAATTATCTATGCTTAAATGGATCTTCAGCAGCTCTCTGATCTCTGTAGTATATTTTTGATCTTGAGGTTTTACTGTTGTATTTTTTTGGATTTATTTAGAGGTGTAGACAGTAGCCCTTAACTTATACAAAACAAAAATGATTTGTTCGCTTATTCGTTTATCAAGTATACATAAAAAAATATACTTTTTCGCATGTAATTCTTTCTCAGTCATATAAATCTGGTAAATATACCTAATACTTAGTCAAATCATACGATCTATGCTTTGCATATGATGCATGTAGATTTATCTAGGAACTAAGAAGTTAAATAAAGCATTCTAACGGTTTTAAACCAAACTTTCCAACTCGGTTTCTTTAAGCTAAACATTATATAATAAAAATAGCTTGCTTCTAAAGAGCACTGTGGTTGAAGTTTTAATATAACTAAGATTAGAAGTTACTGACCGGAATTAGAAGAATCATGTCGTCTACTAGACTGTCTGGACAATTCGCTGGTATTTTTAGCCTGCTTCACTTGTTGGTTATCCTTATCTGAATGCTTCGACTGTCTATCAGGCGACTGAAAAATAAAGATTCATGTTCAGTTGAAACCATCTCTAATCGAAACATTAAAACGGCACTAGACTGTGTTGTGTGCTCCTCTATTGTTATTAATTTGTAATAACTATGAGAATCACCTAAAGTACCTAGTTTATTTAAGCAATTGGCAAACGACTTTTTATAGCACTTTGTTTAGGATGTGAATTGAACTCTAGAGAAATTGGGCTGCTGTTTGCATCTGTTGATATTAAACAGTGCAAGTTAAAAATAAGCAAATTATTTACACCAACGATCAAAGATCAAAAAGTAGATGTTCAATGAATCTTGCAATGTTTTAAAAGAGTAGGTATTCACTTATACATGTTTATTCTTCCATTACATACCTGATCCTCCTCTGAAAATTCGAATTTCTCAGGACTAGACTCGCTCTCAGAGTCAGAATCGAAGTCGTGTCTGGCCGTATGTCTCACAGGAGGGTTAAACTTGGACATTTTCGGTGACTCCTCTTCGGAGTTGGGGCTCTCGATTTCTTGCGCATTCACCTCTATTGTCTCGTCATACATTCCTTGTTGAAAATCATCGGTATGAACTTCCGGCGTAATTGACAGCGTCTGGCAGTGTTTGTTGTCGGTTGCCATGGCAACCAATTGGGACAGGAGCGAGCCACTTTGCAGGTGGAGGTAAAATGATGAATCTTCGTCCGTTTTTTGTGACCGATTGGTACGAAATGGTACCATTTGCGTGCATGATAGGTGATTTGTTGGTGTCAACGTGTAGGTGCGATTTGGGAAACGAAGTAGACGTAGATACTAGGTGTCGTATACAAGGAATGCTAGTAAATATGTTGAATTCCATAATTTCAGGTGTAGAGAAAGTTTGCGCTTGTAGTGTTCATTTTAAAGACAGACAAACAGACTTTTTTCGTTAATACTATAATAATTGGCCCATTAACGTCCCGCGGTAATCATAGGAAAGAGTTTAATACGATGAAAATCTTTAAAAGTCAAACAAAAAGAAAGAGACAACATTTTTAAATTTGAATTAAGTACATACCTACTCACACATCACAACATTTATTACACAATAGAATGTAATAAATGTTGTGATTTAAATGTGAATGTGTGCTTATACGAAGAAAACTATTTTGTATTTCAACGTCTTGTATTTTGCAACTCATCGTCGCTTACTATGGTGAACACTTTCTTTTCATAAGCATTTCTAAAGTGTAATACCTACGTTGTCCACAACGAACGATCTTCAAGCTCCAACGACGGTGTAGCACACTTCTGTTGCGAGTGTAATTAATACATTTAATTACTGTTCTCCAATGATGCGTGTAGTAGAAAACTGAACTATATGAAACATATCTAGTGATCTAATTCTGAGCTAACTAGTTTACCAGAGCGATTTATGATTGTTCGCAGTGATCGGAAATGCTCATTCAAGGCTTAATATATGTATATCCAATGTGAAATTTCTAATACTAAAAGAATAGTAAAAAACAAAATAAACTACTCATAATGAAGCTTACCAATTGTTTTTTTTTTAAATTTTACTACTGTTCTCTCTTCAAAGAGTCTCTGAAACCTTTTAACGCAATTGAACAATAAGAAAAACTGATGGATAAACCAAATTCATCTCAAAAATATCTACCATAAGCAAACATGGTGGATATTGAAAGCGTTTTACGAGACGAGTAAAAATAAACCAACCGTTACAGAGTTCAATGACTTTAATAACTAAAATATGTCTAAGTAATTAAACAAAAATATTCTACAAAAATAGTTGGCTTCTAACAACCCGTGTTCGGCATCGATGTTTACAAAAATAGTTTCGCTTTGAATGGAGACAATATTTTTTTTGTTGTACAGATGGAACACATTTTACAAACAGACACGAAAGTAATTTTCGTTAAGAAGTTTATTAGAGGTATTTAGTTTACTTGATAAACAAATTGTTAAGAATAACTTATTACAAACTAGCACACAGTCGGTGATATATTGTTCATTAATATAATTAATTATATTTAGATGCTTCACATGCTAAAAGAAACAAATAAGATGCAATGAATACATAAAAACAACATAATTATAACACTTTCCATAAATCGTAAAAAATATTTTTCATTATTGTCATCAATGTTATATTATCTACAAAAATATTCGTCAATGATAGTCTAAAAATATATTTTTTGTTATTTAATTACTAAATTATTTATATTATCATAAATCTAAACATTAATGTTATTTTTTATAGCGATTCATGAATATTTCATACAATACAATATATTAAATAATTAAGAAAATAAAGTGTGCTTCAAACATTCATTAAATTATGGCCAGCATAACAATATAAGTCCTCTTTCAGACGTGTTTTAATTACGCAAGACAGTAACAATGAATTTTGCAAGATGGTTTATTTTTGTGTAATATTATAAAGTCAAATATGGGTTTTCGTCACAAATTTATCACAATTTCAGTCAACATAGGTAATTGTTTCATGTGGCACCTCTGGAGCACTGGACTTAATGCAACTGATAAGCACACAAGATCTCGATGACGTACTAGATCAAACAGAGTGGTCAGCTGTTGCTCTAAGCCTAATTATAGTTCAGCCGACTTTGTTAATGAGTTCGTCGCAAATGGATGTCAACTCTTCATTGGCCTTGGTTTTCTGCGCCAATGTCTCTTCTAACGATGAAATATGCAAATCTTTTCTCTTTATCATCGCTTTGAACTTCAACACTTCAGTTTCATGAGTTTTGTTAATCTTCTCGAGTTCTTGATTAGCGTAATTCAATTTAGACGTGGCGTGTTGCTTCAATAGTTCATAATTGTTTTCCATTTTTGTTTGGTTATCTTCAAAATCTTGCAGAGACTTCTTGAGGGAGTCTTCGTTTGTTTTTAAACTGAAAATAATCTGTTTACTTTTTTCATACTTGCTATGCAAGTCGTTATATGACATTTCCAAGCTTGCTAGATGCGCAGTTTGTTCATCGCGATCCCTGATAAGTTTCATTCGCTCTTCGGCGTTACGTCTTTTATCTTGCTCTAATTCAGACATTAAAGTTGCAATCGTCCTTTCATACTCTTCTACTACAGTAACCATTGTTTTGTTTAATTTGTTTTTTTCAAGCAGTTGGCGATTTAAATCAGTTACTTTTCTCAACCTTTCCTCACTCTCAAACTCCAGAGATTTTACTTGAGATTCTAACCTGGATAATCTATTTGTTAATTCTTTACGCTCGTCTCTTAAGGATTGTACTTGAATTTCTTTTTCAGCTAACATTTCTCTTAACTGCGTAAGAGCTAAGTCAGTTTGGTTTTGTTCAGTACATACAGACGGCATACTTATGTCATGGCATAAAGTTGTACTTAAATTCCCACTAAGAGAAAGAAGTCTATCAATAACAGCCATGGCAGGAGACGTAAAGGTTAATGACTGTCTGTTTATCTTAGGTGGCGTTGCAGACTTCCTTGGCGACACTATAGAATTTACCGCAGGATTTACAACCATCGTAGGTTTAGATACACTGTTTAAATTGACATCTTCAATTTGGTCTAAATCCTTACTTGATGAGGGCATATTATAACTACATTTAACATTATCAGCGTCGACCTTAACATTTTCAAGCTGCCCTTTTTTCTTTGGAGTGCTTTGTGTCTTTGATGCAGTACTTAAAGCCGCAAATATCCCGTCAGATGAAATTCTTTTAGCGAACAAAGGATCAAATTTAAGAAAGAGGCTTTCTTTCCCGCTATCAGCAACAATGTTGTCTTGATTTTGATTTAGCAAGAACTCAAATGCTTCTGCGTCTATAAACATTTCATTATCGACGTTTTCGCTCTGTTTTTCAAACTCGTTTTCAATTAAATCCTGTTTTACGTTATTATAAACAATATCGACGTTGTTCTCAAATTGGGCTATATCTTCCGTCTCCAGAAAAGGTCCTTCAACAGTATCCTCATCTTCTGTATTTGTCTCTTTTAGAGTTTCATCTGCACATGTTGGCGAGGAATCGCTGACATTAGGTTCCAAAATGTTTACATCGTTCATTTTGCTATTTTGTCGATTGTCGATGTCTGAATCCATATTTTCCGCATTACTTTGATTAAATGCAGGCGACACACACATTTTCGACGTCGAGACAAACGGATTAAAATTTTTATCTTCGATTTCAGGTATATTAAAAACGTTTTTCATATGGACTTTGGAAATTATTTCCGGCACAATATCGTCTTTTTCTACTTCATTAGCATTAGTGTCATTAAATTCTTCTTCAATTGCTATGGCTGGTTCTGGGCTTCTTGCTTTAGTATTTTCTTCGTAATAGTCATTGTTTGGAATTGTGCTATCAAAAGTAGTGTTTATTTTACGCGTATCATTTTGCCGTTCCATCGTCGTCTGGGATTGTCTAACATTTTGTGTAAATGTGCCATCAAGTATATATTCGGCCGGTGGTGATAACCTTACATTAGTTTTAGTAGCAAAAGGATCATCTATTTCATCAAAATTAAAGTTATATCCCTTTGAAACAATTTTAGGGGACCTTGGTGGAGTTATTAATATTTTTGATTTTCTCATACTTATATTATCCGCGCAGGTTTGCTTTTCTAAACTTTCACTCGTATTTTGTTCATCTGTTTTAGTTATAGTTGTGTGTAACTCAGACATGTCTATATTTTGAATAGTCAGTTGATCATCAATTGCAGCAGCTATATCATCAGGATTCAATTGTTTACAAGAAACATTTCTTTCAATTTTAGAATGAGTCAAAGGACTGGATATAGTAAAATTTGTATGCTCTTGATTTTGATTAGTTAACTCGCAACTGTTTGTAATGACATTATACGATATTTCGGTCTCAAGCGAATGCCGAACCAATGCCTTTAATTTATCTGATCCCGAGTGGTCAAGATTTACTTTATTAGCTTCAATATTGTCTATATCATTGAAAACTATTTGTGGTTGAGAAATATTAACTGAAGTGTTATCATTACTTTTTAATTTGTAATCACCATTTAATTCAGTTATTTGAATAATTTCAGGACATAATTGTTGTTCAGTTTTTCCTTCCACTAATTCACTCCAAGATGTTATATGTGTTTCGGTTTCATTCATTACACCTGTGTTGTAATCATTTGTAACGTCTTGATCTGCAATAGTGAACTCGTTTTCTAAGCTCTTTATAATGAGTAAGTCCGAACCGACCACATTATTGTCTAATAAATGAGGCTGGATCTCACAAATATTTGCTATTTCGTCCTTGATATTTTCACCCAATAAAACATCATTACCAAGATTAGCTATATTTATATTTAAATCATGCGCGATGGTTTCATTAACTGTATTAGGATTATTGTCAGGAGGATTATGAAGGTTAATACTGTTAACCTCGTCTATGGCTGCGTCAGGTTCAGCCGATTTTCTTTCATTGTGCACTGGTTCTTTGGTACTGTCTAAAATCATAGAATTAATATCCTGGTTTGGGTGCTCTAACTGTTCAAGTTGAGAAGAGTATATATCATTTAAGGTATTAGCCGTACCACTTGTATTTAAGACAGAGTGTTTAATTTCAATTTCATTACTGATTTCTGGTATTTTATGCAATTTAGTATCTAAACCAATAGTTTTATTTGAGATATCTGATTTTACAGGCTCATGGTAGGTTTTTTCACTGTCAGAATATTTGTCATTTAAAACAACATTAGGTTCAACAACTACATTGCTAGTAATGTCCAAACTTGCACATTCATTCGATTTTTGTTCTTCTTGAACAATATCTGGCAATTTCGATGCACTAGATTGACTAATTGTAGTATTTCCAACACAATTCATTAAATTTGTCACTGCCATTAACCCTATTTCAGGCTGTTTTGGTAGTTCTTCATTTGATTTACTATTGAATGTTCCTAAGTCTTTATTTTTATTAGACTCTTCAGTGCAATAGGCAATACATCCTTCATTAGTTTCACAACTTAAAATATTTTCTACTTCCATGTTTCTAGAAAGATTGATATTACTTCTATCAAATTTATTCGAATCAAATGTTTTATTAAAAGAGTGGTCTATATTTATAGTTTCATTTACTTTAGTATCTGCATCAGTGTTAATAGGTATTAATCTTCCAGTTGATAATTTGTCATTAAAACATTTATCTAAAGTTGTAGGCAAAGAAATATCAACAGTAACAGTTGTATTTTTATTGATAACACCAGATACTTTCTCCTCAATTTTCTCAAAGCCCTTGTTCACATTATCGTTAAGTTTAATCGTTTCAGCTGTTTTGGCTTCTGTCTCAACATTAGTAACAAGAACAACAGAATCTCTTATGTTTTGTGGCTCAATATCTAAATGTACATTACAACTATTTTCTGCCACGCTGTCAGCAGTAACAGTTTTAATTGAATTTTCTACTAATTCTGGTAATACAAGCTGTATATTTTGTGTCAAGGCATTATAGTCAATTTCTTGACTGAGATTTAGATTTTGGGTATCTGATTCAAGATTAATTTCTTGTGTAGGAATGGTGGCTACATATTTATTATCACTATCTACAATAGACATGTCAATATTTAAACATTCCTTTGTGGCTGGTAATATTTCAGTCACTGCTTTTTGTGATGTCTCCAAATTGGCAGTTTTATTGAATGTTGTTTCACAATCTAAGAACTCATTATCAGATTCAATATTATTAAAATCATTATTTTGTGGGTCTGTTATATAGACTTTGTCTTCAGCGACCATATCATTTTCAGATATATCCATGTTCTCAACTGTTTTGTTTATCTGTTCTTTAAACTTATTAGATGATTTAACAGCTGAGGTGGGTTGACAAGGAAATAATAATTTATGTATTGGTATTTTCTCTTCTTTAAAAAATACAGCAGAATCTTCTTTCCATTTTAACTCTCTTTCTAGATCATTATTAAAGACAATACTTTCCTTAAATGAATTGTTAGTACTTTCAGAATGACTGTTATTTTTAATAGGAGTTGATGCTGACGCTGTTTGGTCTGTTATGACTGGCACTATAGCTTCGGAGGCAGAATGGAAATCTTTATTATCATCATATTTATTATTTTCAAAAGGTGGAATTGGGCTTTGTGAAGACCTAAACATACTTAATACACTCTTTAATCCTCTCATAATGGGCGAACCTTCCTCAAGCTTCGGTATATCTTTGGTTGGTGTTGTTGCTTCTGGTGTATGTGCCAGAGATGAAGATGTGCTTGGTAAAGATAAATTATCAACACTGACTACATTAACTGTGCCATTATTGTTTGCAGCATCCAAAGAATGTCTTAATGGTGAATTCCTGTTAATATCTAAATAACCATCACTTGAAATTGTTTGAAGCGGTAGAGACTTTGGGGATTTTAGTAAACTATCAGTATTCGTGGAAGATACATTCAGTGATTGTGTTAAGTTAGTGTTAACCAAGTTGTCTTCCACTGAAGTTACACTTTTGTAATCAGTATGTGATGTGAAGCTTTTGGACATACCAACCGTAGATGGCGATGCTGAGTTTGTGAGTTTCATGTTATATTCTGATACTTTTATATCTTCATACCCTTTTTCTGTGCCAGTAGTTTTCGGCAGAGCGTTGTTATGTTGATGTGAATTTTCTTTATTATCAAAATCATTTTCAATGATGTCCAAATCCATTGGCACTACATGAGACATGTTTAACAACTTATTTACACAATCCCTGTGTTTATTTAGGTTTGTGAAAGTTACACCGTACACTTTTTGTTAGTTAAGTCACTGCACTTCATCACGAATAAGTCTACAAAACTGCTAATAAAAGTTGAAAATAAATACCAAAATGAGAATGTCACATACAAACAAAAATGTCGAAAGAACGTAACTCACTGTTGAAAATCTAATTATAACTTTTTTGTACTAAAAGTGCGACGTTCATTTAACTCACGCGCCTTAGGGAACTTTGCCAAAAAGCGGTTGGCCGTTAAACTCAAATGCTATTGTCGTTTAAAATAACAAATCGTAATGGTTTGTCAAATTCAATGACATCTGTCAGTGCCAAGTCATAGATAACTGTAAATCCTGCCACAGACTGTTCGATTAACAGGCAAACTTGTTTAAATAAAATAAAAGTAAAAATAATAAGATTGTTCACAACTTTCTTCGTTTAAACTTATAATAAATAAATTGGTATAACATGTCATGTTATATCACAGGAAAAGAGATTCCTCTACTACATTTGCACTCTCTGGTCAGTCTTATAGTGATACCGACTAAGGAGTTTTTCTCCTAAGTTTGGGGAAAAACAGTCTAACGGTATTTTTGGAAGCACATTAATTAAGGGGTTTAGATTTTTAGGGGTGTGATATTCAGGCCAACAAATTCGCCTTATTCTAAAATCCATATCCTGAATGGTTTTTAAAACATGGTATCCATGAGAAAAACGTCAAAGCAATTTCGTTTATTTTAAGTATTACAACTTTACTGTTTAATTTATGTGAAAATGTAAAAGATGTGTATTTGTGGATGAAATAAATGCACAGCTATTTCAAATTGCTTGAAATTAATGTGTATTTTTAACTTATTGGAATATTCTGTAGGAGTTGGTAACACCGTATTGTCAATGCTTTGAAAGCTATAACTTTTATTCATCCGAGCATGAGCATTCAAACTTAGGAAATAAGGTAATAATAAATAAATTTAAAGATGTGCTTTTTAAAACTCTAAGGCCATGTTTTAATTCGTTTTTAATTTACTGAAATAAAATTTGTTAATAACTTTGACAAAGTTTTTCACAAACTTAAATATTGTTTCTAATATCATATACATTATGAAATAACCCACTTGTTATAATAACAAGTGTCCCAAGGTCTCATTAATTGTAATTTGTGACTGATGCCACATAAAGTGTTGCTTAGACATTCGCCGTATTATATTAGTAATATTTTTTTCGATCACTTGTGTAGTGTATATTTATTTATTATCATATTGTGTCGGTCTATTTGAATTAATTGTATTCTGTTAACGCTTCAGTAAGTAGTACGAATACAATAGGAACCACTTTCAAGTTATATCCGATATTGGTAAAATTATATCAAGCCAGTGAATAAAATTTTGTTTAAACATCATTTTAGGATGAAACATGGAAATTGAGCATGGTGTCACTGTAAGAGTCCTTTTCTTTGCGAAATCTAAGGAATTGGCAGGAAGAAGGGAAGCAAAAATAACATTACCTGAAAAAATCACTTACCAACAGCTACTCAGGATAATTATAGATCGTTATAACCTTGAAGCAATAAAGGACAATATTTTATTAGCAAAGAATGAAGAAGTGTGTTCAGACAGAGAAATAGTAATAAACGAATTTGACAATATTGCTGTTATACCACCACTAAGCGGAGGTTAAAACCACCATGGATTATATAAAATTAACTTTTGATAAGCTGTTGATAGATGATATTAGTGATTTAGTAGTCCACGATAGCTGTGGTGCCGTGTCTATTTTTGTTGGAACAACTAGAGATAATTTTGAAGGGAAAAAGGTTAGTATGTTATTGGTTTGACCCTTAGATAAACTATTACAACATTGTGAATAATTTCAGTTTTAAAGATTGGATGTTTTTTCAATTAAATTACTTTTATGATGCACAGAAAAATTAATCAATATAGCTGATTCATAAAGGCACAATACTGAGTATATGGCGAAATTATGTTGGGTCTTATATATATATTACGGTTTCCAGGTAATAAGACTTGAATATGAAGCATATGAACCTATGGCCCTAAAAGCTATGAAGAGTATTTGTGATGAAGTGAGAAACAGGTGGCCATCTGTATATGGCATAGCCATTTATCATAGGTAAATTTTAAATCCATTTAGTCTTTTTTACTTTTTGTGCTAGTTGCGTTCTTTAAATAGGTCCTTGTTAATATAGACATCAAATTACCATTAATGCCTTATCATTACAGAAATTACATCATGCAATATATGTACTTCAAAACAGTTGTTATCTGAGTGTAATAATAATCAACAGCTGTGACCTTGGTACTTGTATAATAACATTTCATCTACATTCAAATTTATACCAACCACAAACACAACACAACTAGATAAACTGTCACAAATTATGAGATATGATGTAGTATAATTTAGTATATTCTATATTTATTTTGTTGTAATGTAAAGTAATAATACATCAAAGAAGAATCTGAATAAGTACTATATTAAACCTATCACTCTATCTGAATCATGCATTAAACTCAAAAGGCTTTTTTATTTTATGCTCGGACGGATTTTTTATTTTTTTTCTGACCTTGAGCTACTTAACTTAATTTTTAGTAGGAATCCCTTTTATCTTCAAATACTGAATTTTTTACTTCTCTTTGTAATATTTCTCGGTCGTCATGGATGAGAGGTTGCATTCGATATCACGCCATCATGAGAGGATGTGATAATCATCATCTTAGTGAAGACTGATTATATTGTTTGCATGTTTCAGACTTGGTGCTGTACCATGCAAAGAAGCATCTGTAGTTATAGCAGTAAGCAGTCCTCATAGAAGAGATTCATTGGATGCAGTAAGCCACTGCATAGACAGTTTAAAAGCGAATGTGCCAATTTGGAAAAAAGAGATCTATGAAGACAGCGAGCCTGTCTGGAAGGAGAATGTGGAATGTGCGTGGTCAAAGAGAGCTCAGAGAGTTTAGATTGCATAAGTATTAAAGGGAATTTTCACATTATTCATAAAGTATAGTTAACGAAAAACTTCTTGTCTGATTTGCCAGGTGGATATTGTTTTTAAAATTCTCTATTGTATTTGTGCTGATTGCCATTATAAAATAAATCAGACTAGAAGAGTTCTCATTACTATATTCAATCAAATAATATAATAAATGAGCTTAATAAACACACCTTAAAGGTATAAATAAATGTGGTAAAAATTCTATTTAACATGCACTTATCTGATGTGTTACTAAATATATAATATAATGTGAAGATTCTTCTATTTTTATTTGTCAAAATTTTAAGCAATTAGCATTGATATTATTGTGTTCCTAAATATATATTATTGTCTAAGTGTTATGTTATGTAGATTTTATGCTTCATTAGCTAGATTTAAGCTGTATTATTTTTATTTTCGCTTCTCATATTCTTTCTTGCATAGTTCTAGTTCTAATTCTTTAAAAGCTTTTTTATTTTCATTTTAACTTGGCGCTCGAACTTAGTTGTGAAGAGGTAACTCTATAAAATGTTATTGTTAATATGCTAAAGAGTGATAACAGAGGTTGAAAATTGCTGTTGTTTAAGATTTAAGAAAACTGTATACGTACATGTTCACGTTTATTTTACCGTCGCCTTTTTTATATATGGCGATGTAGTCTTCCATTATTTTTATGAAACTTTATTTAAATATCATAGTTTAAGTGCACGCACATTATACGAAAGGCAATTCAAACTGATAGTACATACCTCGTTAGTTAAGATGAGTTTTTGGTTTGGGTAGATTTAAGTGTTAAAGTACATTAAGAATAAATATTTTGCGTTTTGAAACTGTTTTTTATTTAACAAAATCTTATGGTATTCCAGGTCGTGACATAAAAAAGGAACCTTCGTTCACTCGAAGTACTGTTGACAAAAACTTAATTCAAATAAATGTCTCTAACGAAGAGATTCAGAAACGTATACAGAATTTTATTGAGAGAAAACGTGCACAAGTGAATTTGAGTAATATTCACGATTTTATTCCGAACATTGGTGAGAGTGAGAAGGAAGATACGGAGACGTGCGCTAGAGTGAGAACTCAGTTTGTGAAGAGAAGTGACTCAAAAGGACATTTAAAGGGTAAGTTTCTTGAGAGATCTATATGCATAACTCCTATAGTCCTATCAAGTCCACGCGAAGTAGAGCGGACTTATCTTAATCAATATTAAAATGATAACAATGCTTGCGGCTTGGTGGACCCGCTTTAACAATTTTAAGATGTACACATTAAGTGCGTTTGGAACTTGTAACAAAAAGTTGGCACAAAAGGAGCGGCGGGGAGTTTCTTGCCGGTTCTTCTCGTTCGTTCTACGCCCCTAATTGGAGAACTACCAAAACTAAAATTTTTAATTGTTTTGAAATTTTAATGGTTGCAGTACGTATGTAACTACATGTATACATGAATAAATGATTTTTATTTTTTGCTGTGTCATTCTGATGTATTAGTGTATAAGTATTTTGCTTTCGGGACCGAGACATAAAATCCATGAAAATTGAGCCGCCATTCTCGAGTGTTAAGAGACTTATTTTTATACGTGTGTTTCAGTATGCCGGGTATACAACGAATGGGGCCCACAAACAGTGCACCACGAGCCTCAAACGGACGAGCCAGTAGACACGAAGCTACCGCATTCAATAGCTGAACGAGTCAACGTTATCGAATCTTATCTCAGCACCACTCCAGTTTCATCAGATATCTACAAACGACTGAAAGAGATGGAAGATAAGATAGCTTTTCTGGAATCAGTTTCGCCTGAGTACTCGCAATTTTGGGTAACTATTATATAATATTAAAATAGCACATTTTTACTTATCTAACAAAATAAATAAAAGTAATCCTTACAAGCGTAGGTATATATCACAAAACATGTGTTTTTAACTTTTAATTAAGAAAAAATGTTTCATTTCAAGATAATCGTAACAAATATATATTTTCAAATATTTTTAGAAAAGAAACAAGCACTGCAACGACATAAAGCAAGAATTAGCAGAGTATACAATAACCGCTGAAGATATTGATAGAAAAATTGAATTATTAGAAATGCAACAGAACCATATATAAAGACAGAAAATAATCATCTTTTTAATCGCCATGTTCATGATTTATTATAATGTATGATGATGTGTTTGTATATGATGAATAATGAGGGATTTTAACACAAATACTCTTTTGTTTTTTTTTAAATCCATTTAACTCAAATTTTAGTATCCCCTAATTTTATAAAATATAGGAACTATGTTTAAAAAGTTTCTTAGACTATATTCCAGTTCTCTGATAACTTCAGTCTAAAAACGAAACACATTTCAAAGACAGCATATCTTAATAAATAATTTTATTTACATTATAAATTTCTTTGATTTTCCATTTTGAACACTACTTAACATGGGTTGATAAGTAATTCAAACGAATGTTTATTAAAATTTTGTTATTGCTATTACACAATTTCCCTTTATTGCACCATGAATTCAAAAAAAGACAGCTATAGCTAAACCATTCATTCAAATTCTCCAAAAAAAAAAACTACAGTTCAATATCCAAGTTAGGAAACATTAGATTTGCACAAAAATGGAATAATGTGAAAATTACATCTTGTTGCATTTATAGAAATGAACTATTAAAAGTAATAATTAAACGTATACAAATTTCAAAATGACTGACATCTCCTAATAATGCGATGACCTACTTTCACAGCCTACTTTTTAAATAACGTTTTCATACCAGTATACTTTCATTCGATATTTCTCTATTGTCATTTAATGCCCTTGTACATCAGTGAATACTGGTACAAGTAATTAAAAACACTATGGTGCACACATACAAATAAAGAACTACGTTAGAGAAGCAATACTATGAAGCTGCTTAGAAAAATATATTAACTACCTTCACGCGATAGCATAGATAAGTTATACATAAAATAATTTACGCCAACGGCTTCACATCCCTAAAAAACTTAATACCTCGAGATGAGAATCTATTGTTTTCGATGAAACGGAATTAATACAGCACATATATACTTGAGTCGTTAAACTAACATCGGTCGAAGAAGCTAGGGAAACACAAAAAGCGAGGTATTTTCGTCAGTTGTTATGCTGTGGTCTCCTCAAGTATAGAACCAGGCCCAGTGCTGCTGCTAGAAATGCTATGAGGTAGACATCCCAGTTGGACAGCAGCGTTGACTCGCCCGAGAGAAAGATCATCGCGAGTGGGCTCTGTAATATAGACTGAATAATTATCATATTTTTATTGTACTACTGTATTCTGAATTACTACTACTTCTATTGCCTCTTTGAACAATATAAAAACTTTAGGATATGTCATAAAATGTTAATTATGAAATGTTTACATAAGAATCAAAATAAACTTTAAAAACATTCTTAACATTTCTAATCATTTATTATTGTAAATTTCTATCTGAAAGGTTGCCTAGAGGAAATCGTTTTTTAGCGATAAGGCCACCTTTTTTCGCTACATTTATTTGATGTTGTTGAAATTATTTTATTTTGTACTACTGTAGTGACAATAAAGTATTTTGTTTGTTTGTTTTAATATGTGACCAATTTCATCGTAACGTAAAGTATTTTGTTTTTGGGTTAATGTTCTTATTCCACGCCTGGAGGAGAACGAGAAACGTGTGACGTGTTGTGTGTATGACTATAGAATATAGACGACAATACCTTACGAATAGAAAATAATATTATAAGTGTAAAATTCTGAATAGGTAAACCATACTAAATATATTTTTTTAAAAGGCATAGCACAGTATCAAATAATACCTTTTTTTATACGCCAATCTTAAGTTCTGGCGTAAATATATTACCGAGATGGTATGTTTCATACTCACGTCCATAAGCGAAGAAAATGTAGTCACAGCGGTTAGCCTAGCCAGCGCAAGCGCAGCTGGCAACCTAGCCTCAGGCGCTGCGTCCGCTGCTAAGTCATAGCAACGCTTGGCAAGATGGATATCGCGCGCAAGACCCAATCCACGTTCGTGCATATAGCCCAGGTTGAAAGTAGCTTGCGCATTGTGTAGTTGCTCGGACGCTATTCTGTATTAAATAAATGTGAAGTGTGTGAAATCCTACTTAACCTTACCGCAATATGTCGACTAAAACAATTTAACGTTAACCAGAGATTTGAACCCAGGACGTCTCGTTCTCAATGAAGTAGTGGAAATATGCAGTTTTTAGTAATGGCAACTGCATATATAAGATTCCTATCAATGGCTGTACTGAGAGATTTAAGTAACTTAAATTGATTTTATAGGTTTTTCAGGATGCACCTTCATGTTACAATGTACATTATAATACCCTAGTGTAATCTTGCTGTTGATGTTTTTTTTGTTTTTTGTACCTATAGTGATAAGCAGCAGCCTCTAGATCAACACTCGTCCCAAGTCCATAGTAGTGGTAGTCGCCTAGTTTGACACGTGCGGCCGCGCAACCCTGTGAAGCGGCGCGCGACCACAACTGCAACGCACGGCGCCATCTTTCCTCTTCAGGGAAGAGGCGAACTTCACCTGGTTTAATGAGATGAAAATCGATTTTAGATTGAAAAAACCGGCATCCACAGCGTTCCGTGATTTTGCTCTAACCTAACCTAGAAATTTTAAAGGTTAATTAGAAGACTTACCATCATCCAGTAGATAAGCGGCATTACTTTGGGCGATTTCGAAGCCTCGTTCGGCGAGTGATAAGTACTGGAGCATGGCTGAATCTGTGTCTCGAGCGCGCCATGCTGCTTGCCCTAGCATAAGCCGGGATGACCAGGGGCCACGCTCGCAGACGTTCTTGAATAGCTAAGGAACAAGCATTTAATTTCGGCTTTTAGTAATCATTTGGTCACTCACACATCACTTACTAAAATTCAAAAATATTTCATTTGAAATTGTATCTGATAAAGAATTTAATAAAATAAGTAAGGTAAGTTAAAATAAATAGGAAACAACGAATAATAAAGCCTGTGTTAAAAGAAAATCGTGTTTATTGTTTATATCCAGCTTGAAATACCAAAAAGAAACATTAAAGACGCACATGATTATTACAATCAAAAGTAGAAGATTATAAAATGTTGTGTAGTTTATACAAGATATGTTGACTAAATTTTACAATAATTAGTAATATTGCAGTACGCTACAGTTAACATGCATATAGGCTAGCTTTATAGATTTTTTTGTATATATGAAAGATATATAAACAAGCTAATAACTGATAAATTGAAATAATTAATCACCTCAGTAGCGGTAGTACACGAACGCATTACACCCAAGCCCTGGGCGTGTAGCTGTGCCAAGTGATACAATGCCAACACGTGGCCAGATTGTGACGCAAGGGAGAAATATTTGTTCGCTTGCTTGAAGTCACGGCGTACTCCAGTGCCACCTGAAAATTAGAAGAAATTAATTGTAAATACATTTAGCATAAGTAAGTACCAAAAGTAGTGTACATTTATCGTCGCACTGCGCACGTGACTACTCTCTAAATAGCAAAAAAATAAGAGAATTGAAATTGTAAAGAAAAAAACATCATTATAGTAATAAGTATGGACATTAGCGAATATAGATAATACTTACTGAGATATAGAAAACCAAGGTGCAATTGTCCTTCCATCCACCCTTGATTTGCAGACATGGTGAAGTATTTGTGAGCTATATTAGGATCCTTAGGGACCCCTCGACCCTATCAACGACAATTTATATATAGAGTGACCAGTTTTTACAATAAAGGAGAATAAGCTAAATATTAATAAGAATTAATCTTAGCTTTGAAATCATATAACAGTAATACCTGTAAGTACATCAACCCCAAACCACTTTGCCCAATGGGATTGTTGAGTTCCGCTGCTTTTCTAAAATAGTGCAGTGCCGTTTCGTTATTCGCTTTTATTCCATCGCCGCCTTCTAGATAGATCTAGAAAGTAAACTTCCCATTAATATGGAGGTAAATAACACATTATAATTACATAATATATGTACAAGGAGCATTTAGCACAAAATGTAAAAGAAATCAACATTATTTTTAGCAATAAAATCTGTGATTAATTATTTTGTAGGGTTTCAAGATATACAATTTTTTGTCATATATGTTAATAAGTCTAAGTCGAAGTATGGTTATAATATATTATGATAAGTCCACAGTCACCTTTCCAAGATAGGCATTCGCCATGGCATTTCCAGTCTTTGCAGCTTGCTGGAAGTAGTGTAGCGCTTTCTGTATATCCAGTGTTACACCACGGCCGCCTTGAAAGTGTAGTTGACCGAGACCAACCTGCACATTTTTTACGAAAATTATTAATATGTTTAGCATATAAATAGTGGGCTCGAGGAGGATAACATAGCTCGCAGCATTGAAATGAAGATTACTGTAGTGATAAAAAATACAAAAGATAAAAATAAAAAAAAATACTCCAGGATGATTATATATAACAGATGAATAACAATATATGAAGTATATTGCAAAGAAATTATATATACCTGAGCTTGCACATCTCCTTTCTCAGCAAGCAACTGATAGTATTCTATTAGGTCTGTGTCAAGGGCTGCGGTTGGTCCAGTGCCTTCGGCTTCATCGATCAAACGCGTTCGCTGAATAGCCGGACCTCCACTGAATGTAACTTGACTAGCGACTGTAAAAATATTTTATATGAAAGTGTAATAAAGAAAAATTATTTAAAAGAAGGAAATTTAGACAGAGTAACGTGCATATAAAGAAACCATGGAGCACATAAAAGTAATTTCTTACCTTTAGCAGCAACTTTCATGTACAACTCCATTGCTTTGGAGCAAGAACCAGGTACTGTCACACCAACCCAGTGCCTATAGGCAAGAGCCATTTGTGCATAGTCACTGTCGCCAATAGCTCCTATAGTGTAGTGGACTAATGCCTTTGCTTGTGACACTGGTACTCCTACACCAGTAGCGTATAAAAATCCCATACCCTATAAATAAAGAACAAAAAGTTAAATCTTCTATCGTAATAGTACTATTCATAGGTGAGGACTGTCATTTACAATAGAACAATATGTAAATAGAAAAATTTTCACTTGTTCACTCCTACAGTCTTTGCTTTCCGTTTGGATAAGTTATAGTGTTGTATTAAAATCAAAGCTTTACTAACAGCATTAGCATCAGCATTTCCCTCTTCAACAAGTTCTGCAAATATTCTATGAGCCTTGTCAACATCTAGTTCCATTCCCTCTCCAAATACATAGGACCATGCCAATTTTATCTTAGCAGGTGCATAACCACGGTCTGCCGCTTGCTTCACTTGCAAAATGGCTCCACGCAAGTCCGAAGATCTTTTGTCAATTTTCTTCATCGCTGCATCAAAGAGCTCCTTGGCTGTCAACAAAAGCAACATAATTATTGATTCATTATTGCATTGAAAACAGTACATGCCAGGACCAGTATAATAAATAAGTCTATTACCACAAGAGAAAATATTTCAATGTTTTTTATTACCTTCTTGCATTTCAGGCGTAAGTATAATTTCTTTTTCTTTTGGTGGTGGTGGCAGGCTATCTAAATAGTCTTGTGGGTTTTCTTCAGGTTTCTATAAATATAAATGGAAGTACATAAATATAAATTGTGTAAGGCTTTTGAACCCATTGTTCAGAATATCATTGTTTTTTAGATGGGAAAAACAATGATATACATAAATATTATATCTATCAAAAGATTTTTCACTAATACCCTTATGCATAATTAGGTTAAAAATGTAAGTTTAAACAATAATATGAAGTTCACAAAGTTGTTTTGTATAGTTACCCCAATTTCACTGTCAGATGAATCTAGCAAGCCTTTTGCCGTTTCAACCCAGCTTGGCTCAGGCTGTCTAAGAAAACTATTCTTGATTAATTTGAATGTGTATTCCATTTGTTCCATATTTTCATCTTTATCCGTTTTTTCTGTAAAGTGACAATGAAAATTAAAGTCAACAATGTTTGCAGTTTTTATCTATTTAAGATTTATGAATGTTAAAAGCAAAATAATAATTTAACTGTGGGTGCTAGTTACATGTTACAAAGAGAGTTTAAGAGTTTAGCCGTTTACATGTAAAAAAATCTAATAAGACTCTTTTTGGATGTATAAAGATTTACCTTTATTATCCTCATCTTTTAGCAACTTCTTTGACATAACATCAGCATATTCTTGAAGCATTTTGATTTCTTTTCGCATAGCCGATGTTATCTCATTATAATTCTCAGGCTCTTCGGTTTCTGGTGGTTCTGTGGTTTCATCGTCATCCTCTTTTTTACTATCAGGACCAACTAATTCTGCCGTTGTTAAAATAACACATAACAAAAATACGTAGATTTTTAAATAATCCATGTTTATTCCTATTAATAGGTTGACGTGTCCTTATCAAAACAAAATTCAAAACAGAAGTACAATTGTAGAAACACTAAAGGTAAACAATTCCCAGACATTTATAGCCACTGAAAGTCGTACACGTGTTATATAGCTGAGGTAAATTTGTTTTTAAATACCAAATATCCTATAATTCCTACATTGCATCAATTAATGGTTTGTATAGAAATCAAAAATCTCTTTCGGAGTTCCGTCAAATGTCAATGTTATTCGTCAAAGATTAAAAAAAAAGGAACACATCTAAAAACTTTTGCGACTGGTTTAAATGGTAAACAAAGCAACTATATTTCGTAAAAAGTGTTTTATTTAAAAAACCCCGAAAACTCAAGTCGCAAACAAATTCTGTAACCTTTTTTAAAAGTCATTGCTTTAGGTGATTCAAGATCAAGATTAACAATTTACGCTGTTTCTTTCCAAAATTTTATATGAAAATCTGAATTCCGAATGTACCGATCTTATGAACAGGTTCTGTTTTTTATCTTATGTCTGTGGTGAAGAAAATAGATAGTGTATCTATAAACATAAAGTCAGTTGTATCAAGATTAAATATAATCTGCAGTATTTTTGTACGTACTTGAACTTTTGTGCCAAATCTTATGCAAAATTTTGGGAAGTTAAATTATTTCTACAAAATGCGAAGCTATATGAAATACTGACTAATGGAGATATTGCACTGAATGACTGTAGAAGCATGTACAATATTTTACATTTCTTTTGACTTGCAATTGCAATACAAGAAAAATATCTTATAAGACTAAGCACTTCAAAAATGTTGCGAATACCGGTCAGAAGTGGTATTTCACAAAAGTCATTAAAAATACGAACAAAATCGTCTAGCGCGTATATAAGAAAATCTTTTATAGACTATTTTATAGTAAATCACGGACACAAGTATGTTAAATCTAGTTCTGTTGTTCCACTATGCGATCCAACTGTACCGTTTGTAAATGCAGGAATGAACCAGGTATACATTTCATTTATATAGATACAGTAAAAGCATTTAATTTAATATTTTACATTAGTTCCTGAGATGGATTTCTAGAACCAATGGAAAAATGATTTTATTTCAGTTTAAAGGAGTATTTCTTGGCACAGTTGACCCTCCAAGCGCCAGAGCAGTAAATTCCCAGAAATGTGTGAGAGTAGGTGGTAAGCACAATGATTTAGATCTAGTTGGCTTAGATAGTACTCACCACACATTCTTTGAGATGCTTGGCAACTGGTCATTTGGGGACTATTATAAGGTAAATGTTTAATAAATTTGAAAGATATGTATTAATTTTTTGTTTCACTACACTACCAGTACTTACAGTTTGTATATTGCTACAGCAGCTTCAATTAAATTCAAAACTGTGTAAAATATTATAATACAGTGTTTTTTATCCCTTAAAATTCATTATTTTAGAAAGAAGCCTGCAAGATGGCATGGGACCTCCTTCTCGGACCATACAGATTAAAACCTGATAATTTGCTTGTCACTTATTTTGGTGGAGATGTCAGTATTGGCCTCACTGAGGACAGGGAGTGTAGGGATATTTGGAAAGAGATAGGGTAAGTTCTTGCTTTTGTCTCCTCTTATTAAAATATCTAAAAGACCAAAGCCCAAAAATAGATTAAAATAATTAGTAATATCTATATCCCTATCTAAAAATAGACTAATGAGTAACAAAGTAAATTTAATCTATCAATAATGTAATGATAATTATGGTGCTTATTGATTATTTTTAAATTGATTGTTGCATGAAATCTAAGATAGAGTAATGGCAAATTGTTCATTCTACTTCCTTAATACAAGAACAGGTAGGTTTTATAAATTCGAGTCATTTGGCAACAAATTGTGTTTCTAGTTATGGTAATGACATGGTGACATAAAGTCAAACCCTAAACTAAATAAAAAGGACCATTTACTGTAAACTATTTTCAGTGTCCCATCAAGTCATCTTAAGGATTGCGATGCAAAGGACAACTTCTGGGAGATGGGTTTAACTGGCCCTTGTGGGCCCTGTACAGAAATACACTACATACACCCAGATGGGAGCCTTACTGAAATATGGAATCTAGTCTTTATACAATGTAATAGGTAAGCGTTTTGCTTTTATATAAATAAAGTATTAAATATATTCAACCCAGAATTACAATTGTATATGACAAATATTTTCTCTCAAACACTGCTATATGCACTTTATATTTACTCCAAGCACAAATACCAGTGACAACCTAGACTCTGCCCATGAGTTCAGCTATGATACTTCTTATAAAATTTGCTGCAATATGACTAGTATCTCTTTTGAGGCTTATCATTTCTGAATCAGCCGTTATGTAGTTGTAATATTCTAAATACGAACAAACAATACTATTCTAAAATTATCGTTTCACAAATATTGTTAGGACAATTCTTTTTTAACACATTAGTAATATAATACAATAGCTTTGTTAGCTAAAGGTATTATTTTATAACTTAGAGTTTTCAGACTTTGCACCTTTCAGCTTCTAAGTAATCCTAAAACAATGTTTCTGGTGCAGACTTACTGTTTGTTTTAAAGACTACAATAATACCTACTTATATTATAATTTACTTAAAATAATTTAGTAAACACTTTCTTTTTTAATTTTTAGAGAAGCCAATGGTAAAGTGTCTCATCTTCGGAAACACCATGTTGATACAGGAATGGGATTGGAAAGAATGTCTGCACTCTTACAGGGTGTTCCATCTAATTATGACACAGACTTGTTTCGACCAATCATAGCTGCTATTGAGAAGGTATGTTAATGTTATTTCTTTGTCTAAAACTGTTGTCTTGTATTGCAATGTTTCAATTATTACACTTAACAAATTTTAAATAAGTATAATAGAAATGAATGCAACTAACTGATTTAAAAATATAATTAGTTCTTAATTATTTAAATACTATTTGTTTTAGAACAGTAAGGTTTCAGCATATGGCAGTAGCTATAGTAAAGATGCCATTTTAGATCAAAATTATCGACGTCTTGCGGATCACGCTAGAATGATAAGTGTATGTTTGGCTGATGGAGTATTTCCTGCTACAAGGTATTATTATGTTGATTAATATTTTTAAAATTATTATTTGTTTCTTATACATCACATTGTCAATAGAAGTTCATACATCACTTTGTTAACAACAATACAAATACTTTTCAGTTTGAACCTAAAGCAAATAATGCGCAAATCTTTTAAGATCTGCTCCGATGTCTTTCAAAATCCCAATCTTCTCAATATCCTTTACAAACATGTAGCAGAAATCCTTGGGAACACATATCCCGAACTGAGTATCAAAGAGAAAGATGCCATATTAATATTAGAACACGAGGGGGATAGCTATCGTAAGATGCGTTCAAATTTGAAAAAGAAATGGAAAGATTTAGTCAAACAATATCCTGAAGTTGAGGTCCTAAGTGATGTTGAATTAGCTGGTTTTGCACTTGGATATAAAGAGTTTAAGGAGGTAAGTTTAAATTTTTTAATATTGGTAATTTTGAAGAATTTTTTTATTTTATTTTAAAGTTTATTAAAATAAAAATACATAGAAGTGATAGTACGATTTTATCTATTTTCTGTAGAAGTGTAATGTGTATTCAATCTTGTAGAGTGTGAAGAAGTGTGAATCCAAAATAATACCAGGAGAAGTTGTTTTTAAGCTGTACGACACACATGGGTTCCAAGAAGACATAATCGAGAGAATAGCTCTTCTAAACAATATGGAGATTGACAAGAAGGGCTTCTGGAAACTCCTGTCGCAACATAAAATGCGACACAAAGCGTCCTTCAAGGAGCAAAATGATAGAAAAGGAGTGTTATTTGATGAAGCATTAGAAACAATAGTTAAAAGTGGCGTTAAACGCACCGATGATGAAAGTAAATATAAGTACAGAGTCGTGGACGATAAAGTCTCATTCCCACCATTAAGAACAAGGGTAGTCGCGATACTCAATGAAAATGCCGAATGGATTGACTTTTTAGAAGCATGCGAAACTAGACCATACTATGTTGTGACTGAAAGCACAAATTTCTATACAGAAGCCGGTGGCCAAATATGCGACACTGGAATAATAAAGTTTAACAAAGACATTAAATTAATCGTAGATAGTGCGTTTAAAATCCGTGACTTTGTCATACACAAAGGATGTTTTAAAATACTTAGCGATAGTAAATATGTGAGAAATAATGACGACGTGATATTAGAAATAAATAATGATAGACGGTTGAGTTTAATGAGGAATCACAGTGGTGTACATTTACTGAATGCGGCAATACGCAGAGTCTTGCCAGATAGTGTGGTTTGTCAAATTGGATCCAAGGTCAGTGCGACAGGACTAAGTTTGAGTCTAGTTGTGTATGGAGAGAAGTTGTCTCAGAAACGGATGCTAGCAGCTGAGCAATTAATACGGTAATTGTAGTTTTTTATTTAATATTATTCAAGTCTACATTAAAAAAAAACAGAGTTTGATTGTGCTAAATGATAAATATTAAAGAATTCAAAAGAAATTTTAAGTAATTTTATATAAAAAAAATATGGTTTTAAATAATTTGAACTGTGTGTTGTACATAATATATAAAAAATGAATTTATATCAAATTTCTAATAATGTTACTAATTTTGTTTGGAAGAAATAACTTAGCTACTTAGAATTAAACCAATATTTTGGTAGGTTTTTGCCTTAAGTGATAATATAGTCATAAAGACTTTTATATATGCTGCAGGGAATCGATACAATCAAAGGCACCTGTCGCTACAAGAATAATAGATAGTACACAATTGACTGGTGAAGATGCTGTAATGACTGTCCCTGGTGAGACATATCCAGAAAAAGGGCTTCGATTAGTCACTTATTCAGCTCCTTTGATCTCTAGGTAAGAATTAACATAACCTATGGTTGATAGTTAACTATATAATATTTTAATGTTGTTACATATTATAGCTTCATACAAATTGGGACGCTACAGTTTCCCGCTTTATCAAATGCTCAATCCATTACATTATTAGTTTAATACGGACTGGACTCGAACCCACTACCACAGCCTTCCATAGCAAAAAGTTGCTCTCTAGAAACTTTAAGACATCAAATCTAAATTTTCACTGTGAAACAATAATTACGTTGTTATTTTTATTTAAAGGGAATTATGTTGTGGAACGCACGTCCCTCATGCTGGTGTCATCGACGACTTTTGTTTAACTTCAGTCAAAGGGGCGACAACCCATACGCCCACTTTGTATGCGCTAACTGGCGATTATGCGACACAGGTAAAGAACACAAATAATATTGTGTGTAATTAAAAAATCGAAGGTAAATTGAAAAAATTTTCGACGCGGGCAGGACTTGAACCGGCATCGTCAGCGTTCCGTGCTGTTGCTCTGACTCGGTAGCTCAATTGGTAGAGCAACAGCATGAAACGCTGACGATGCCGGTTCAAGTCCTGCCCGAGTCGAAAATTTTTTTAATTTCTTTTCGATTTTCAAATTATAAAGTGCCTTCGTGTGCAATAACATGTAAACAATATTAATGTTTTCACTATTTTGTGCGTTAATTTTTAGTTATTGTTTTCCTGAATCTAATAGTGCTATCCAATGTTATATAGGCCCGAGAATTATTCTGTCGAACGGAAAAATTATCGCAAGTGATAGATTTAGCTGATCCTGAACGAGTAAAGGAAGAAGTGGATAGCATTCGTCAACAACTGGCAACCCTTTGTGAGGTGGGGGCACCGTGTGGCGAGCATTTGGCTTGCCAGAAATTGCTCGATACTCTGCTCAAGAAAGCGGCCAATCGAAACGACGTTGCTTTGCAGTAAGTGAAGATTATTAAAAGCTGTCTGTTATCTACAATATGAAATAGTTGATGCAAAAAATTTACAACCTCACAAAGTAGTAAATATTTTCAAAATCTTATTAACTACTAAATTAATTAAACAAAAAGAAAATACTTTTAACACAACACACACACAAATTACCAAATTTTAATTATTTTAATAACAAAGTTTGCACACATCTGAAAATCTTAATCTAATAATAAGTTGAACGTTTGTGTTGTTGATATATTTATTTTAGTTTGTACGTTAATTTCTACCTTTCAGATCAATAGCGGAAACTGAAATACACGAAGCCTGCTACGAAGCTGTGCGCCAAGGGCGCCGCTTTGTCGTCCACTTTCTTCGCTGTTCCTACCTCATGCAACCACGCGCTGCCGCTCTTTCTTTAGCTAACACTCGTACCTACCCGCAAACAACGATGGATATAGCGTCAAACAAAAGTTTGCATCAAAACACAGACACAGGAGATTATATAAGAACTTATTCTAAAAGTCCGAGCACAGACACTTCGCAAATCGTAGATGAGATCATCGACAATACAGGACATTTACACCCCAGCATAGACAAACAAGCGCCTTTGGACACGGCTACATCACAGGTTCAAATAAGTGACGTCGCGAGCGGGGAACTCCCTGCAATGTTGATGGGATGCGCCGGAGGTGTTATCGTTGCCGTCGCTAGAGTGCCACAGGTAAAGATTAATTAACCACGAGAATCCTCTTCAATTAACAGGTATTGTACATAATCTCAAAGCTCAATTATCTCAAATAAATGATTAATTTTGTCCATAAAAATAAATATTATTAATTTTATATTTGTTGTCATTTAGGAGCTGGTTAGTGAAACATTTACAGCAGAGAAGTGGCTCAGCTGTATTCTGCCGATCTTCCAAGCGGAGATATTGCCAAACACGACGGGTACTTCCCCGCTCACGCATGCGCAAATGAATGCTACTAAAGTTAGTTTAATTTAACTATTTTTATCTAGCTTTATAGCTATACTCTTAAAATTTGTTTAATTACTATATAATTTCAGGTTAGCCTTATAAACTGCGAGCAGATGGTTCAAGACGCGATGCGGGTTGCAATCAAGTTTGCTCAGTCCCATATAAAAGACTTAGGAGATGGTGTAGGACCCACAGAAAATAGACAACAAAACTAGCCTTCAAAAGTTTAGTCCATTAATAAACAATGTGAGGTTTTGTGAAATCTATGGAACTTTGATAGGGTCCCAATAAAACCTTGAAGTGCCTCTTAGTTCTTGTTAGCTACGGTTATGAAGACCACCTCGGTGGTCTCGCTCGGTGGGGGCGTACCGCGTACTAGGGCGCGCCGCCCACGCACGATCACACCAGGAGACGCTCTGTGCGTCACTAAAGACGCACACTTTACGACCGGCCGCGAACCCGACCTCCCTCGGGAGCACTCAGGGGGGATCCCGACGGCTGCGGAAGAATAACCGGACGCAGTTCTTGTTAGTCTAAGATATAGAATTGGAAACATTTAATGTGAGATTATTCTGGTGTATTATTTATCAACTATGACTTCTGTAAGACAATATAAAATTATTTGGTTGAATGTTGGGTTATTAGCTTTTATCTTCTATTGTTTAATTTTTTGTCATAAGTAGTTGAGTCAATATAGGTTTGTTTCATTTATATTTATTTGACATGCCCTAAAAAAGACAATTTTTTATTGATAAAATTTAATGTTATATTTTTTTAGCTGTCTACCTCTTCATGTTGTGAATAATCGTTCGTAATAATAATAAATAAATGTATTTCTAGTCATTCTATTATGAATTAAAGGTGTTATTTTTTATCAATTGTTTTATTACTAAAACAAGGGCTACCTATTAATGATTATCCATATATTGTAGTTCTGAGAGAAGCAATATAGTATTTGGAAGCGGTCGTGGCTGTGGTGATAAAATCGTAAGCGTTTGTCTTTCCATGTCTACTGCGGTCCTATAAAAAAATAAAATAATAGCCATATCAACGATTGCAGTAGTTTTACTACATAGAATAGTAGAGGAATTAAAATACAGACTAATACTTACACACACACAAATCCAGCTAGATTAGAGTGAAGAGCAAGCTCGTCAGCAGCAGGGGAGAACGAGACAGCTAGTATTCGATGCGCAAGCGCTGCTGATGCCCATACTGGTACTAGTTTAGTCAGTGCCTCTTCTGCACGCATGCCTAGGGGCATGCAAGAATCAGGCAAAGACGGCGCTCCAACCTGAAGTCATTTACATGTTTTTTTTAAATAATTATGGTTTATTAAATTGCATTATTTCTTAATCATATTTGAGGTTGTACCTTATAAATCTTAAGGTCCGAGAACTTGACGTCAAAGGAGTGCGGGTAATATGGTGTCCTTTTTCCATAGAAGTATTCTCGTATACGGCCATCCCTCAGTTCAGCTCGCTGAGACGTTGATCTTTCCACTACCTGATATAGAAAATAATTTTCAATAAAGAAATATTTATGAATTTAGCGTTTAATAATTATACAAATATGCAGTGTACCTATGCACTTGCTAAATTATACATAGTCTATATTCTATAATGCATTAAATGGATGGTTATTTTATTTGAAAGACCCGTGATTCAAATTTTCAGTTGAATGTTACTGCCTTTGTGGGTACGCAAAGATAATGTGTAAGAAAATAATAAATAATTACATCTTAATGTAAAGGATTGAACTAAGGACAATCCCGGAGAAACAAAATTGTTTTGCCATCTGTCCCATAGAAACAAGGGGAATTTCGAACTTTAAATAAAACATAGAACTTGTTTATAATCTCTTCTATTTTTTCAGATAATATGTTATCAAGATGGACTCACCCCACCGCTTTTTGGCAAATACACAACTTTCACGAACTTTGGCATATCTCTCTTCAATTCATTATACAGCCTTTCATTATCTAATACTAATATCACATCCACCTGAAATAAATAATTAATTTTTGCAGTTATTAAACTCTGATTAGACACCCAAAAGCAAGGTTGAAAACGAAGGTTACAATGTATGTATAAACTGATAAATATTTCAATAGAAGAATAATGTCCATGTATCTGATCGAGATAATAGTTACACCAACGTTTTTTCCTATCATTTATTTATATATACAGTAAGAAATTTACATCTCTTACCTCAAATGCTTGAGCAGCATGAGTCAGTACTTTGTAACCAGCTCCCTTTACCCAACCACAAGTGTTGATAATAACTCCTGATGTTGAAGCTGTAATATATATCACTTGTTATAAAAGAGCAACATGAAGCTTTCATATAAACAAACAGTAATTATATCAATATTTTATTTTAAGTTACCAATTCAAGTCTATTCATCCAAAACTGTTATAGATGTCTTGTCAATCAATAATATTTTAATAAACACTTGCTCTTTTGAAAACAATAGTGTATATAATAGTACCTTTTTTATTATGTTCACACCTTTCCGCTATAACTTCTGCTAGTCTTGATACTATTGTGTTATACAGCTCTAGATTCTCATTGGGGCTCTTGTGTCCAAAATGGTATACCAGAGGCGCTTGCTGACTAAAACCCTCTTCTATGGATGCAGGTCTTTCCACTAATAAGGCACCTAAAATAGTAAAATTAATTATTTTCCTTAGTAAAACACTTTTACTTATTTTTTATTTATTTTACCCTACATTACATGGTCATGGGGGATATCAAGTATTTCATTTTAGGGCTTTATAAGCTAGAGAGACTACCTTAAAATTGACTCATTCTAGTGAAAGTTTAATATAAATGTATTGTTTAACATAGAGCCAGTTTACTAACTTATTTTCTTATAAGAATATCTGTTTAATAATAATCATAATATTAAAATTATGTTTTGTATATAAATATAAACAAACTCCACCTATTGTTCCTGGAATGCTGATGTGCCCTTGTCCAACATCTAAGTCAACAAATATAGGACGACGTCCCATCCTCACTGCATAATTCAATAAAATCCTAGTCAATGTAGATTTGCCAACATCACCAGGTCCAACAATCATTGTAACAGGTCCTCTTGTATTTTCCTGTTCTGCAGCTACTCGCTGCTGTTCTAAGGCTGCATGGACATTTAAATATACTACCTGCAAGAAAGTTATATAATCTATTCTCATTAATTTTTAAAAGAAATTAGGTATTTAAATAAAACACTTTAACGGTTTAAAACGTGATATATTAATTAAACTTATTTGAAAATAATTTTTAACTTCGGCCTGACATTTCGGATGCTTTGCAGCAGCTGTGGTCACGGGCAGACCCCTTGTCTCCCACCACGTTAATGTGTTTAAATGTGTACTACTCGCGTAAACTATACATTAGGTTACTAATACCAGTCCATTATACAGGTGACACATAATATAATAAATAACCTTTTAAAAACTAAATATTAATATTTCAAATCGTTAGTTCAACAGACCATTGGAGTTTCCTTTGCTACATAGCTAACTTCAGTTCGACCACGTAACTCCACTGTACAACCGTGCCACGTAAATACAGCCACCTTCGCTCCTGTATGGAACTCGTACGGTTTCGCTTTAACTAGCTCTGTACCAAATAACTCGGCGTACCCGCTCTTAACCTTAAAAAGTATTCGTAATACTCAGTTTAGACACTCTGAAATTAGTTAATATTCTTAGCTCCATATTCACAAACCTCTAGGACCACTTTTTCATTCTTAGATTCGACTTCAAAACGAAGTTCGGAGTCTGGTTCCAGTTTAATCTCCTGTAACTGAACTTCAGTCATGTCTGTTATTTTAGTAAAGGCTATTCGTTACGTTACAGTTTAAAACAATTAAAAATACTATGCAGTAAACGTGTATAAGATTATTATATATTTCATTTATAATAATTATTAATACATATTTTGTTTTGGTTTGATGAAGGGTGTTTTGACTTATGACTCTTAGTATATTTGGTGTAAGATAAAAGTCAATTGTCAATTGTTGAGGCACTATTTAGTTAGAATTTATATGTATCGCCAATAAAAAAAGGTATTACTCACAAATGTAGGGATTACAAATAGCTAAGAATTTTTATAGCCTGTGGATACAATTCTTGAATCGAAAATTTAGTTGTGCATATTTTTGAAATTAGTTTTAATTGGCCAAGGAATACTTTTTATTGCTAGCAATACATCTTATAAAACGTTTCGTTTAAAACTTTCAAAACATAATATTTACCAGGTATATATTCAGTAAGTTAAGTAAATGGTTACATTTATTGTATTTACATTAGTATTTTAATTGTTGCTGTTATTATAATTTACGCTTTTCCAAAGTGTTTAATTAAATTAATATAGCCATGGAGAATTCATTTTTTGAATTCCGTGACAAAACTAATGAAGCTGAAATCTCTGACTGTGAAATTGAAAATAGTGTGTTGGAGGAATCGTTTGCTCCTAAAAAAACTCCAGCAAAGAAGAATCATACGATTGTTATACCAGAATCAGATGATTCAGATTACTCTTTATCAGACGGTATGGTCAATTTTTAATCATATATATTTATTTACATAATGATCCAATTACTGATCGTAAATGTATCCAATAAGTTAAAACAACAAAATTTGAATTGCTTTGCAAATATTTCTTCGCTTTCATTATTCACTATGCTTATAATATTTATTGTTGAATGATTTATTCTGTTCTAGATGAACTACAAAAGAAGACTGTGACATCATATCTTTCACCAAAAAAACTAGTTTTAAGTTCTTCCGAAGATGAAGGTATAAAGTAACAAATTGATACTTGAATCTTTTAAAACAAATAGTAAATATATAGTTAAATAAAATTAATAATATATTTTTTGTATATATTTATAGATCTGTCTTTAAAAACTTCAATGAAATCATCCAGAGCATCAGACTCACCATTTATTGGGCGTAAAAATAAAAAGCGTATAATGCAACTTGATTCAGATACTGACAACTCTATAGTTATAGAACATAACAAACAGAAAAAAGTTTTCTGTCTAAAGAGTACGCCAGCTCGAATTGAAAGCAAGAGATTTCTTAAAGATAAGCACAATATGAGTTATGACAGCAATAATAGTGAGCAAGGTGGTGATGAAACAAATGTAGATAGCCCTAATTCAACAATTGATCTAATTACAAATGACATATATGACTCCGATGAGGACAAAGAAAATCGTGACAGTATATCTAAAAACTTTGATAATTGTAAAGATAGTGACAATAAAGAAGAGAAAAAAGAAAGTTCTCATAGTAAAGATAGCAATGACGATTCTGATGTAACAGAGGAATATGACGTAGATGACCAAACTAAAGAACATACAGATGATGAAAATAATGATGATCAAATGTTTGTGTCTCGAGCAACGAGAATGAGTATAATGGGTGTAGTTCCTAAGGATAATGAGAGTGACGATTCAGATTATATTGAATCTGAAGATGTAAGTTTCATTCACTATAAGATAAAGAAAAAAAATTGCACTTAAAGTGCATGTATGGCCAAAAAATAAACAATAACAAATAATAATTAAGAAAAATAATAATATGTGCTGCTAAAGCTAAACAATGTTAAAGTAACTAAGTTAATCTCTTGTCTGATTGCAATGTTGAATGTGCTATTATTTGCTTTCTATTATAATTAATGTTTTATTTCAGTCAAGACGCCCATCTTCTGGAAGTAATGCAGAGTTACCATATACAGGTATTAAAAGTGGGGAAACTTCCAAACAATTGGACGACTCCAATACATCTAGACTTACATGTTCACCTTTCTCGAGCCCTGTAAGGGACAATGAAGTTGATGATCAAGCTGTTGTTGATTTGACACAATTGATAAATGCTGATGACTTAAAAAGTAAAATTCAGTCAAAGTTGAAAGGTGAATTGAAGCCGAAGGTAATGGAGGATCAGGAAGTGACAATTGTTGAAACGAAACAAGAAGTTATCACGCTAAGTAGCGATAGTGAGGACGATGATGTAAGTTAAATTTTTTTATTATTATTATAGAGCAGAAAAGACGAGTATAGGGTTCACTTGATCGATGGTGAAATATCCCAGCCATGTCACATCTAAATAAGATGCGCTGTCAGCCTATATTGGCTTTGGAATCAATGTATGTATCTCTTACGTATCTCTTATTTTAGTTATGTATCCAATTGGCGTTCATAAAGTAAATATAGAATTAAAGCACACTAGAATAACAACTTTCACAGGTTTTAAATCTTAAGGGATGGTATTTTACTGAAATACACACTAAACATCTTTGTATCATACTCTTCGTACCGATAAAATTGAATCACCATGAAATCCATGAATACAATCCTTAAGATGGAAAAAAAAATTAACACAGAAAATTTATGTTTTTGTTGATATGTTGTTTTAGCCCAAAAAACTAGTGTCTTTAGTATGTATAAAATGTTTGAACATATTTGTGATTATTGCTAGTTTGGTTGTTTTTCTTATTTTGCGCCATAGTATGACAATGACAAAAATGCTTATCGATTCATTTGCGTTTCAAAGACTACATTGTTTTGTAAGAAACGAAACGACGAAACAATTATAATATTCCATTTTTTTTTAATACGTATTGTGCAATGGTTTAAAAACTATTTTTTTAAGTTATTGACATTGTATTTGTGGCTGAACATGACTGTAAGGTAGCAGGAGAAAAAAATTAATAAGAGAGGGTACTCGTAAAAAACTTTAGTTTAAATGCGCTGCCATGACTGACGAGGTTAAAACTTAATTATTGCGTTATAAAGTATTTTACAGTGTAGTTTTAAATAATTTAAAGTGCGTGTTTCTCAAATAATATAATTCAGAACAAAACCAAAATGCGAAAATCCGTAAGTACTTTCCTATAAAAGTGTGAATACAAAAAAATATTTACTTTTTTTCCTTAGCGTAAAACAAGATGACGTCTAACAATAATTCTAACAGAGAAACATTTGATTATAATTGTAATATTTGCCTTTTTGTTCGGGCCGTTAAAAAAACTATAGATGTATTTACCCATGTATTAAAAATTTAATAAAGAAAAAGTATAATTAACGTATATATCATTATAATACTATAATAAACGTATTTCAATTATATTTTTCATCTCTATTTTTATCAACAGCTCAAAATAGAAAAGTCGCCAACAATCAAAAGATCTCCCAAGAAGAATGAAAGTTCAGAAAAAACTCGACTGGATAGTGACATTAAGCAGTATTTGGTACCAAACAGTTATCCAAATCTTGTTGTATATGTGAAGAAGCATGTGAGGGACAATGAACTGAATAAATTGAATGGCCTGAGGGAAGATCTCCAGAATGTTAGGGTGAGTAGCAGAAAGTAACAAGACGTATTTTTTTTTTTAATGACAGAGAAGGACAGACAGGGCATGTTCACTTGATGGTAGGTGATAAATCCCAGCATATAGCATCTAAATAAGATGCGCGGTCGACCTATTTTGGGTTTGGTTATTTGGAAATCAACAGACTGAAACCGAAACGCGAGAAAGATTCACGGCTTCTTCTGTGCATGGTGGTTGGTGACCCAGACGGAATTTCTATATTCCTACATCCCATTTAATATTCAGATTTCCAAAGTCCTGCAAGTTTCAGAAAAGATATAAATTAAAAAATTTGAAACATGTTGGCCCTGGTGGGGATCGACCCCAAACCCCGTTGATCATTAGCCATACATTGCTACCATAAGACCTATAAGCGCGTCATACTTATATTATTTATCTAAAGAGTGAATAATTATTCTTTACATTAAAGTTCATGTAAAACTAAACTGAAACTTGAATTTAAAAAAATGTTCTTAAACTGTATAACTTTGCAGTACCTTTTGGAGACAATGGACCTGGATATGTTGCCAGATAGAGGGAGCAAGTTGATCGAACGTCTTTCCACGTTGGAGGAAGAGGTTCGGCGTCAGGGCGACAAGGTTGCCAACATGGTTGTGGAACCAGGTACCAGGTTTAAAACACTTATAAATGAGGTTATGATGTACAGTCAAAAAGACGTATTTAGTTTGAGTATGTTGTTTCGATATAAACTTAAAATATATCCTCAACTGTTTCCCGCGTCTTCGTTTGCTTGATAATAAAAAAAATGCTTAGACTCGTAATTTTAGAAAAAGACACGGTTGGCCGCGCAAACAAAGGGAGGGTTAATAAGTAAAAATGTGGTTTTTATATTTTTAAAGTAAATGTCGTTTCTATTCATTAAATCAAATGAAAACGAACGCCACGCGTTGAATTGCATTGCTAGTAGCGCACAACGTATACTTTATGTAACTTAACTAAAAAAGTAACGTGAAGAAAGAACACACAAACATATTTTTTACACTTATAGTATATAGATTAATATTTGTTTCAGATGAACCACCCCCAAAACCCATAAAAGAAGAATTGAATAAAGATGTATCCTGGGACGACATCCAAAAGGCGAGTAACGCTGTGCAGCCAAGGATGTTTGGCAATCAAGGTAAAATGGTTTTATATAACGTTTATTAAAAACGTATGTTTTATGTAGGTAAGGAGATTTCTTAACTAGTGCTTCGACAAATATATTATATTTGTTTGTGATGCTAACAATGCAATGCATTTATTTTTTATTATTTCTTTATTATATCAAAGAAAAATGTTTTTTATTTGCAAAATTTTACAGCACTGTCGACCCACATGGCTCAAAGGAACATGATACTGGAGAGATTGCGTGACTTGTACGAGTCGTTGGCATCTCGGCCGTCTGAAAACAAGCTCGCTCCGCAGCCTCGTTCCCTCGCTTCCGAGATGATGCCGCATCAGCTGCACGCACTCGCTTGGCTGCAATGGCGCGAGACGCAAAGCCCGTGCGGCGGGATATTGGGTAACGCACTCCCCTTAGACTATTAAAAAGACTTATACAACATTTACTCTCGGCCTAATGGTTACTGCACTTAAGAGTTTCCGGGCTCGAAACCTGAGTCTTATAAAATGGTTATTATTTACTAAAAGTTGAAATCCAACGACTTGCACGATTTAAGAAACGACTAACGTTTTTTGTAAGTTCTTTGTGTAGTTGTAATGTAAAAAATGTAAAACTCAAAATTTACATTTTCTACCATTTCCCAAATTAAAGGCGTAGAAAGAACGAGAAGAACTGATAAGAAACTCGCTGCCACCTCATTTATTGTCAAGTTTTTGTTAGAGATTATAACGCACTTAATATGTAACTTCTTCCTTGTTGTTGTTGAGCGGTTCCTCAAAACCAAAATCGATCATTGATCTCCAAAACGAATCTTTTATATTATACGGACTTGTACTTTTAGCGGACGACATGGGTCTGGGTAAGACCATTACCATGATCTCCCTCATAGCCGCTGACAAGGAGAAAGGTATCGATAGCGACGATGATGGTGAAGAGGGAAGCTCCAGATGTAAGTAACTTTCGTTATAAATGCTCTATCAGGTTTAAATTATCCGTGAAACTCGTGTCAGATGTGGACAAATTAACTTTTTGTTCCCGGCGTGGTGTATTTACCTCTTACTGGCAGTACTGCACTTACGAACTATGCACTGTTTTATCTATGAGAATATTTTTATGGTTTAAAACGCGACCACGACCCGCCATGACGGGAGTTCCCGAGACCGCGGATGCTAGAATCCAAAATGTCATCGTCAAGCCGTAGTTCAAAATGAGTTAAGTAGCATACTCACCGTTATAACCGTTAAAAAGGTTTTATTTGAAAGAACATTTTTTAGATATTTAGAGACAAGATTTCATATAAATATCGACTTAACACACATATTCACGTAGAGAGGACACCGTTCCGCAATTGTGTATATAACATTGGTGAGACTATTTTCAATCCAACCTCTATTCTAATTGTTTTTTTTTAGTGGTCCGCGGCGGAACATTGGTGGTCTGCCCAGCATCCCTGATGCAGCAATGGGCCGGTGAAGTGAAAAAACACTGTGTTTCCCACGCGCTAACTGTCTACCTACATCACGGCACTCAAAGAGCGACGCAGGCGCATCGGCTTGCGAATAACGATTTGGTTCTAACGACGTACAATATATTGCAGCGGGAGAACGAAAAGGTAAGTTGAGATGTTTCGAACTTTGTCTTTTCCGCATTATCCTTGTGTTTGCCCTAAGACATTCGATTTGTTACCAACAATTCGTTTACGACTTTATTGGTACCTATTTATTATACTATATGAAAGGTGTCATTAATATACAATAATTGTTAATCGAAAAAAATTTCAGGCCCAATCCACAAATGTTTTGCACATATATTAAAAGGAAATCTGACTTTTATTTACATGTCAACAGAATGGTGTGCTAACACGAATTTTATGGGGTCGCGTAATACTAGATGAGGCTCACGCGGTCCGAAATCACAAGTCCTTGACCTCGGTGGCGGTCACCGCGCTGAAGGGGCGAAGGCGTTGGGCGCTCACCGGCACGCCTCTGCACAACAAAGACCTAGATCTCTTTGCTCTGCTGAAATTCTTACGCTGTTCGCCGTTCGACGATCTCGCTGTGAGTTAAAATTATATTACACAATATCGTTGCTACATAGGACAGAAATAAGCCTCGATTCCACGAACAACAGTGTACGGTAAGGTAGTAACTTTTCATTAACTCATTTGCAATACGTATGAAAATAACAATGATTTCAAATAAACCTTACTTAATGCCGTGTTATAAACATTAACTTAATTTATTAGGTTTTGGTCCTTCGAGCCGGCTATATGTATGTATGTATATAATTAATGTCACGTGGAATAGGAATATAGTGAAATTTTGTTTTGTTTTCATCGTAGATGTGGAAGAAATGGATCGATACGAAGAGTATGGGTGGACAGGAGCGACTGAGTATGATCATGCGTTGTATTATGCTGCGTCGCACCAAGCGGCTTCTTCAAGAGCGCGGGCAGCTGAAGTGCTTGCCCGATCGCGAGACCCACCAATGCGATGTCACTCTCTCGAAAGAAGAGATGAATGTGTATCAAAAGGTTTGAAATTACTTTTGCTTACCTTAATATCTTCTACAGCCTGTCTATTAACAATCAATTGAAAAATAACGAATAAAATGGTTTTTCAGATATACAGGTGTAAACAACACCTTATTAAAGTAAATTTTATAATCAATTTTTTGCGCAAAATTTCACCTACAGATCTTTTTTGTAGCTTTTTCAATATAGTTGTTTTCGTTTCAGGTTCTTGTATTCTCAAAGACACTCTTCGCACAATTCCTGCATCAACGCGCTGAAAAGGATGAAGACTCTGGGGGTCACTATGTTGCACCGCAAAAAGATACTGCTTACGCAAAGATGCACAAGAAAATGGTCGCTTTGCATGGTGAGAGAATATAACTGAATTGTTGAAAATAAATTTGCAGTAGGGTAGTCGATGTAAATAATAAAGGTTTCATTGCATAAAACATTGGTATGAAATAAAATAAATATCAATATTTTGTTACTAAAAACATGAACATAAAACCGTAGTTTCTTGCCTGGTTTAAACTCAACCAATAGCCAATATGCAGTCAATCTTACAAGTCAAATACTGTCTGTAGTTTACGCGAGTAGTACACATATAAATAAAACATGATATGTATGAGTTAAACTTATTTGAAAATTAGATATTTTATGGGCCGACGTTTCGGATGCTTTGCAGCAGCCGTGACTGTTTTGTTTAAACATTACAAGTTTAATAGTTTTAACCGATTAAATTTCTTTATAAAATAGTTGAGATATAGTATGGCATACATATACAATATTTCAAATTAATTACAGACCAATTAATTAAACTACATCCTCGTGTTAGTGCCAAAGAAAAATTGAAAAGCGAGATAATTTATTTTACGGGAATTAAAACATACTTTATATTAGCGTATGTTTATCATATATCATAGCGATTTTTTATTATTCTTTATAATCTGTTATTGTAGGTACAAAACCAGTTAAATCTCACGAAATCTTAGTTCTTCTACTGCGTTTGCGACAATTGTGCTGCCATTGCGGTCTGATTGCAGCGATGTTGAGCGATGAAGATACGGATGTTTTGCAGGAGGATCCTGCTGGACAGGACCTTCTGGCTGAACTTAACAAACTCAGTTTAGATGAATCCAGTCGGAAAAAGGTGTGTTGTAAAGATGTGTCAAAGATCATATTTATATTATTATCAGCAAAAGTTAATTATATCCTCTATTAGATGACATGCGTATTACATAATTTATTTTAAAGCAGTAAAGACACCAGTAAGATATATAAATACATGGACGATTAATCCTCTATTCTTATTTGTCTCCACTAAACGGGCAGCAAGCAGTTAAAATAAAACTAAACAAGAATATTACTAATTAGCTGATCTGGCAAACGCTCTCTTACCATATGAAGTATTTCGATTAAATTTTATTATCATAAGTTCAGTTCTTGTGAGTTAATCTTAAAAGAATAAAAGAAATAATGTTTTTTGAGGAAACCCTCAAAAAACGATAATTTTCCCCATTTTTTCCACATATTCTGTTGTTTCATCGCTCCTATTGGTCACATGTTTTATAGCCTCGATAAATGGTCCAATCAACACAAAACGATTTTTCAATACGAACCAGTAGTTCCTAACATAATCGCGATTAAACAAACAAACTCTTCAGCTTTGTAATATTAGTACTCTATTACCCCTACAAGCTGAATAGACTAGTAGTGTAATAAGACTAATAAGCCTATGTTACCTAAAAACCACCACTTTTTTATGGTTATAGTTTGGTACTAATTATGTTAGCTGGGCTTTAACATAACATCGTAATTTGCAGAACTTGGGTGATATATCACGGAATGATGATGATGATGATGAGCCCGGTGAAAGCGCCACTGTGGCCGAGGCCCTTCGCTCTTCTCTCTCTCTGAGCAACCCGGTGTTCAAGCTGGACAAGCGCTCCTCTAAGATTCAAGCGGTCATGGACTGCCTCAACGAACATGTTCTATCTAATCCAGGTATTATTATATTTTTCTTTTGAACACACCGATAGAAGTCTAAATGACCATTCTACCCATTAACTCATTTCCAAAATGGTTTGATAAAAAAATACAATTGAAAAATTTTCTTCTACTAAAAAAAGATACATAATGTAGGTCATATCATTATTATAAATGCAGATGTCTTTTTTTCACTTGCAAACTAAGCAACTAATTATAAAGAGTAAATGCAATGGCTGCTGTAATCTTATCATAGTGAATTTATACAGCTATTTGTAAATAAAATATTTAACTAATGTCTGCAAGTAGTATATATATCTAAATACAATCACTTTTAACGGCTTAAAACTAAAAAGCACCCGCAACGTAGGACTAGTTAATATAATTTGTTAACTCGCGTATTAAACCGTTCTATTTAAATATAATATTTATTGTAAAACTTTCAGACGAAAAGGCTGTGGTGGTATCTCAGTGGACGTCAGTTCTGAGTCTGGTTGAACGTGAACTGAAGGCGGCGAAAGTGGAGTGTGTAACCCTCAGTGGATCCGTACCAGTGCAGAAGCGTCCACCACTTATTGACGCCCTTAACAATCCCAAAAGTAAAGTGCGGGTATGTGTCCTACCTCCAATTCTTAAACTCGCTTATTATAAGTTTTATTCTGCATTATAGCTTATTAATCGAAACATTACAATTGGATAAAAGTTAATGCGTTACATAGATCATGCTACTGTCGCTATGTGCTGGTGGCGTGGGTTTGAATCTCTGCGGGGCGAATCACCTGCTACTGTTGGATCCCCACTGGAACCCGCAGTTGGAAGAGCAAGCGCAAGACCGCATTTACCGCGTAGGGCAGACACGGAACGTGCATATTTACAGGTAATTGAGTAGTAATTACTGTACTATTTATTTGGGACATGATTTTACATGATTCAAGGCTTAAGAAGATTACCAATAATAGGCCATTAATAATTAGTACAGAACAAGTAATAATATAAACTCGCCAAAATCATTTTTCACATACTAAATAACCGCAAAAAATTGTAATAAATTCGTTTCCCCCCAATTTCCCGGAATATCTCCTTCACCGTGACATTTAGAACTCTTGGCAAATGCGCAATTACATTTCGCGCGAAAAAAGTGTTGCTCACGCGTTTATCATCACTTATTCTTTGGAATTCAATGGTTAATAGAAATTGTTATTGTTTTAATGTTTATACAACATATAATCTAGAAAAATCATTAATTAGTTAATTTTACCTTTCTTAGACCAAAAAGTTTTAAGCATTGTTTACTCCGGAGAATATGGAGGTTTTCTTTCGAGAAATTCAATTTTCTTCTTGCCCAATATTATGTCTGTAGTTTACTTATAAAATGTTAGTTTTGGATATCCTCAAGTACATATATAGAAGTTATAGTACATAAAAATCCCTGAACCCATCCCGCTGTCGGTATGTGCCAAGTTTTTTCTAAATGTTATTGTTTCGTCTGTCACCCATTCACCAGCACGGCTCGTCAGCGTGTGATGTGCGTCATATTTACAATTTTCGCGTCGCATATTTTTTTAATGATTATTTCCTCCATTCATGTTTATACAGAACTATAGACTTGTCCCAAGGATGAGAAGGAATGTACACTTTCATCTCTTTTGGGGATTATCTTTTGTATTGATAAAATTATTAAGCATTTAGTACGTAGCTCTTGTAATCGTAAGGAATGGGATCAATGACCTGTAATTTATTTGGTTGTCCAGAAGCTGCCATTTTGAACTGAACTGAACATTCAGTTGTCATTTTAATAGCGTACCTACATATTATAAGTGTGTCGTCTTGTAGGTTTTAATTTCGATTATCTTCGCTCTTTGTATACCGGCTAGAGTGTACATACGAAAATGATATAAATATTTAAGTAACACATCCGCACTTCTAATTAAACTGACTTACAGTTAAATTACAAGAGGGGTCAATCACAATTTTAACGTGTTTCTAGTTTACGGTACTATTGTTTGATGGTAAATTTGATATAATTTCAGATTTATGTGTCTAGACACCGTTGAGCAATGGATCCGAAAAATACAAGAGAACAAACTCGAAAGAGCTGATAGCGTATTAACTGGCGCACGTCATACGAACGCTTCAAAGCTCACTATTGAAGACCTGAAAATGTTATTCAATATGGATTCGAAGCAAGATTAACTTCGACTTATTAAAAACATTCCATTATCCATGTCTTTAAATTATAGTTTAGTTATTTTTAAATATAAATTGTTTACTTCGATTTTCAGACATGTAAGCCCATTTTGGGTACTTAATTGTACTTTAGTCTATGATTCTGTGACGTTTTCGTTTCGTTGCTTTCTTTAACTATGTATAAATATTCACCTTCATCCCTACATAAATCAAGATTATATTAGAAATGATGTACCATACTATAGTTTTTATAATAATGTGAGAGTAAAAGATGTAAATATTTATAAATTGTTTGATTCATTTAAATCTTTTATTGTCGATGTCGGGAATGGGGCAGTATATCATAAAATTTCGTGAAGGTAATAATGACTTAAAACGTGAAATATGTCTATCTCCTCACAGACAAAACACCGCCGCTCTAAAAATAGTCGGTTTCAGGAGTCAGTATGCGCGGGAGTCACAAACGTTGCACGCGGCTGACCTAACTGTTCGTTAGTGAGAATGACATCGAAATCTTGCACGGGCTCCGACCCGCACGTTACTAGAAGGCTTTGTGCTACTTTGATTTTTTTGATTGGCATTCTTTGCGTGTTCGCAGGTGAGTTTAAGTGGTAAATAAGTAAATACTATCCATATTGTTGCCCTGAAATTAGAGATTTATAGCCGGATATTCTATACTGTTACGGTATGGATTCTGAGTATTTGTATGAGCGAAGTTCATTTATAACATTGGAGACTTTTTGACATATGCTTTGTTCCAAAAAGCTTATGAAGCATCTTTGAAATGTGAATATATAGGGAAAGTTGATAAAATAATTTATTGTTTTAATTAGAGTCTATAATGTTACAAAGTAAAATGATGAATTATTATTATATTAAATATTATTACAGGCTATTTATTCGGACGCATGGCTCGTAACGAAGTGAGGCACGGAAACGATGTGGTATCGAGCAACCTTACATTCGCCGCTGAAAACTTATTCAGAAAAGCGAAGCGCATCTCACCTAAAGCAGTGCACCATAACGACTCGGGGAAGATTTCCCGAAAAATCTTGGACATCTTCCACTGCAACGCGAGTGACTGCGGCACAATATCGAATAACAATGTCGCAGACTTCATAAAAACCTCTATAAATTATGAGGTAAACAAATTAATTAGGTCAATATACAACGCAACTGTGTATCTAGATTCGTTGAGGTGACATTTGGCGTAAAATATTTTTGTATTTCAACGTAATTTTATCACGGTCATCGCTTCGTTCAGAAGCTGTGAATTGTTAAAATATACAGTGATTTACCGATTGTAAATATTGTGTATGCTCTTCTAATGTCAAAAATGCAACTTGTAAGACATTCATTAGTATTAGTTGAAAATTTATGAAATTAATTTTTGCCAGCTAAGCCTGGTAAAATACTATATAATTATTTGGTGGCTTTATGTTAAGTATGGTCATTTCTAAGATTCCTTACACAATTAAATTAAGATTACGATAATACTTATAATTCATATTTTTGTAAGTAATATTACAGATGAAAGAAAATAAATCAGTTCAATCAATTTCTATGAAAACTTTATTATCTTCACCTGCTTACGGGAAGTACAAACACGAAATTTATATCCATTCTTAAATATGTGTTTCTTCAACCTGGCGCTCCGTACCTGTAAAATAAAAATATTTGAGAAAAAAATCTAAACGTAAACAAATAATATTTCGAGCGGGCGCCGCTTGGACAAGTTCTAATCTGTTGCATACGAAATCCGAACTTATGTGGTACCCAATCACGCGGCAAAAATTACGTTTTAATATACAAAAATTCAGGAGCGAGTCCGTCCATGAAACATTTCTAGTTTAGTAATAATTTGGTTGCGCAATGTAATAAAATAATCTAAATCTTTGAAGAAATAAATCGACTGGTATCGACGGAGGACAGAATACGAATGCGTGTGCGCATATAAAACGTGTATATAGTGGTGAACACGTGCTGTGAGATTCGTTCCAGTGGGCGGCCGTTCGCAGCAAACGTCTCCCTAATCCGTACTTACGATTGAATTAAGCGTTCCGACGTCTTCTCCGCTCCTAAGGTTTGCCGAATGACGAGTGTCATAGCATCGGCTATGCCTCGCAGCCGCATACGCCCTTCCTATCGCCGCTAATACGTCTGAAAGACTCGCACGAACTTCCCTCTCGGAAGTCGACGCTCGGAACGTTACACATGAGAAATACATAGAGCTAGAGCGACGGTTTGCAACCTAACGCCTAGCGATGCTACTACCCATGTGTCAGAATGTTCTGTTTACAAATATTCGCTTAAAATGATTAAGTAATTGTAAGCTAATTGTTCCTGCAATTCTTTCACAGTTTATACTCCGGAAGCGAGAAAGATAGGATTGAGGTTTCGGTCTGGAGGTTGGACATTGGAGAAGCATGCAAGTATCGGTAAACTCAAAGACTGAATCCAAACAAATTGTTTAATCTAAATCTTAAAATATCTTAATTACCTTATACAAATCATTGTTATTGCTCAAGGCGCCAGTGACTGCGTCTCGTGTCACGTTTTAATATTATTGCCGCTCAATAGTTTCAATGAGGCGTTTTCTTACACATTATTATTAAAATTGTATACTCATTCGCTAGATGGCGTTAGTCACTCCCTATTCTGTCGAAGCCTAAGTATGTTTGGTAAATACATAATTCTATAAAAAGTTGAGTATTATCACATATCAAGAGAATTTGATCAATCGTGTTAAACTATGGATGTAAACACTATATTATTTACGCCCTCTGACAGTATAAAGCGACGCGTCTGCGACAGCGATAAGCAGCGTGGTAGCGCCATCTATAGGAAGAAGCTCAAGTGGGAGCTAGGAAAACGGCTCATTAATGAAAAAAGGTTTTACATGATTAAGTTGCGGGTCGATAACCGGGAGCCGTCGGAGGTAGTCGCGCGGCGCGTATCGGCGATGCGTCGGGGCGAAGCGGCGTTACACGAGCGAAATACAGTTTTTGTTGATGCGCGCGGGCTGAGGCCGATGCGGCTGGGGGCGTCCCCCGCCCGGGCGCGCCGCTCCCGATGGTGCTGCGCCTCCGCCGCCCGCGCTAAACACAAAACGCCGCTTAGCTCAAATGACGCGCGCGCCCGCTTCCGCATCGCCTACTCTTACGGATAACGTTGCGTTTGTGCGTAACTGCAAACGAGAACTTGCGTCAGGGCTCGGCTCGCCTCGGCCGAGCCTCTACCGCGAACCGAGATGCCGCCCGCCGGAGGCGACCCGGCAAACGGGAATTCTCTCATTCTGATCGTGAGTCAGGCGTAATGCGGCAAACAAACACTTATTTCAGGGTTATTTATGTTAGCTAATTAATGCTTATTAAACCTCAACGTGAAACGGTGCAGGCATCACACATCAATTATATTTGTTTTCATTTTCTTAGATTAGATAGAATTTGAAACATTTACCCTGTGATGTTTTTAAGTCAGTTATGTATTTGAAACGGTTTGTTTCGAAAATACCTTTTAAGAAAAGAATTTTCTATTGTTTTTATTGCATATAGCATCTATGCATTTTTATTTCTCATCGGCCTTGTATTGATTACTGAACGAAAACTTGGTCAACATTAGTGATTTGTGCTAGTGTCACAAACAACAAACCTTACAGCAACCAGTGAGTAACCAACAGAACTTAAAATCAACTTAAGTTCAGATCTTTGCTACACTTCATATTAATCTACAAATTTGAGTAGGAAAAACCAAATTATCCTTTAGATGTAGAAGTAAACTTGCAAAGAAAGAAAAGTATCTATGTATTCAATTGTAAGGCTAAAAAATTTAATATAAGTGATTGAAGATGTATATCATCTATAAGTATGCTCATAGATTGTTGGTTACACACTAGGAGCTAACAACATTGAAAGAAAATCTTACCGGCCCATAGGTGCATACTGCTGTGCGTAGGGATCACGGTCATAGCCACCTGCTGCACCACCACCACCACGCCTGGAAATTTTGAGCAACAAGTTGTATTATTTTAATAATTAAGTTTTTCTACTTAAAATTAGATTTGTTGCTTACATTGGAGGTGGGGTCCTTCGGCTGTACATGTCTCCATTACCCATTGGTGCAGCTCTGGGCGGTGCTCGATCATAGCCAGTACCCATTGGCATCGGGCCACCTCTCATGCCTCCTCGTCTGTCCATCATATCCCTTTCGTCTGGGTACATAGGAGCTCGCCTGTCATCAGGATACATGGGTGGTATTTCGTCCACTGCACCATATCCACGCCGGTCATCTGGGTACATCGGTGGTGGTGCCCCATATTGATCTCTCGCTCCCCTACCATCCATTAACGCAAAGCCACGTCGGTCTTCGCCATAACCGTTATACCTGTCGTCATAACCTCCCATGGGACCGCGATCCATTCCCCGGTCGTAAGGCGCTCCACCACCCATTCCATTCCTCATGGACATAGGTGGACCTCTCATATCACCGCCTCGCATTGGGCCCATAGGTCGTGAGTCCCTCATGGATGGGTATGGCGCATCCCTGGGTGGACCACCACGCATCGGGCCGCCGCCACGTCGGTCTCTCATTCCACCGCGCATGCCTCCACGACCGCCGCCTCCGACACCACCTCGCTGCCCGCGTTCCTTGATTCTGCCCCTTTCCACCGCTATAACACCACCGTTGAACGTTGTATTGTGTAGGGCGCGAATTGCCGCAGTTGCTTGATCTTCGGTCTGCATATGCACGAAACCGCATCTATTCATTATATCACATTCTGTTACGACACCGAACCTTTCGAATAACTTCCTTAGATCTTCGGGCTTGGAGCCCTGAGGTAAACTTCCCACGAACACTTTGGTTTGCTGAAAGGACGCAATTCATTATTTCTCGGTTTACGTAACGAGTTAGTCATGTTGTGTTATAGATTTACTTACCGCAACCATTTTAACTTATATTATATGCTTATTGTGGTGTAATTATTGATTATATCTGCTCAGGCACATAAAACAAAGATCCGACTACTTTCACCACAAAACTTAGCAACAAAATGGCGGGCGCGTGGTTCAATTTGCGAAAGCCGGACGGCGGACGCCGGCTGCCAAGCAAACTGTCATTTTTTTAATTTTACATGGACTAGACACGTGTCTATTGGACCATAAAATCGCTGTTTTTGTGACATTGGATACATGTCTTTTAGTCATATCTATTGGCATATGAAAAGTTAAAAATATTTATTATAATATATTATTTTTACAATTAAGAAAACGTAATCGTTTTTCTTGAAACCATAAATGTATTGGCAAAAATTTCTTGGCTTTGCAAGGGCATGGTAAGATCAAGGTAAACAAAACAGAAAAGTAATCGAAGGATTTATTTAGTGTTTTAAGACATATTATTTTCGTGTCTCGTTAAATATATTAATAGTTTCACAGAATTAAAATTCCATACTTATGTCAGAATAGAATTAAAGCATTATTGATTCTTCATTGGTCGTCTCTTAACAAGAATTATTCTACCACAAGGTTGGTATTATAGGTGACAATGAATTGAAATATTTTACCTACTACTATAACTTTAATGGTAGCACTAAAAAAGTAAACATGTTAATAATCTTAAATGTTTTTCATAAATATAGGTAGAACGGCCAATTAAAAGAATAAACATACAACGAGTATTTTTAATAAATATACTTTTATTTTCAAACTAATACTGCCTTTATAATTGCTGCAATAATATAGTATAAATGGTAAGATGAATAATTATGAAAATAAATTACAAACAATAATACAAAGTCTTAATGTCAGATTAAATAGATTATCAAACTATTTGTCAAATAAAATGTGAAATACTGGAATACAGGAAAAGTGACTTAATTATTAACTCTACCTAATGAATGTAAAAACTGCCTAAGTCTGATATAGAACGAAGCATAACATCTGAACACGACTAGCATCAATTGTTTATTATAGCTAACTAATAATACTTATTGTAAGCACATCCAAGCATATCAATTTATGAGAAATCTTAAAATATTAATGTAAAAATAGATGTTTTTATGTACTGATACCCAAATGTAGTCTTTTACGAGTCAATAGACTGAACAAGCAAGTATGATTGGCAATTGTTAATACAATATCAAATCTCCCTACAAACAGTTACGAAAATATGTTTTGGATGGATTACCTCCAGACGCGAATTAGTGTTAAAGAGTAGGTCAACAATTCAACAATTTTATGTCAAAGTAGCAGCTAATGATGGAATTGTCTCGCTTACATAGTATTGAGTAGCAATGACATTAGTTTGTGGCATTATTATTATAAGTATGATAAAATATAATTTTCTACAGCTAGCTCATGGTACAAACTACACGCTTTACTCATTATATTAAGGATATATAGTTTTTTAGTAGAAAGTAAAAAAATAGAAGAAACAGTGAAGAACTTAGGAATTATAAAATGTGGTTAAATTTATATTTTCAACATCAATAAATAAATGGTTAATTAAATTCAATATATCCATAATTTCATGTTCTAAGCGGCGACCCTACAGTTGTTCGTTATATATAGCACCGTATGTTGTATATATTTAAATAACCAGGTACTCCGATTAATTTTAGAGAAATTCGTGAAAAGGTAACGAGACTTAAGTCACTCTAGAGTTAAATAAGTGCATATATCGATAGGTTTACCTTTAATTGTCCAAACATACAAATAATGTCCTATTTAAGCAATAGCGTGATGCTTTTTCTTGAGTTCAAATTGGTAAAAGACACTAATTTTTAGAACTATAATTAAACATATTAAAGTTATAATTGAATGCACTGTTGGCAAATATTTGGCATTAAATTCTCATAATCAAATCTAATTCTATTATCCACTCAGAACTAGAAGGTATATGCTCAGGTAAAAAGATATGTATGTCAAATATATCGATTGAAATGTTCCTTCTAGTTTAATTAATGATAATTCTTGAAATTGCATAGCCAATATTTAAAAACTAACCATTAAGGAAGCGGAAACTGTAAATTTTACTTTAGCAATAGCGGAACCCTTTTTTATATTTAATTATTAAGAGTTATTGCTTATTGTTTTATTTACGCGAGGCAATTGTGAAGACGTTTAATGTTTGTTTTCTAAATTTCTCCTTTATCATCCTTTACATCCAATTCGTTACATTTTCGTCAGTTGACATTGCTATGACCTCGCGTATTTGAGGGCTACGTTATGAGGTTTCTCTTCCTTCAGCGAGTCCTTGAGGACGATGTCGGAGGTGGTGTATGGTGGGGGAGGTGGCGAACTGTCAGACTCCTGCGCAACACTAGAGGAGTCAGATCGACTCATGGAATCTGGTGTGGGCCTACAAATAAATATTATATAGAATTTATATAAAAAGTACAATTGTGTAACATTTGGAACACAGAAATGAAAATATTTTTTTATAACAAGTTACACTTAGCTAGAAGAAGCTAGCGTGCTAAGTGTTTAAAAAACAGGATCAAATCTCTCTGACCATTGTTCAGTGATCTAATACATTGTAATATTTTAATAAAAAATAATACATAATCTTACCTATATTTCCTGCAATTGATAGGAGCCACAGCAGCTAAATGCTTTAAAAGGGTATGTCGACTTGTATGTGCGAGTCTAGTTGGCGGTGCGTCTACGCAGAGTGCACTGCGTGTATCGCCAAGGAACGTCGCCACCCAGTTATCTGATCGCAACACGAGGAGTAACACGTCTTCAAGGTCGGCTTCACTGAAGTCAAATAAATGAAATTTAAACTAAGAAAACATTTTCATGACAAACTAATACTTAACGACAAATTGCTGTAATTAGATTACATTCTAATAAATGTATTAATTGTATTTATGAGGCAACTAAAATACTTAACTTGACTTATCTAATCTCTTACTTAAGATTTCAATTTGATCAAAGATGAAACTCTACATTCTGCACTAGCGCGCTCGCCCTGTTTTCTAGATCAAGGGTGCCCCGCGGCCTTCTCCAGCTTGTATTGACGGGAACGGTGTAGTTGGCGGCCCGGGCCACCAGTGGGTTCGGATGCGTCGCGGCTTTTTCAAAGAAGTTCGGAAGTTTCTTTGAAGTACCGACTGAGGGTCGGCAATTCGAGATCGGCGTGGAGGATGGCGTCCCGCACGCACCAGATGGCTCCAGAAGCGGTTGGAGTGAACCGATTCTGAAGCACCTGGAGCCTGCGGAGTCTGCTAGGGGCGGCGTGGGCGAACGCGACGCTGGAGTAGGCAAAGATCGGACGGGTGCACGTCTTGTATAGCGTATATTATGATCTACAATCTACATGGATTTGTACCAAACATTTACAATTTAACAGTGATAGAAGTAATAAGTTACACATTATTTATTTTTTAATGTAGAGAATATAACAGTTTTAACACTACAAAGCACGGTGATTTACAGCACTGTTTTTAAGCGAGTAACGTCGTCATGCCCGAAAAATCAGGAGCGTTTTGTGTCACGTGAGAAATGATTGATAAAGTTAATTTTTATTGCGATTTTTATTGAAATCAATTATTGTTTTTAACATATATGACTCTTCATATTTCTGTACTTATACCTTATATTGATAACAGTATATTTCGCAATTTACGCATTTTATACCTGTGAACGCCAGTTCAGGCCGATATTTATTACATTTGATTATCCAGTCTTTGGCTTAAACAAGGCGATGATTATTAAGATAGATGTGTATATACTTAAGGACTAACCTGGCAGCGTAGAGGAAGTGCGCGAAGTGTATGTTGGAGACGCAGCCGTCGCGGTCATTGCTGTCCGTATACAGGTCAGTCTCCCGATAGTACATGTACAGGAAGTCGTTCAGCTGCTTCGCGATGATCGCGCATCTGTCCTTGTCGCACATCTTCGCAGATGGACCCTGACGACACGCTCAAGCATTAACCCACATTTGATTCTCACTAAGGTCATCCCTATCTCTCACGGTAGATATTATAGACATCAAATCCACTATGGGATGCAATTCTTGGGAGTAATTGCTATCTCATTCATTTGGTAGTTATGGTAAATTTTTAAATTTTGTCATCAAAACTAATACTAATATGTTGTTTGTACCACTCGCGTAAACTACTGTATTTAGTGTTATGCGAGGTTATTTTAATATGTATGTGTCAACACACACACACACACACAAAATACTTAGTAGTAAGTACTTATACACAGTAAGGTGAGAAATATTAAAACAAATATTTGAAAAAATGATCAAACATTCGTAATACATGACTAAAAGCGTCTGTTTTAGCATACGTGTATAAAAATTAATACGCGAAGCGTAATAAGGCAGAGCGAACACATAAACTACTAATATTATAAAAGAATGGTATAAAATGAGATTCCTATAATAACGGTCAATATATGTATCCGAATAGTTTTAATTATTACTAATTATAGATGGATATATATTTTTTATATTATGATAACAAGCAAAATGTGCTAAGAAAGAACCATTTTTGTAAAAAATAGTAAAGCGAAGCGGCATGCTTATATATCGTCACCTTTACATTATAAGGCATACGAAGGGAGGCCGATGCGCGGCGTAGGAAGCGGAGAACTAGCGCAGCGTGTTGCACGGCCATCTCGTTGCTAGGCGACGAAATACGCTTGAGCACATGAGTTAGGTATAGACCGAACGCCCGACGACCTTCTCCCATACTGAAAATAGTTTTTTTGAATTTCAAAATATAAATATTGTTTGGTTTATGTACATTCCTTTGTTATCTCCTTATTACAACCTGTAGTATCGGGGCTAAGGCAGATGGCCTATTGATAAATTATTTACCAAGACCTATTTTAGTCTTGGTAAATAATTTCAACTAGTACATTTCGCGTTTTAAAGTGTTTTTTTTTAACCCATCGAGTGCTTTAGTCTTTTATGTCTGACAATTAAATCAAATATATACAACTACTAACGTCAACTTCATCCCATCGCTCAGCTGGTTCTTAATAAGTTCCTTAGCTCGTCTTGCATCTCTAGGTGGAGCGCTCGCCTCTCCTGGGGAATTGATCTGAACAGCGGGCGCAGCTCCCGCTATGCACACGGCTTCATAACGTTTCAACCTGAACAAAACACGTAAATTTCATAACACGCTAATACAAGAGCCTCAATTGATACAAGTGATACATAAAAAAAAATCTTTGTCTTAATAAAAAATATAAAACACGCTTGGTGGAATACAATAGGGAAAAAAGGAAGTTAGTATTAAACTACCACCACTTTTAGATTAAATTAAACCACAACAACCTAACTACCCTACTTTCGAATTAACAAATAACACAACAGTGATTATTTTATAGAAAGGCAGATTGAGTATTCAATCAGGCAGAGTCACCCCTTAGGCAAGTTGTACGTACAACCAAACTGGCAAAATGAGGCGCGCACATTGTATAGCCTTGCCACCACTACTTCTTATCTCCTCCTTGATGACGTCATCTCAGTACTAACAACTACTAACTACATCAAGTACTAACAATACATATTTTTTTAAATAATGGAGGAATTTTGAAAAAAAAAAACTATCTTACTATTAATTAAGTCATCTGTAGTAGAGGTATTTGTCCAAATGAGATCAGAACACTGGTAATTAAAGCAAAGCTAATTATTTATTAATTTAACGGCTATCTTATATTTTACCTTTGCGGCGTATCGGTGAGACTGGTAGCAACTGTAGCGTGTTGGAAGTGGGGCAAAACGTGTGAATGCACCAGAAGGTTATAGTTGTGTTGCACAACAGTGTATGGTGCGTTATTGTTCAGAGACGTCGAACATACCGGGATACCGGTCACTGGATCTGTAAAATAAACCATACTACGATCAACCGATGAACGCGATGTTATTTTACAATTTGACGGTTGACTTATTTTGCACCAATAATACGTATAAATATAAGCAATAGCTCAGCCCGAAGTCTGATTACCAACGTCCCCATAAATAAAACCTAGATATAAAGCGGGATATGTTAGTTTTTATACCTATTTAGTTATACCTATGTAGGAATTTATTTATCGAACGGTGTCCATGATTTCAAAAATTTCATATAATTTTGAAAAAAATATAACGTGGTATGAAAACTATTGGAATGGATTCTGCTACTCATTCTGAACAAACTACTTTCAGGTTTCGCATGAAGTAGGAATAACCTTGTATATTTGCGACACACTTTTGAGATTAACTTGCAAGAACGACGGGACGCGACCGACGCCTGGGGTAACAGCTGTAATTGTTAAAGATGAGGAAGAGGTTTGCAAAAACAAAATTTGATGGTCAAAAATCTATTCTGCGCGGACGACATTGCTGGCACAGCTAGTTATATCCAAAAGACGACAAACTTTCACGTGATATTACCTAAGTACTGTGCATACTTCTGCCACGAGTTCTGACTAGGAAAGATCCGCACAAAACCGCCTCGCCTGGCGTACTGCGCCCGCACAGCTCGCACTATACGCAGTTCTTCGCCGGTCAGCAGATTCGCAATGGCCCCTTGAGCTTGGGAAGTATTCTGTGCTGGACCTCCGTTCGTACTGTTGCTCTTTCCGCGGACGCAGACGTTTTCCGCCGAGTGGACGCGGCGGCACTGTGACGAAATATAACTTATATTTGACATATATAAAAACGTAATTCGTTAATAAAAAAATAGATACACAAAAGGTTACTTTATTTATTTTACAAAATTTTTGAAATTAAAATTTAGTTTATATAACTTCCAAAATTCCATTCCCTTATTTCTGTTACATATTACAGTTAGTAAAGCCTACCCGCTTTATCTACGCTATGTGAGATTGTCTAATTATCAATAAATCAGTTAATAATAAAAAATGTATAAAAACTTGACAAAGTTGTAAAGTTTGTAAAAATGTGAAGTGTCTCACAGCGCCAATTCTCATCTTGAGTGAGTTATTCTGAGGCGAAGGTTCGTGTCTTCCCATAGGTACGGCGGGAAGTCCCACCAGTGTCAGCGTGTCTGCCAGGAGAGCTGATTTAACCCTGGCGTCTAGAGGGCTTTCGCATGCGAGACTAAAAATAAAAGATCATATATGTTAAAAACAGTAAAAGCAACTGTATTATAATTATAGTTTGTAATACAGTTTAGTTTTTAAATGTATTGTAGAGTAAGAGTATTTTTAAACGTATGTAAGCTTATTCTAGACTAAGTATACACTTATTATTATTATTAAGCATTGTATGTAAAAAAAAAAAATTCTTTTGAAGTACGGCAAGTGGTTTACTTGGTTGAAACCTCGTTGGTTTAGAGGTTAGTGATCACAACTACAGGTTACGAGATACCGGGTTTGATTCCGTGGAGTTCGATGTGGCAGCAAAAGGGGACAAACATTGCTTGGAAGAGCACATTTAGTTGGTCCCAGTTTTTAACATTAATTTAGTGGCAAAAGTTGTTAACTCATACTAAAGCAGATGCCTGTGAGAGAACTGTTCCCAGCAGTAGGAAAATCTCTCTGTTAGTTTGTCTTACCTCGGTGATAAATTGATTTCTAAAAGCCAAGGCTTCAGCATGTCGTCAACTAAAATATCGTAACCAAATAACTCTGAAAGAAATAATTCGACTGTTTAGCCTTACTTTAAGAAGTATGCTTACTAAGTTACTTCATCATCAACCTAACCAAATTTTAATAACATTGGTTGAAATCATATGAAAAAAATAGCGGCCTAGTAAGTACCTAAGTAAAAATATCAAACTCAGTAATAATTAATTTAACTTTTGTTCTGTATAAATAGTTTTTTAAGATTTAATAGATAATTTTATTATTATAGAATAGTCCAAAGTAAAAACAATAAAAGTTTATACATTTATAATAATTTTTCAATATACACAAGAAAAAAAAAATCGACTTACCAAAACAATTGAAAAGGTTCGGCACAAAGACCCTAGCAGCTGCTGTGATGGTCTGTGCCGAAGAGAGTATGGATTTCACGACTAAGTCTTCTATAGCCGCCATTAGGGCGGCTGTGTTGCGACCCTGCTTTCGCAGATGACGTAATAATGCTGAGAGCGTCCATTTGTGGCCTATATTACCAGCGTTAGGGTCGTCACATCTGAAATCAATAATTAAACATTATAATAAAGGGATAAAGTACAGAAAAACAGTAGGTTAATTTAATATACTAGATATGATACAAATAATAACAAAACACGACTAAAAAGAATAAGATTTTTCTTCTGTTAATTTCATTAGTATTAAATCAAATATTAGTAGCATAGCTATTTTGACTTCTAATTATAGTATATAATGTGGTATAAAATTGTTACTATTTGCTATGTAAGTTCCAACTAATATTGTTTAATGTCTCACGGTTTATGAATTCACAATAAACGAATAATTACTAAATAAAATACTATTTATCATTATATTCCCATTATGATTTAATAGCTCTTAAACTAGACGAATCTAATGGAATGAGATTAATTACGATATTTATAATCTGTAGGTAATTAATAAATTAACGTATAACATGCTACTATAAAATTAACATGTATTAAAATGACATGCAATGAAAAACTTACTTAATATAGTCTGTGTGATATTTGTTGATACTATAGTTGCACAAGTGCATACAGGGATTCCACAGATTCTTATTTGTCTTGTCATATTTGACAGTTGCGAATCTAACGAGTCCTTCCTCATACAAATAGATGAGAAGTGGGTCTATGGATGTCACGCACACATACAGACGCAGGTCGCACTTGTGTCCGCCAATCAGAAGCGGCTTGTCTATGTACTTAGCCACCACTACGTTCTCTCCTTTTGGTATCTGTTCCGGCTGAATTTATTACATAAAGTTTAAATTTTGGTCAAACATATACATAATATAAGGCTGCTAGAGTCAGAGTGGCCAAATAACAAAAAACATGATCAATTAACTAACATTTTTAGACTTTAAAAATATAAATAAGTCAAGTTATAAAAATTACAGTTAGGCTACTTTAGCTCTAGCGGCCTCATCTCCTAACAGATTTTAGTCAAATGATCACTATAAACAAATATAATAGTCCCAACAAAAATAGCGACTGTATAATATTGAAAAGTAATTTCTTTATGAAGCTTAGAACCTGAAATCTAGAAAATTAATTAATAAAACTGCTCCGCTGGCGCTATCTGTTCCGAAGTTGGTATTTGACGAAACTGGCCACGGCTGCTGCAAAGCATCCGAAACGACGGGCCGTAGTTAAAATAATTTTCAAATAAGTTTAACTAATATAAATCACATTTTAAACCGATAGTGTTTAGTCTCGCTATTGTATGGACATACCGTATTCACAATGTAAATGCCTCGTCCTCGACTAGAGGCCGCGGGCTTGACAATCCATGGTCCCTTTGTCCTATAGTGTGTTGTACAGAGCTCTTTATATTCAGCCGGCATGAGGAATGTCGTGGGAATGAAGTCGAAATGCTTTAGGCCACGAAAATATTGCATTTTCTCTATATTCTTGAACAGTTTATCTTTGCGTGTAAGCTCGTAGGACCTAGTGACAGATAAATGTTTAAAAATCAATAACTACGTAATTTTAAACTTAATATCAATACCGTACAGTAAACGTTTTTCAATGCTAATATTATATATTAATATAAATTCAAACATTAGGTTTTGCAAAATTTTAGAGGAAGCTAACAGTTTAACCGATTTCGTTAAAAAGTAATAATACAGCTGACACTCAATAACAAACTAAATAAACCCGTAATTCTAATGATCTTTACCTGGCCCTGTGTAGATTTAAAGTAATATAGGGTATTTTAATTAATATTGTTCTAATACCTAGGGAAGTGATTGACTCTCTGATATGCCGATAAAGCCCTCAACACGTCCGGCTTAGGATGGAGTCCAGCCCACAAGAGATTGAAGTCTTTAGAGTCGGGACAGGATTCCTGCAGCCCGTGGGCCTGAAGAAGTCTATGCAAGAGTTTCGTCTCCGTATTCACTAGTTTGTATGTCAATTTTAAGATTCTGGCCGGCATGTGACTACTTTCTAAAATCTGAAAAATCGCCAAAAAAAGTTAAAGAAGAGAATTTTTGAGGACCAATAACACCAGGACCATGTATAAGGAAGTAAGTAATAAAATTTAATATTATTTTGGCTTGACTTTCTTAACCTCAAACATGTAATAATCACAATAAAAGAATTCTATTCAAAGAAAGCCAGTCATGAAATTGTGTCATAGCTTTTACATTATTATGTTAAGCCTTGAATTTATATTGTTAATTTCTTCGTTACATTAAATTATTCGTACCAATATGAGTTTAAAGGTTCTTGTAAGCTTTTATAACTTTAAGAGCTTAGAATTGCGTTAAAAAAGGATTCCAGTCTTGAAGCAAAAGCAAAAGCGAAATATATTTGTTTATGGATACTATCTATATATAGTATGGCGCCATTTTTTCATGAATGAATGAATAATATTTTTTAATACCTTAATACTATCTACTTCTTTGACTAGCATGTGTTCAGAGTCATCACTATCGATACTCGGTGAAACCGTCCTTTGTATGTTTTTCTTTTTACTTTTTCCCTTGTTTTTCTTTCCTTTCTTCTCATCTTTGGTTTCTAGAAAATTAATATTTTCTTTAACAAATACGCTATGAAAGTACAGCGATATTTTTTTTTAACAAAAATCGTCGTAAGATGATAATACAGCTGCCGTAATCAGGGTCAAAATCTTACTTAACGGATATTTAGCGTTTAAAACTGTTAACTGTTAGTTGCATGTTGACAAATTGCAGAACCTACAGAATTCGTTTGTAGTAAATTTATATAACAACTTCAGACCGAACAAAAGAGTTCAAAAACAATACGTTTCGATTGGATAAGGGGCACTGCACTCTAAAAATATATATGCTCATTATAATATCATCAGTAAAATACGTATAATAATCCGTTAAAACGCGTTTCGGTTCTATATATGCATAATACATTATATCCATGACACCTTTAATTTGACCGCATTTGCCATGTGCAAACGCGCTAGGAAGACGCAAGCTTAACTAATCAGTATAATACGATACCTTTGGCTACTGGCGGCGGTTCCTCTGGTGGTTTAATATTAGCTGTAGTATTCTCTATATTCAAATGCTTCTTTAGTGTAATCTTACTGAGATCATTAAGTACATCCTCTATATCCCTCTTATGCTCGACCGCTTCGTGCCCTTGCTCCTCAATGGACTCCGTTATGGGTATTTCAGCTTCGCTCACATGTCTCACGACATACGCCTGCCCCGTGTACTTGGTGTTCCCGAAGGTCTCCATGACATCGTGCATTATTGTCTTTGGCCTGACGCTGAAAGAGTGCGGTTCCGCTACTAATCTCTTGGCCATGTTCTTCGCTTTGTTGAGCAGCATCGCGGTACCCGTGTTGTTTCCGACCGTTTTGGTCGTGGACTCCATAGATGGAGTCCTGGATGCGAGGACACATGATCGGAACACTAAGACGGCGGCCTTCGATCCCACAGGTCCACCTGTCACCCAATCCGATAGCGAACCCTCCCCTTTCTCTTTTGCATTGGGCGCTTCTTCGTCATTTTTTCTCATAGTCCCTGCTGGTTTCTCGTTCTGGAGGCCTGATGTAGACGGTATTGTGTTTTCCGGCGATACATATGGACTGGAAGGAAATTTTTAATAAATATATTACAGTAGTCTTGATAACGGTGAGCTGATTGGTGGTTGACTGTGTAAGTATTCATGCAGATTTGGACAAGTGCGAGGCGAAAGAAACATCAGTTAAATTCATGAATTAGTTGCTTAGTGAATACCATTTAAGTAAAGCTATTTTCAATGTGTTAAGTTTATTTAGAGTAATATGTAAATTGTTTCATGTCACGGGCGATAGAACTAGTGAACTTTGAAATTGCCCAATCAGCTAAAAGTGATTAAAAGCATTATGCAGCGTGTTCATGTGAATAATTGTCCGGCAATGGAAAAATCGCATTTACCTTGACCGTATTGATTGACATTTATCGAGGGAAAAGTGCCAGTTGCTATTACATCAAATATTCATTGGACGTACTGTCTATAGTTTACGCGAGTAGTACACATTTAAATAAAACACTTTAACGGTTTAAAACGCGATATATTAGTTAAACTTATTTGAAAATGATTTTTAACTTCGGCCCGACGTTTCCGATGCTTTGCAGCAGCCGTGGTCACGGGGAGACTAAAGATGGAGGATATCTCTGACGTCAAAGTAAAAAATTGCTACGCTAGCGCCATCTGTTCCGTCGTTCGTCTTACAGAACTGACTAATGGTGTCTTCGCGTTTGCCGGTATGCTGTTTTGTATGCTTTAATATATCGCGTTTTAAACCGTTAAAGTGTTTTATTTAAATTCATTGGAAATGTGTTTGTTTCAGTAAAGGTATGTTAGACGAAGGTAATTCGAAAAAGCTGTTTTAGTATTTCGAAAATCAGTATATGTTATGTTAATAGATATATTATGTAATTGAATCTAACAGTTTTGACGTTTAACGTTATATACAAACCAGTTGTAGAATTAAGGACTTAATTATTTTAGCAAATTTTACTGATGAAATGCGAAAGCAAGAAATATTGTCTTTATATAAAAAAACACAAATCTCAGACAGCGAGCCGTGTCGCATAGACCATATTATGTTATAAATGGTCAGAGAATCGATTGTGTTTATATATGGCAATGGTCGTACCACTTGCATAAATAGTAAATGACACATCTGTATGACCACATGTTCCGTTATGTTAGTGGGTTAAGTATTATAGAATCTTTGACCATAATAATATATGATACAAACTTTATCTAGCTACTTGAGTTTTCAAAATTTTCAACGGGGTAAATTCCTCAACTATCATGTAGGTGACATATTTAACTCATTTATTTTGGCTATGAATGTAGAAGAACGGACAACATGTTTCAGAAAAATTATAAAGTGATTTGAAACATATTGGACCTAGTGGGGATGGAACCACGACCCTTTGATTATTAGGCATACAATGCAACAAGGAACCCGTCAAAATACATGTATATATTGTATTTTTTTAACCGTAATGGATTCAATAAAAATATCATATAAGTTAAACGTCACTAAAGACAAAAGTGTATTCTAAGAGAAATTTAACACGAACAAAATCCCACATTTATGCGTCCTATAAGTAGGTTAGCGAAATATAAAACGAACTGTTACGGCCGGCCTGTTTCAAAATAAACCCTAAGTACACAGTGCATTTAGCACGCGCCTTGGGTTATCGCGAAGTAACGTACGCTAATCAGTGTTGTCCATTAAGGCGGACCATATTTCAGTATGCAGCTGGAATAAAAATCACGATAAGTTGATAACTGCATATCGGTCTACGCCTTAAATGCATTTTTAATCTTTGAGAAAGAAAATAACACGGTAAAATAAATTATTACACAATGCATCATAATGTTGATTTATTTTTATATCTTTCAAACATTTAAATAAAACACTTTAACGGTTTAAAACGCGATATATTAGTTAAACTTATTTAAAAAATGATTTTTAACTTCGGCCCGACGTTTCGGATGCTTTGCAGCAGCGTGCACGAACTTCTTTCAAACATTTTTAACTTCCTTCTTATTAAACGATAGGAGAAGGCGAAACTCAAAAAAAGCGAAATCCCTGACTGTAATCATGGAACGTGTTTAATATTCACATCAAAATGCTTAAAATCCAAATTGGTTTGAGTAAGAGGATGTCGTGAGCCATTACGAAGTTCTGCCGATAGCTCGTTGGAAATTGTATGTGTTAAGGTGCTTTTACAATAGGCTGGATGAAAATGGAAGATATAAGTAAAACTTACTAAAGAATTTTAAGTAGAGAATTTTGAACATAAAGCATACTTTTTACTAACACGTTAATGTAAGTAATCATGATCCACTTACTTAACCAAAAATTAGAGCATAATTCTCACACAATGTCACAGTCACAGTCACAGTTACCAATAACACCCAATGAGCGTTTCCATTTATAATATAAAATCAGATTATAAGGGAATAAAAATATTCGTAGCAGGCAAGTGTAAAAGCACCTTTATAGGGACGAATCATCAATTCGCCGACGGTGGCGCGTGCCTGTCTGTATTTTCGTATATTACTCACAACTTACGGAGCACGGCACGAATTCTGTTGATACTTCAAAACTTTCAACCGAAATGTAGTTTAATATGACGTTATGGATTTACAAAGTTTTAAAAACGTTCTCTAGATATTTGGTATAGATAGCAGACCTTACCAAGAAATAGACATAGTTTGTATGTATACATGTCATAGATATAGGGAGAAAAACAAAAATCTATCTTTTTGGTTGTATGTATTCGCTGATCTCCATAGATCTTTAGCTGTTTTTGGACAATAATGATAATTATAATTTTATATTGGAAACACCAGTATAAGGCCGGGTGATCAGTCCACATTTGCTGCTAACCATTCCCTTTACGGAGAATATTTGATTATCCAACTCTCACTGTGTCTACTTCAAATCCTTCGGTTTCTTTGCAATGTTAAGTACTAATGCACTCTGCAGAGCTTTTCATCCCTTTTTTGCATACTAGACAAAGAGTCGCTTACTCCCATCATTGTGAGATGTCTCTTTAGACGACAATTTCCTGTTATGATTTCTACGATGAGTAGAATATTCGCTCTCGTTACTCTCATTAAATTGATTTTTTTCTTATCAGTGCTATGTATGAAGATTTTCGACTGTCTTATGTCTGTCGATATAGACACCGATAGATAGAACTTAGATTCAATAAAATCAGCCGTCTTTCAGCAAAAGCAAAGTCTATATTATATTTCAAAACGAACATTGTGGAACAATTTATTAGACAGATAATTCAATATAAAGTAATTTTTTGGTTTGCGTTTACGTACCGCGACAACCGTTACTATATTATTAAACCAGAATATAATATGCGTCGAGCTGTTAAAGATGAAATTTACATGTTAAGTTCAATAACACTCGCTTTACAAAAGTAACTTTGGCAATTTCGTTCCTATCAGCGATCTGCGAAAAAATCTTTTCAAACAGTTCGCCTCAACTTTGCCGTTTTTATAATCAAGATCGACGCAATTTATCAGACTAAAACACTAGTTTTAGAACATGACTTATCACTTTGTAATATGAAGATAATAAATTAAAAATCTAATTTAGGTTAAATTAAAATTACGACAGGACTTGTAACACGGTAGATCTATTGGTTAGAGGAGCAGTACGGAACGCTGTGGATGCCGGTATAAGTTCTGACAGTTTCGTATTTTTTTTAATGTAAAATAGTTTTTTTATTTATAGCCATCATGTGCAATGTTTGTAAAAGTTGAAATTTTAAAAACTTCACTTTGCATGTTAATACTGATAAGAAGATGTAACGATTTAGATTTAGAACATATTCAATATTTACCAACGTAAGTACATGCAAGTTCCACTCGTTTTAATCTAACTCTTTTTAAATGGCGTGGCCGATATTACTCAAATTCTTGGTGTAGATATAAGAATAGGTAGTATAGTAATTATTAACCCCAACAAATGTAGTGGCAAGTAATGGCTCAATCTAGATTTATTTCTTGAGCTTTTTTGCACTCATATAGACCAAATTATCTAGTATTTTCAAGGTAATGCTTGACCGAAATATAGTATTCTATACTTAGCGGTATTAGTGCTTTTTTAATCTCACAAAGAAGGTATACCTATCTATCCGTCGTAAATACTGCATCATAATGTTACCCGGGATACCAATATCGACATATTGGCATGTGAGGGTCAGAAGAACCCTTGTTGAGGAAGCGATTGTAGATAGCGGGACACTTATGGTTAGGGACTAGGGAGTGCAAAACCCATTGACACCACCGAGGGTCGCTTATGTTAGTTTCATGAATATGACATACGACAAGAATTACGTATGATCATGCTGTATGAATGATTACTAAGTAAAAATAAATATCCATTACGTTGAAATACTAGTAAGTTCATTTTATAAGTATGTATTTACCTTACTGAATGTACATACGTTAGCAAATAAGTTTGTACAATGAAACAATTAAAAAATATTAGTTTACAAATATATTCAATGTCGCCGGTAATTTGTTGATATTATCAATGCACGTACGTACATCGAATATGAGGATAAAACGTGCTCAGGTGCGACTATTTACGCAAATTAACGTAGATATATATTTATTTAATTTTATTATTAATATGTAGGTATATACATATTATTATGTTAAAATTAACTTTTTGACATAATAATCCAGTAATTTATAATTTTATGGACTTTTCTGATTTGTGTACTCAAATGGTATGTTTTGTTAAAATCCGTGGATTAAAAAAATCTGTTTATAAATTTTGCTTAAGTGTGTTCGTAAAAATTTAATTGTTTGCTACAATAGTCACGCATACAAAAAAATGAAACATGAAATGATGTATCATTGATACTCGTCGTTATTAAAACACAAAGTAGATATTCCACTTTCAATTTAAATTATAAAAAACGAAGTAACTCACAAAAAAATCTTTCCCATTACAGATTAACAGAGAAATAAAAATGCGTGTCCACAAATTCGTTACGCACGACCGCGCGCTGTGCCTGGTTGTAACAACTGCGCTACTGGGTTGCTACTTGCTTACTCACACTAACAGATACGACAGACAGAAAGATATAAGAAATTTTCGTAATTGTTAGTGTTATAATATCTTGTTCTTCAAGCAGGATATTTCAAACTTAACCTAACTTGCTGCTACTGCTCATCTGCAGTAACCATGAAGGTTGTGAGATATCACATTATAATACTATTTTTCCTGGGTCAAGTTGATTGATATGTACTGAAAACTTGATTATAATTCCAACATACTTTAATGTTTATGTGTAACTATTATTAATATTAAGTTTAGTTAAAATAATAAATGAATTATATTTATAACTTAATGAGATGAGTTATCTCAGATTAAATGCTTGCTGTTGTTAAAGACAATCATTATCTTGTAATATATCATATAATATTAATCTTAAATAGATTTTTAATTTATTATTACTAATCTGACTGAATAATAAATATCTGCTTATTTATTTAATACAGTCGGTTTTGTGAAACATGATGGGCCTTAGTAAAATATGTGATTAACAAGCTATAAGTAAAGTTCATTATTTTTATTTTGTAAAATTTATTTTAGTGGATTTTTTCTTTTATATTATACTTTTAATATTTCTAGTTATAATTATAACTTGTATGATCAAATTTGGGTTTTAGATTCATTAAGTAGAATCTAAAAGCCAAATTTGATTATTAATATAATGACCTATGACCATTGAAGGAAAATAACGCAAGACTTGTTTCATGGAAGATGAACAAAGAAAGCTTCATGGGTGGGCTAGTGATATAGATATAAACATAGAATATATATGAATCCCAAAGTATAGCTAGTAATTATAACTTATATTCTTCCTACAAGCGGTACTCTGTTTTGGTTAGTTGTGTTTTAATAACATTAGATACTTATATATTATAATAAATCACTTTGGAATTCAGTATTTAATGAAGGTACATATAATACTTAAATAAAAATCTTTGTTTGAAATAACCTGGTGTGTGGACGGTTGCTCTTGCATTTTGTATGTATTTTAGGTAAATCATCAGGTACCTTATTTAGGAGCTCGATTTCTTCTTCTATATCCATGGTCGACTTTAGAGAGATAAATACGAGTGATAAATGTAGGTATTATTTAAAAAAAATATATAATATACTATTTGAAAACCTATTGGTAAATATACCACAATTATTAAATTATAATAACATAGCCTAACTCCTTTTAAAACTTTGATTTATACGTTATTGCCGCAAGTCTTCAAGAACTTTTAAAAATCAATATCACGATGCGGTAAATTTAAAATATGTACAGTAAAGGTTATGTACTTACGTTAATTATTTTTTAGGGTTTTGATTTCACCGGTGAACATTACTTTTACACTGTAAATTTTACATTGCTAGTTTATTGTTTACTTTTTAATTTTTGTTCAAAATAAATGATGTACTCTTAAAATTTAAACAGATCCATTTTTTTTGTTTGCATGACACCTGAATTTAAATTTGACAGCTGTCATACATGTACTTACAAAACAGCTTATCTAAACACTCACAACAAAAATTGTAAGGACTGTGGATAATTATATACTATGCTTTATTTTTTGATACATACAAACAGGATAAGAAGCATGGTTTTAAATCTTGCAATAATTACTACAAATATGATTTTTCACCTATATATTAAAGCAAAATAGTGTGTAATAAAATATATACTATGTTTCGGTATTCTTTATCCTGCGGGTAAATGTTCTTGAAACTAAGATTGTATAGTAAATAATTAAAAGATATCTTTTCAATTAAACTTTATTTGATATATAAGTAAACAGTACAACTAGGCATAATAGCTGAGGTTAGCCTTCTTCTTGGCCTGGACTTCCAATATAGCGTCCATAAAATCTTCATGTGTGACAGCTGTAGCAGATCTACGGAGAGCAATCATACCAGCTTCTACGCAAACAGCTTTGCACTGTGCTCCATTGAAGTCATCAGTAGAGCGGGAAAGTTCCTCAAAGTTGACATCCGGAGATACATTCATTTTTCTAAAAATAATAGTTTATGTATTAAATACAGTGGCATCAGTATTATTCAAGATGATCATTCAACCAACCAAGCCTTGCCTTGAAATACACTAAAGACTTGATTTCACGAAGTATACACAACAAAAAAAAGGAAACCTTATAAATAACCATATAAATTAAATATTTGCCCAGTGGTAAAAACAGCTATACATTTTAATTAAAAAATAATGTTTACCGTGAATGAATTTGCATAATTCTAGCCCTGGCTTCTTCATTGGGGTGAGGGAACTCAATCTTCCTGTCTAGACGTCCAGACCGTAGTAAGGCTGGATCTAATATATCTACTCTGTTAGTTGCAGCAATAACCTACAAGTTTCACATCAAAGTCATATAAAAACAACTAATTGTCATACACACATAACTTGTAACCTTATACGTTATAACTAAGGATATATGCATGTATCTATATATACAAGTATAAAACAATACAATTTCTTTAATTTCCTAATTCCTCTAAGTTAAAAATTTGTAAGCCAATTTTATCATACTTTGCTTATTCTTTACCTTGATGTCAGCTGTAGAGCTAAATCCATCTAGTTGGTTAAGCAGCTCTAACATAGTTCTCTGCACCTCTCTGTCACCAGCCTTTTCGGAGTCAAATCTCTTAGTACCAATAGCATCTAACTCATCTATAAAGATTATGGCTGGTGCTTTCTCTTTTGCAAGGGCAAATGCATCACGAACGAGCTTTGCACCATCACCTGGAATAAAAAGATGTCAAGTGGATTATATTACTTGCAACACCCTACAAATCCTTTAAAAAATATTTATAGCTCTATAAAATTTTAAACATAAAAGTGTTTTGAAGTGTTTAGGAAATAGCCTGCTTAAAAGAAAGTGATCATTCATTGGAATAATTCCTTACCAATAAACATCTGGACTAGCTGAGGTCCTGCCAATTTTAAGAAAGTAGACTTCGTTTGAGCAGCACAGGCTCTTGCAAGCAGGGTCTTTCCTGTACCTGGAGGGCCATATAACAGTACTCCTTTCGGTGGATGTATGCCAAGGTTCACAAACTTCTCTTTGTGTGTCATAGGTAGAACTACAGCTTCAATAAGTTCCTAATTAAAGATTCAATCAATTTAATTATTAAGTATGAACTAGTAAAGCTACTTGTATTAAACAATGTCACTAACCTGAATTTGTTTGTCCAATCCACCAATATCAGAGTACTGTTCAGTTGGCCGCTCATCTACTTCCATCGCCTTAACTCTAGCATCATATTCTGCAGGCAGCGTTTCCAAGATCAAGTAAGAATCTTTGTTTACGCCCACCAAATCACCAGGCTTAAGTTTATCTGCATCTACCAAGCCAATGACTGGTAGAAAGTATGTTTGACGCGTCGACGTTTTAATAACAGCGCATTTACCCTTTCTTTGTGAGTCTAGATCAACTACTGCACCGTCTTCTTCTTCTTCTTGAGGGTCCACATCTAGAAGTTCTATTACATTGGAAACAAGGTATGGCAGAGTTTTGTTAACTTTGATCTTTTCTGTATTTTCCTTTATTTTGTCATTCTGTGCTTGTAGTTCATGTGATATCCTCATTACTTCACTCTTCATAATCTTAATTTCATTATCCAACAGACGAGTTCTGCTTATAATTTCATCTGTCGGCATTCGTAATACTTCTTCGCTAAGTGCCTCCTCGCCATCTTCCCAGATTGATTTATCCTCCAATGTAGTCGCCATTTCGTATATAATTTCAGTATCACTTATTTAATATTAGTAATACAAGTTTAGAAGTAGTGAACAGCAACAAGAAAATCTTCTACACAAGACAATAATAATTTCTTTCAGAATATTGAATTGTCATTGCCGGTGTTGCAACTTAAAATAATATCGATGAAAATATTTATTAGGGATTTTTTTTCAATATTAACAATTATAAGGAGATATCAACATAATTTAATAAAATTTATGGGTATGAAGTGAAACTTCATTTTATTTACGAGATGTTTTTAATTTACATAATTACAACATCTTACATCTCATTTGTCTAAACCATAGTACAGTCTTTGGTCTATACTCTATAACTAGATTTGATTTTCGAGTAGCAATCAATTATTTTTATTCATTAGACGATAAACATACATTTAAGAAATAAATAATTTTATAGAGACAATTAACTAGGTCACAATTATAATAATGGCCTTTTCGATGTTTCTCCGAGCGCCTGGTAAGTTTTTAAGATGAAATTGTTCATTACATAATATGAAACAACCTATAACAAAACAATAATAACAGCTGTTCTATTCAAATAATATATTTTTCTAAACAGTTTATTTGGTTCGATTGTATTCCGATTTATAGTATGTGTCTTTTGCAGCTTGCACAAGTAAATTGTTCTCGCAGCAAATAATGAGGATTGCAACTCAACAAGCTATGAAGCCAGTAGCTGCAGAGAGAATGTTGTCCAGCGTACTACCAACTCAGCACACAATTTTAAAATCAAATAGTCCACCAATTTTAAATGCGGTAAGTCCGTTTTACACCTGTATGGATAATTAAATATTGATTGCCATTAACTTATCATTATTATAAAAATATTTGTATACCATATACTTTTATTTTATACAGTAGTTCTTTGCTTTTGAATCTCTTCTGTGTTTATTGCTATCATAAACTGATGTCAAATATTATAATTCATGTATTAGGAAAATATTTTCTAAATTTTTCTATAAACCATATATTTTTAAATTCCATACTAATTTTTAATTTTTATGTGGCAGTGAGTTATTGATAATTGTTTTCCAGGTGAGATCTTTCCGTACATCCCCAGCTTTACTACAAGAGGAAAAAGCCCATGATCACTCCAAGTTGTGGGTTATTGAAAAGTTGACATCTGCTGTGCTTGTGCCACTTATCCCTATCTGCCTTATATTACCCAATAAAATGTTTGATGCAGCATTGGCAATTCTAGTTACGGCCCATAGTTTCTGGTAAGTTACTTGAATATGCAACAAGCAAGTTTGTTTTAAACGTTTTAAATACAGACGTAAAATCAAAATGTATTCCTATTTTAATGTATTAGTGACATGAAATAAGCATATTTATCTTGATAATTCCTCATCCAGGGGTCTTGAAGCAATAGTTGTAGAATATGTAAGAGTACTTCTGTTCGGAACGACTCTACCTAAAATTGCTATGGGGATTGTATACTTTGTAACAGTGCTGATGCTGGGAGGACTCTTTTTCCTAATATTCAATGATATAGGATTATGTAGAGCATTCTGGAGAATTTGGCGGAATATGCGCAAGCCCAGGGAGCAGGGATCCCGCTAATGTAACCCAATTTCCTTTTCCTACCCTAATATATGAACATCCTTTATTCTAGCATTGATTCCTATGAAAAAAATATTTCTAGGTTTTAGTATTCACATCCTGAAAAGAGTATTTATTAACTATTTATTTGCAAGCCTTTTATTTGTGAAATTTTACTTAACATTATTGTGTGTTGGTTTCAATAATTGACTTGTTGGCTTTTTAACATTACACAATATTATAGAGAGTATCTCAATAAATCTTATTTTGTAGTGTATCATAGATATTTTAAATCTTTATTTATACTGCTCTAATTTTTAAATATTTCTTTGTTTTTCAGGGGCTTGGAGGCAATAGCTGTTGATTATGTAAGGTCATCAATCTTCGGGCCATTTATTCCTAAACTTGCGATCGCTCTCGTCTATATTATTTCCATTGCGACTCTTGGCGGTTTGTTCTACCTTATCTCAAACGACGTGGGTCTCTCCAACGCAATCAAACAATTGTGGAGCGTAAAATCAAAACAAGTCGCGTAATGTTGCCCAAATACTTCGTAGCAACAATTTTAGTTTACTGACATTTAAGGTGCTGAAGCATCCACATATTGTTCTATAGTAAAGCATCGCGCTTTGAAACATAACTTTGGAACTAATATGTGAATGCTCAACTTAACTTAGTACAAATGTTTTAAGAAGTATGAGGTACCAATAAAACGCTTAAAATTTCTTATTTTACGCTCCGCGTTATGCGAAACTGACGATCGTAGTTCAATAATTCTTTTAAAATGACCTACATACAAAAATAATTCCATTTTGTTTTTAATTATGTGAACTGACAAAATCGGCATTCAAGTGGGTACTTAAACGAAATTTTTATACTTAGTTCAAAATCAAGCTTGACCGTGTACAGTATTTTAAATTTAAAAATTAAATGCATTACATTTTCTTGTAAACTGGACAATTGTTAAACGCTGCATGTATCATAATTATCGTGTTATTTATTATTTTAGCATAATTAATGTTTGAATAATGAAATGTTGTTTTATTTACACCTAATTGCCCAAATATTAAAAAAAAAGTTTGTATGAATAAAAGATTTTTGGTAGAAAATAATTATATATTTGTTAATAATTTATGCAGAATCCGGTTTTTACTAGTTTTAGTAGGGTGTATTAATCCTAATATATCCATTACACAGACTTATTACTTGAACTTTTCTGTTACTTTATCTCCCTCAAACTTTAGTAATTTTTTATACAAAATTACCTGTAAACAGTACTTTGAGCAAGGAATAAATGGTCACAAGTACTAAGCTAGTAAAAATATCTTGTGTCTTATTATTTTACAAATGTTAATACTGACACTTAATTTTATTTACAATATGTTATGAACCTACCTGTGAACAGTTTAAAATAAATATTTTTTTCCCCTTTATGTATTATATATTATTATATAATAATTATTCTATAATCTATATATATTTTGAGTCACATCACTTTTCCTTCAAGTCTATGATAACCTATTCACGTAGGTTTAACATGCCGTTTGTGAAATATATCCAATGCTTGCCACTGCTTTGTGTGTAAAAGTATGTGGGGTCTTCTACTCTTCATGTACTCCACAGCCTCATTTGGGGTCCAGCCATTTCTCTAAAATAATTTTATATATGTTATGTTATATTGCATATGCATTATAATAAAGATGTTTGCCTTTCTCTGTCATACTGATAGGTACCTTAAATTCTCTAGCTTCGAGTACAGGACCATAAATAAAGTAATCTATGGTTATACTACACAGTACACACTACTTTTCTACACGGACGCAAACTTTGCACGTCGGAAAAAGAACTTCGATAAAGAATACTGGTATATTCTGGTACTCATTACTTTAACTTACCATCATGAGATAACAGCCAACGAGGGTAGCACTTCTCGTTCTTCCCGCCTTACAATGTACATACACTGTACCACTATTTACTTGTTTTTCATCAAGGGGCATTCCTGGTAATTTATTGCCCTGTGGAAGGAACCTGAAAGGAAGTGGGTTTAATACTACCTTTTACAAAACGTAAAATTTATATGGAGAAAGATCTAGACAAATTATCTATCAAAATATAATTGGATTCTATAGTTTGCCATAAATGTGTGCATTATTAAAATATATTTCAATTAGTTGGTTGCAGAGCTTTTTGAGGAAGGTTTTAAGGCTATAAAATTACGATGCGACCAGGGGCGAAGATACAGTGACAAATGTGGATGAACGGGAGAAATTATTAATTTTTTAGGGTTTCCATTACGTGCGCTGTCAAAACGGTTCAACAAACCCATACGTAGAAATAATAATTCCTCTTTAAATTATCTAAAATAAAGTCCGCGACAGTATATGTCCGTCTACCTTTTGAGATTAACTTGCAAGAACGACGGGATGCAAACATCGTGGGTAACAGCTGTAATTTATAAAGATGAGGAGCAAGTTCGCAAGAACAAATTTTGACGCCTAAAATAATTATTCTATGCGAATGAAGTCGCTGGCACAGCTAGTGTATGTATATTTTCATGCAAAATCAACTTACCTATTGATAAATCTGACACCTTCATATAATTTGTCTTGATTCGGAGCTTCAAATATATCTGTAGTTGCCAGCTGAAGGAAATCTACACCGTACTGAAGCCATTTCTGAAAAATTATGAGCAAATATTTAATTAAGTAATTTATTAATTAGCAATTTAAATCACTATAACCTAAGTAATATTATCATTAGACATAGCATTGGTACAATATGATTTATCTCGGAAATTTGATCTCCATTTTTTTTCTTCATTTATAAACTATGATCTTTGTATATAATTTACAAGGATAAAATTATTACATGCAAAGAGTAGCTACTTGCAACACACCAATTATCACGACAGTGCTAATAAAAGACAATAGAATAATATAATTATTAACTTATTTATAATGTTCTTATTGTAAGACTGATTAAATTATTATGTTTGTTTATTATTTATTAATAGGAAGTTATAATAAAATTGCTTTTTTCCTGAACATTATCTAGATACTTTTGTGACTGAAATTTAAAAAAAAGCAGATACCACGAATATATTATAATGTATTATCCTCTTGTTAGCATGTTATTTCCCAAAATTAAATTTAATAGATTATCGTTTTGATAAAATGATGGTCATAGAACACATACATTTATACTAAAAACTAAACTCTTGAACTAACAGGAGTGACTTAAGAGGAACATTCGCAAATGATAATATTAAATTCCATTTATATACACAATAAGTTATCTTGAAAACATCGTACTGTGATGAATAAGAACGATGTACGCTTAAAACGTCTTAGAACTTTGCAGATGTTTGCGGTAGCGCCAATATAAAGTCGGATACTATTTACTTTATTAGAAATGTTCTACAAATATTTTTTACGATATACTTATATGCTTTATTGTAAACAAACGTCCCGTAGATCAACACACAGTCCAAACCGTTGCTAGAAGATACCTGAACCTTGGGGCGTGTATTCTTTGTGTCGCGCAGGCATAAGAAATCAATACTTTAGATCTTAGGAACATAAAAGAGGGGTAAAGAGCAAACCTATTCTTTATGTATCTGTTGGAACAATCACTTTTTTACCAATAAGATATTCAAAACGTCTACGTCAATTCAAACAGAACTGTCGTAAAGGACTTGCTTCATTTCCTCGTAATTCTTTTAATTGTCCTCAATAAGTCAATTATTTTATCTTATATACATTATACAACGTATAATTGAATCTAACGTTTTAAGAAAGGTAATTGCTTTACACCTTACGATCAAACTTTTAAGGAAAATGCATTTTCCTCTTGTTTTGTTCTGGTTAACTTACATCATATTGAATTAGTTCTGGGGTTTCTTGAATGATGCTAAAGGAGGATAGAAAGGAAATTGTAAAAAAAAACACAAAAACCGACCAGAAAAAAGGGCACTAGAACTTTGCAAAAATTTACTTATGTCAAATTTTTGTAACAATAAAGGTGAATACATTTTTATGATAGAGGCGGACAGACAAATATGGGGTTTATTTGATTGATGGGAAATCCCCAACCATATAATATTTACATTAAAGGATATGCTGTCTACCCGTATTTTGGCTTGTGATATTTGGAAATCCTAGGAATACTGCATCTGTGCAAGTCGCTCGTAACACAGGAGGAATTTCGATCAAATCTCAAAGTATAATTGATAGATTTAGTGCAAAATTTAATTAATAGATTGTTTTTCCTCACCTGTCCATCATTTGAGAAAATTTTCAATTCATAAGTCTCATTCATTGATACCACTCCCTTTATATTTTCTTCTTCGACTAACTGTAATAAACATAATATATGCATATTAAAATAACCATATTATGCATGTTAACAAGTAAATAATTGTAAATACATTGTTTACTTAAGATAAACAATGTAAGTAATGGAATTATGTATTAACAAATAAATGAATTGGTCCTGATTATAGTAATAGTATTATTTTCTATAGGAACACCCATAGCAGGCCAGGTGAAACAAACCTAATAGTAAAGATTTATTTTTAGACTTAGAACAAAAACAGTAAAATAACTTTTTATTATGATAAATACTTATCTTAATTTTGTAGACTTTTGGTATTACTTCAACATTTGGATTTTATTTGTAATACTTTGCTTTTCATTTATTTCTGCAAATTATTTTAGTTAAATGACCCCTCCACAGAATACATTAAAAAAAGGCTTTTCTTTTAGAAATAAAAAGCTTTTATTTTTTTCCTGGTGATATTTATTTAATATTATTATTATTAACAGGGTTTAGAAATCACAAGGAGTTGCACTACAGGTTCTATGTGATAAAGTCCAACCAAAAACTTTGGATTTATAATAAATACCGTTACCTGTTTGGTCATTCCTTGAAAGGGGAGAGCACCCAGGATGACATTATCATCCATCCTGTCATACCACCGCCGACTGCTAACCTTTTCCATAAAAACATTGTAGAGTAGCGTAGGATAAAAGGTTACGCGTGCAAACATTGCCGTGCCCTGTGGAAAATACAGTTATGTTTAACACGCAAGACTGACCGAAACATCACCTCAGTAACCAATAAGTAAACCATCAGCCGCACCATGGTGAAAGCTGATCTTCGTGGTGGGGATTGGTAATTATTTATTCAAGTATCGCTCGGAATCCTGATTCATGTTATCGAGTATCTGTCATCTGATGTTTATATTTTGTATGTCAAGTTTGACGTTTGATTAGTAAAAAATGCCAGAGTCACTGTCAATGTCATTCGTGAAATTTTATATTTTGTTGACAATTATTTTTAAAATTTCTATTAGATATATTATGTTAGTTTATGTTATAAATCATCGATTTTTAATGATAAATAAAATATTAGACGAAACCCAAACCGTTTGTAGTTTTTATTGAAATAAACTGAAAACATATACTAAGTATACATACACAATTCCATTAAAAAATATGTGCATAAGTCATTAAATCCATTTTTATAACAATTAAATAAAATAGGTAAACGAGGTAAACAAGTTATTATAATCATTGGTAGTCGTAATTCTTTGTGTTTTATATAAACGTAACAAAAATTTAGGTCGCCTGATGCAATTATAAGGCAACGCTTCATTCACCCATCTATCGGGCAAATCAAATTCCCTGTCCATTTCTGCAGGAGTACCACCACATGCGCAGGCATTCGGCAGGCTATATAATTCGATCAGAACTACGTGTTGTACTTTAAATGAGAGATATAGTATCAATAAAAGGAAGGTTTAGTTAGTAAGTTTACTTTAAATAGCCTAACTCTATTTGTCCATGCAAAAACTTACTACCCATCACTTGTATCAATTTTAACTAATAATTATGCAAAGTAAATTGATTAATAATATACAAAAAAATCAATTTCATAGAATCGTAATAGGTACATAGTATAGTCGATAGCCGATATTTCATAAAATAGATATCACCTATGAATTATAGACGTGGAGGATGACCGTTGCATTATCGATATTCTTATGTTATTCAAATGTGATTTTGAAGCTAATTTAAAATTTTTCTTTTTAAGTAGATATACAATTAATTCGCTGTCCAAGTCGGAGTCCGTGAGTTGAAAGAGATATCATCGCCATGATGTATCGACACCATTTGTAACCCAACGGGGGCCGGACATAGTACGTTCCAAAATTAAATTAAAGCGCAGTAAAAACAACGTTTCCGTTGGTTTCTAGTTAAATTTTGTGTGATTCGATCTTCATACATTTGTCTATGTCTCTGGTTTTCCCGGTAAAAGATAAAAATTCAATTACTCTGGTACCTGCATAAAACATTTTAATTACACTAAATAAAAAAATCACAAATTTTGAGTATATATGTTTATCTATTATGTGTTTTGGAAGGTTGTTGCTCGCAATTCACGACTTAGGTAGAATGGTAGGTAGGTACACAATATCTACTTATTAAGCAACATACATTGTACTGGTTAGTAAATTGTAATATTATATAAGTTCATGTATCTAAATAATAATTATGTAGGTACTATTCAGGGTTTCTCTTTAGACATTTAAAGGTAATAAAATTTTCAAATTTGTTCACGATATAAAACTCATTTTCCTTTATATTAATTGAAGATTGGGCTACACACTAAGCCGCTCTCATCTGTCATCATTAACGCCACGGAATCCTAATAAGTTTGCCAGAATAAAAAAATAACTCAAAGAGTTGCGCCCTGTTTAATGCTTGTAATTGTGGAGAGGTGAAATATAGCCGATTCGGAATCTGTCGTGGGTGAGACCGCTTTAATATCGACTCTTACACGCTATAAATATTTTAAATTACCCTCTGCTGCTTTAAGTTAATTTACATAACTGTTGACAGTTTGGTAGCTCAGGGAATAAGAACAATAATTAGTTTTTAGAAATAGTTTCGAAAAATCTATAAAATATTTTCCAAAATAAGTATATTTCGTTATACATTTCCGAATTTTGAAGGTACATGAAGTTAGAAATCGTATAAGTACTGTTGTGTTCTAAATACAAAACTAACATAATTTCTTCTATCTGTATGAACCTAACAGAATTAAGAAAAACTAAGTAATAGGTAAAGTCTGGAGTTAATATTACACAAATGATGTACGATATTGATTTACATTTGGAGCCTCATTCCAAATTAAATTATGTATACCTCCGTTGAACTTGAGACGCTTATTTGTGTCCAAAAAGCGCTCGAAAGACTTAAAGCCTTCGTGCTTGATGTATAGCGGCGACACGCGAACGCCGACCTTTATATTCAAATTTAAATCGCATTCAAATGTGTCCTTTGTCTATGCCACAGTTGACAATTCGCGGGCATTTCGAAAAAGGAACGCGTAAACGTCATATCACCGGCGAATTTTTCGTTTTGGCGCGTCGATATGCATCTGGCTTCTGGGGAACGTTCTTGGGTCTTTTTTTATTTGCACATTGTGTCCTAAGATATAGTTCGAGATCGGTAGATACTTGACGTGAGGGACTGATAAAGTTAGTGTTTTGCGGCGGTCAGGACGTTAACGAGCTGTTGAGTAATGAGACAGGCTATTGTGGTTTGAACAATGGCCGCCAAACGGCTACTTCCGATTCGCCATTGTTTTCTATTTTTGAAAATAATGGCATCTGTCATTACAAAAAATAGATGCCAGATAACAAAAATCAATATTTTTTAATATTTTTTAAACTCATACCAAAAGTATGCGTACGTCTCAATGTTATTTTATGGTAAAGAACCGATGTGTATAATTAGGTAGAACTTATTTGCTTTCCGAATCCGAAAGTTGATGCAAATCGTGGCGGAGATGCTTTGTAAGGTTGATCTGCATACAATGCGATGCAACGCTCCAGTTTTCTTGTAATTTACTGCTGATCCCTTAGCTTAGATGTCGTCGTAAGATATCGAGTACCAACCTAATTTAAAACAATTTAATTTTTTACTTTTTATTATATGAGAAAACATGCTTTGAAAAAAATATGTAAGGTATTTGATAAACACAAATAATGTTGTGTTAATTGTTAGCAATCCATTTAATTTCAATAGCTTTAACTTTTTACCAGTCTTCTTTATGTTATAAAAGTTCGCAAGTCGCTAAAAAGACCAGTTCTTATCAGCGAATATAATCAAAACATAACTGACGAGGGCGTGTTGATTTATGAATAAACAAAGCACTTTTTATCAGTCCTTAACTACCAATTAGGAAACGCGGAACGCCCTATGTTGACAAATTAGTGTGTTGTGAACTCGCCCTATTGAATACCAACATGGCCGACATTGCGACATATGTTGTTATTAGTTTTTTTTACACATATGTAAGTACTTATATAAGTAATTAATATTTATTCTCTGTAATTAAAATAGTTTTTATTGTAGCTTATCTACATTAGACGGGTATATAAGTGTTACTGCCACAATATTTGATACAATTTAACGAATATGTCGCTAGGTATATTATAATTTTTAAACGGAATTATTAAGAGTCAAGAGATAGAAAATAAGTATTTAAGCCCAGTTTATTAAACTCTTATCACATATTTTCGTATAACAATTATTACAGAACTTTAAAAATCCTTACGTACCTGGTAGGTAATTGAATAAGCTTAGGTTACTGAAGCGTCTATGTCCTAATAAAATAGATAGATAAATTACATATAAACAATACCTATGTATGGTACAGTAGTGGCTTCGTAAAGTGTAAAAATTATTATATAATAATAAAATATGCAAATCCCTTTCTACCAGTAGCTTATTTATGCAAAACTAATAACTTCCGTGCACATTGTGACAGTTATCTGCCAATTTTATCTTCGCCTACCGTGAACCGTTCGCCGTCGCTCTACTATCGATGGTCACTTACAATTTACATTTTGAATACAGCTTGTAGTCTGCACCTGCGATAATCCGCCATTTTTTTTCAATTTTTAATTCTCATTATTTTTAATTGTTGGTGATGCACTATCAATTATATGCGAATGAACGTCTGCTTTGTTAGGTTGAGGCCTTTAAATGTTTTGAAATTAAATTGAATATTAAATATATTGATTAATTTTATGGACATAATTTATTAGGCTATTTTTGAATGTAAGTACATTAATAGGCTAATAATAATAATGTATTTAGTTGTTTTTCTCTTTACACAGCCTATATTTAGTGGTATCTGTAAGATGACTTATTAATAAATACTACTTACTGAACACTTAATTATCTTTATTTTACCTTTCTTGTTCCATTATGTTTTTACTCCTTTATAAGGCATTGTTAGTCAGGCTGTAGGTACCAACATCGCGTCATCTAAATATTTGGCTCAATTCCCTGTAACAACGGATTTAAAGAAAATCTATGTATACACCTACAAACATAAAAGGAGTGGGTATTACACCACATTAAAAAAATAAGTGCCATAGTGAAGATGAATAAACAAACAATCAAAATAAATGATTGAATTCATATGTCGCCATTGTTGTCTGTTGAAGTTTTTTTTTTATTATTTTGGCAGTGTTTTGTCTTTGAATGTTTGGATGTATGATCGCATTTATAACTAGATTAAACTACGTTACAATTAACAGCTGTAGAACCGTTTCCATTGCCGGTGCCTATTAGAAGAAAAGTCGGCCTTCTTTTACGAAGATTCGAATTTTCACAATACATCTTCTAATGTAAGTAGCTACATAAGGTACCCAATAAGTACTTAATATCATTCATCAATTAAGTTCTTCCGCATTATAAGGTAAAATTAACTTTAAAAACTATTTTTGTATGCCATAGCAATGGACCCAAACGTAAACGCCGACAAAACATTTCAATTTCTAATAAATAGTTGCTCTGAATACCATACTTCATCAACCTACGATCTTTCGAATCTGCTACCCTCTTGCTACTGATCCCTGAGAATAACGTAATCATGGAATAAAGGATATGGTACTACACTTAGTGAAATTTGAACTTGCAATATTAAATTGATTATAGGAAATGTACCTAGATGCATTAATTACTAATGATAATCTTAAAATGTGAACTACCCGGTTATACGTCATTGTCACTAAAATAATGTTTTATCCCTGCTACAATCCGTTGTACTTGACTTTATCAGGAGATTGACGTTCATTAAAATAACATGTAGGTATAGTTCAAGCTACAAAGCGGTGCGTTAGGAATTTCTAGCTATCAAATCAGTGTTTTATGAATGACCCAAACTAATTATTTCGTCATACCTTAAACTTATTGTATCATGGCCACACTGACATTGGCAGTTACATTTTGACAGTTTGACTAATGCTACTCTATGGGCATGCGTTGTTTGACTGGCGCAAGTTTGGAATTGGGATGTCAACAGACTAATAATGACCTTTTGTTGATATTGATGGATTGATTGCATTGGAAATCTTAGGAACGGTCAAGACGTTGACTTTACAAATTGGTACATTTATTTAGACGTAGAAAGAATGAAATATACGTAAAATTTTGATGTTTTATTTACCTCCGTGGTTGTGATTTGGTTCGGATTATTAATAGCTAGACCAAAATAATCTACTTAAGCGAATCTCAATTTCTTATAGATATATAGTTTTGTGTGTGATACATAGGTTCAATGATTCTCCGCAATATTAATATTACTTACATATAATCAATACATATAATATTTGTAATATTGTATCCTATTATGTAATGTTATTACGAAAGTTGCTTCATACTTTGTTATAATTTATTTAAACCTTAAAATATCTACGGAGTACCTATGTGGTAGATTCATGTAAAATAATTTTTATTAATTATTTAATACTAGATATATTCGTGAATTGTAAATTTGAAGCTCAGATTTGTTTTAATATTAAGCACATTATATCCTTCACTGTCATGACAGACATAACAGTACTACTTAGATATTATTGAAAACTGTTATTTGAGTTATAAATACGTTCAAATTGAGTCATCTCAATACGACAACAAGGAATGTTGAGTGTGCTTACCAACTAAAATCTTATTAAAACCAATTAGAAAAGCCTTATAAATAAGCTTTAAGGTTGAAACTTGAAATCATTGTTAGAAAATTTACATTTGTTATGAAGCCGTTCGATCGCTACATACGATTAGAACCAATATTTCTTACTGACGACACGAATAATTTTGAGTCGTATAAACTTTGAATAAGTCTTATATTGCGTTTTAGATACGAGTGTTGGGCTTAAATTAAAATTGTTGTAGAAGTTCGATCGGTAGGTTCGATTAGAAGCAAGATCTGTTATCGAATGCCTGGAAATATTCGAAGGAGGTTGGAATGTCAACCACAATGTTTCGATGTTTGTTTTGAGGCATAGATAACAAAAAAGACATTTTTAAATTCAATTGTTTTTATGTCGGTTTCACTATATCTGTATTTGGGTAAAGAAACTTACAAGTAGGTAGGTAGGATTTTCAGGACCACCTAACTCGTTTTAAAAGCAGTTTAGCCTGATAAATTATTAATAAGTAGGTGAGTAGAGGTGTCCTCGAGCTTTAAATATTATTTATTTCAAACTTTTGTTAAAAGTGAAATCTTTGCTAAGTTTAAGACAAAAATAATTACAATCGAAGCTTTTTTTATTTCAAATAACGTGACTGGTAATCTAATCTATATCAAGTAGGTACTTGAGTTGAATACTGTCTGTAATTTACGCGAGTACCTACTACATATTTAAATAAAATAATTTAACGAAATAAATTAGACATCCTCCACCTTTAGTCTTCCCGCCACCACGGCTGCTGTAAAGTATCAGGAACGACGGCCGTAGTTAAAATAATTTTCAAATTAGTTAGCATATAATTCCTGGGGACTTAATGGATACATTATAATAAAAAAGGATTACCTTGATCCATGGTTTTCGATACACTCGTAGTAACTTTCTCCTGTAAGTGTAGTGGGTGAGTATTAAGAACTGATTACTTAGCCAGATCAATCAACTAATACCGTTAATAATGTCTTGCATCGATCTAATCGAGTTGAGGTCAGGTCTTCATCAGTCACAGGTTCGATTCGCGTGCAGCACAAATTGCGACACACCCCGCCTACTTTATAATTAGCCGCAAATTTCAAGCACGGTGAACACGCAACGTTTTATTTGGTGCTTTCGATTTTTACAATCTTGACTTCTAAATTATGTAGGTAATAAGTTTTCAGACCATGTGTCACTTTTAATACCATCATATAGGTACAAAGATATAGTTATATCATTATAAAAATCAAATAAATTGAAAAAATTTTCGACTGGCAGACTGAACCGGATCGTCAGCTTTCCGTGCTGTTGCTCTACCGGTCAAGCCTCCCCGAGTCGAAATATTTTTTCAATTTATTTTCGATTTTTATAGTGCCTTCATGTAATGTGAAAAATATTAATGTTTTCTATAAATACATACAACAAAATAAGATTATTTTGATATATATTTAACAACAATTATTTTCGCCCTTAATCGAATAACTGTTCCCATTGCTGGGACTTAGGTTTCCAAAAATGGTATATGGGATATGCCAGTACCTCACGATGAATAGGTACCATATTTAAGTAACGCTTTATAATTCAATTTATAATATTTAACTAAACACCTTAACGGTTTAAAATGCGATAGTTGATAGTTTTATTTACTTATGTGAAAAATATTTTAACTACGGGCCGACGTTTCGGATGCTTTGCAGCAACTGTTGTCACGGGGAGACCATAAGTACCATAGGGAAAATATAAAAGAATTATTATTTGTGTACATCTGGACAATCAAACTTCCCACGCTATGAATGAAAGTCTGGTGATTACATTTTCCCATAAACACGTGTGTTAAATTACATAATCTGCGTCGTGCTCACTCAATAAAATCATAGACAATTCCAATACACGATTCTCCTAATAATAATCAATGTTAAATACGAATATTAAACAGCCGAACAGACATAAATAGGTCGATTCGAATGCATAACAAATGATGTGATAATACAGACGGCGAGTTATTTTGATATTTCCATATTTATTTCATCTGCGAGCGGCATTTGTGTTTGTTTTTCTCCGCGAAATTATCCAGATATCGCTATCCTCTGATGTAATTTGTTTATTCCTTCAGCTTCAGGGTTGCTTATTTGTAATGCATTCCTGTTTGCCCGTAGGCCCGACTCTGGTGGGGCTGAGCTCATCTTTTGCTCCTATAAGAGAAGAGATATTGTCCCACAATTGGTTGCGTCCTTAAATCCGACTTGTAATACCGATCTCTCCCATTGACAATTTAATGTTAAAGGTACTAAACATACAAAATTGACAGGGTTTAAAAACATGATATCTTTCATTAGTAAAATAGCTATATAGATCTACTAAGTGTGCCTGCTAGATAGCTTGCTCGTCTAAATTTAATACTTTAATTGGTTTACAGCGCGAAATATATTTAGGTAATATTTTTACGAAACGCTGCAAGATTTGACGCTTGCAGTTGTGGTCACGAGGAAACTAATTATGGTGGAATACATTTCGCGGTTTAAGCGCCAATTTTTTTACTTAATATACATATACATCTATTTCTAGCGTAAACTACAGATGATCACCTACCTATCGTTAAACTTTATCAATTTCCACTATGGCAATTTCACCTCTTTTAAAGTCAGTAAAAGTGAGTGTGTACATGACATTGTAAAGTCAAAAACACCATCCTACCTTAACGTTAGGATTTTATATCCATCGCATGATTCATAATCATTTCAAAAAAATTATAACCTCGCGTGAACTTTGAGTTAAAGTGGAACATTAATCCGACGGCACACAAAGCGACCTGGCGGGTCCCTGCGGGGGGCTGGCAGGTGGTATTGCCATATTACAATATATACGGTGTTGCCGCTAAATAAAATAAAAGAACACCCGACACTGACGATGATACGTAATCTCGTCTTGGTTTTTTGACTGAATTAAAAGCTTTTTATTATTTTGTCTGCATATCTTGGGATAACAAGCGTTACTCGGTGGTATCGTTCAACTTTCTACTTAAAAAGTAACTTAATAAGAACAAATCAAATACGGAATATAAGTAAATTTGAATTTCAAGTATTTATATTATTACTATTTTATTTTTATTGTTTACGCGAGTTGTAGCTATTTAAAACGGTTAAAAACGCGATATATATTAGTTAAACTTATTTGAAAATTATTTTAATTACGGCCCGGCGTTCCGGATGCTTTGCAACAGCCGTGGTTATGGGGGCATTGCTTAAATAATTTTAACTAATATATATCGCATTTTAAACCGTTAAAGTGTTTTATTTAAATTTATTGTATTAGATCAGCATCACTGCCATGTGAAATTATTGAAGTCAAAAAAATATCAATTTAGCTTTTTAGTGGGATAATAAAAAAGGTATAAACAGATACCTAGTAGCAACAGAATAAAATTAATTATTGCGCAATGGCAGTGAAGCGAGCTAGGTCACTACATAGCCAAGTTGTATCGCGAGAGAAAGTGCTCGGAAGTAACTACAAGCTACATCTAGACTTTTAGATTCTAGGGCTGTCACTTTCAGTATTATTAAAAATATGATTAAGTATTTAAAATGTTCCTTAGAGACATACTCAAGAATTTAATTAATGTGTGTTTTCACTTTTAAATAATATTAAGGGAAGTAGTGATACAAATATTTACAGTTTACACGTTTAATATAAAAAAAACACTTAACAATAATTACACAATAATCAACAACAAATAACAAACAATGATCAACAAACAACGACACACAAATAAATATCACATTTGTATACAGGCGAGACACCGCTATGTACAAACCGGTGTTATCCAGATTTAACCGGTTGGAACCGGAGTCAACGAGCTCGCAGGGCGAGCTTTGTTCTAAATTGCTTTATTTACAAAACTGTCTCTCTCAGTTACTACGTAAAAATTTAAATCCGCTTTTATACTTTCAATAGGGTTAGAAATAAGGATCGTATGCGTATTTTTACAGAAATCATCCATTATTTTTCAAGGGCTCAAAAAACTCTATACAACATTTGCAAAGATTAAAGACAGTCTTGTTTACCATCATTTAGTGCTTGCCTCCCTTGTGGTGGTAGATGTGTTTGTAGACAGGTACGTGCACTGGGTATGGTTTTGGGATTGGTACTTCCACCTTCTTCTCAACTTCAACTGGATAAGGTTTCTCTACTTCGTATGGAACCGGTTTCTCCACCGTGTAAGGTACTGGCTTTTCTATAATTTGGGGTACGACCTGGAACAAAGATAATAAAATGTAAGTAAGAAGGCAGTAGGTACATATAATCCAGTTAAAGAGAGGGATCCACTAATGGCAGAGCGGTTAGACGGTGGATCTGACGTGGATTTTATAAGACCATTTCTCAAAGAAGAAAGACAAGTAGATACAAGAGATTTTAAAATATGGCTAAGTACCTATATATCTATATATAAATGTTTATATGATGCTCCTTTTTACTTAATAGTTTGTGATATTAAAATACTAATAACTATATATTTAAACAGAAAAGATTATTTATAATAAAATAGCCCATACATTCTGATACTAGAAATTATTAAATAGGTAGTTATTTTATTTAGTAGTAATTCTTATAAATAATGATATTACAATGTCAAGATTATCATCACTATCTGAGTAATGCAGTCCAGTTCTGTGTTGTAGGTAATTGAGTTAATAAAGCAATGAAAATTCATTGTTTCGAATTAAATTCGAATTGAAATTTAATCCTATTGTAGACAAATTTAGGTAAAAATACAATTCTGGTAATTTTATATTCTTACAAAGATTATAAAATTACAAATATTTTTTTTTGTATTTAGTTATTTACGTATTTACATTCTATTTGCCATGAATTATGACCTCTCTTATACTGATACCTATGTTTATTATATAGTGCTTAATATGAAATTAAAATTTAATTATTATGAATTATTAATAAATTAAGCCTTTTTATTGTACCTATTGCGCGAGATGAAAAGTTGAAAATTAAACAAACAAAACAATTGATCAATGGTAGCTGTCGCGCTATGCCACACTCTCTAAGTAGTTACAAAGAAATGTCACAATAGAATGATATAATCGGATACCGTGTTGATAATGGAGAATTAAGTTTCACTTTGGCGTAAATACCGATTCCAATCGTGAGTTGTCATTCCAATGTGTTAGTTCGTTTAATTTTAGACTAAAATTGTATTTTAGTCAATTTCTTGTGATAAAATAGTAAATAAAAGAACTGTTGTTCATACTACGAGTATTGTTAATATGTAATAGCATTGACCTTTTCAATAACTCCATTCCTCTATGATATATCTGGCCCGGTCATGGCTTAGCCGGATTTGGTGCTGATTGCTTCTACTTGTTTTGAATGAACCCCTAATCTTTTCTTATTTTTCATCAATGTTTTAAACATGGCCAGTATTTTTAAAGGTAAACAATGCGCAGAGGGGTTTATCCTCCAACTAATTTTATTTAGCAGTAAAACAAAAAAAATCTTCTTTGTCTTACTTATGCTTCTATTAGTAGTATCTAAAAATTACTTAACAGTTAGGTACAAAACCTTTTTAAAAAAGTTAACTGACCTTATATACAGGAACGTGAATCGGCTGTTCTACTGTGACGTGAACGGGATAGGGCTGCGGTATCGGAATTTTGACGTATTGAGGGACGGAGACAGCCACGGGATGTGGTATTGGCACGCCTATCTTCTTGACCACTGTGACATGGTAGGGCTTCGTGTGCTCGGAATGCGAGTGTCCTTCGGGCTCCCAGCCATCTGACGGTCTACCTGAAGCGAAGGCCGCCAGGAGGAGGATAGCTGTCGTTGTCTGAAATCAAGGATTTAAAAATGTTTATTTTCTAATTTAATAAGCAAGATACTTATATTTATGAAATAAGTACGTACGGTAGATAATAAAACCAATATTAGGTACAATGAGATTAAAGAAGTAAAATTGTAAATATGTGGTACATTTTTATTTTATTGTGTTTGAAAGTTCATTAAACATTACTATACGTCTTCACAATAAAACTATAAATAATAATAACTTATTTATTTAAAGTTATTAGTAGAGTGTGTAAGTACGGACGTTAATGTCACCATAGTTTCAAATCAACCCAGTTGATACCATGGTATTTAAATTGTCAGGACACTTCCTCCGTAAGTACCTTATCATTAAAAGCTAAGCTTTCTTGGACACAGCTAAGACGCACTTCCTAAGTAAACATTTTAATAGTTTCCGATAAGAAAGCTCAAAGACACATAGATTATCAAGATTCCTCCGAGATAGGAAACAGTTTAAACGGAAATTAATATCACAGATTACATCACAATTTAGAACTATTACTTTTCCGGAAATTAGAGACTTGAAATGAAAAGTTGGATCAAATTTATCCTTTCACTGTATTGACGTGGTAGGTACTTGATTTTCTTGAGAAATACGATATTTGTAACTAATATTTTTAAACACTTTGACGGTTTAAAACGCGATATATATTAAATCTTTAAAGTGTTTTATTTAAATGTTTATTATTCGCGTAAACTACAGACAGTTTTTTAACTAATATTTGGTTTAAAATTAGGTTAATTAACTTTTGAGAAAATTCTTTGTCCAACGAGTAATCTTTGACAAATATTGTGAAATAGCTTTGCCATAAGAATTTTGTAAAATCCATATTTTTGATTGAACATTTTTTCTCTGTATTCCATCGAATATAGTATCGTTTATAAATTATAAATGTTAACTTTTATTGTTGATCTGTACAAAAACTTATTGTTACGCTATTTGGCTATCTGTGGTACAGGTATCGGAATTCGGAAGTCCAATGATGTAATACAGATAAAAAATAATTGCTACACTTACATAAGCGATCATGTTGATGCACTTGGATGCTGTTGCGCTCACAGTAATAACTGATGCTGTTTACTCTCCCCGCGAACATTTTATACTTGGTGAAATGTATAGCTCCTTTCCATTATGTGATAGGGAACTCTCACTAGTTCATTACCTCGGTGGAACGTTGCGGTCTTACACAATTTTCGATGACCATTGCTGCTTTTGTTCGTAGCTTTCGTTCTTAAAGAAAGTTTTTACGTACCTGACGTGCAATGTAAGTCGATTATCTTTTGTTATCGTTGTAGTTATAACAAGATGTAGGTTACATTGTTAAAGTGGAGTCAATAGGGACTTTTTTTGTTTCGCTATATGTGATGTTTTGGTAAGTGTCTCAGTATTTGAAAGTGAAACTTTACTATTATTTATAATGAATCTAAATTCTATATTTTTTATAAAAGAAACAAGAGACGATTTAAGTTTTAATATACCTATAGGTACATGTTTTTCTCTTTCGGCGACTGCGTGGGCCAACAGTTAGCAGTCACAAAGGCACAGTGCACAAAAGGAATTTGGGTTCGAATCCTCGAAAAACATAATAAATTTTTTCCTTGACATAAGGCACGGAAATTGAGAACGGGAAATAGAATCGATCAGCAGCCACAAAAATGTGTCTAACCCTAGCCTTACATAGGGAAACGAGATTACACTCTAAGTTTTTTAAATACTTAGATCAAATGAAATAAAAAATAATACCTATTAAAATCAACTTGTCTTAGTGTTTGTGCCATTTTAACACTAAAACCACGGTAAAAATGTCTTCCATTGCAGTAACATGATTTTCAACGTACTTTATAAGAATTGCTTGATGGTAAATTGTAATACGATATAACTAGTTACAATCTAGGCTCATCTTAGCGCATACCTAAATTATTTTTGTCAACAAAATGAATTACACTTATAAAATAATTGTTATAATGTCATTTTTAACTGTCAATATGTTTTAACGGCCGACTGGAAATGTAAATAGTAAGGCATGGGGACAAAATTCAGCTGTAGATGCTTATATTTTTTCTTCTGTACTCAATTAATTCTTACATTCCATTAGATACTTTCCTGTTTTAAACAGTACTTTCTTAGATTGCAATATTTATTAGAGTACAAAAGACTAGATGCGTTAGAGATCGACGTAAGGTTATTACTTTTGTATCTCTACTAAAACTGACCGAGTAATAACGGTGATGTAATTGTAAATACGTGATGTGGTTTAAGTGAAAGAAGTTTGTACACTCACTATTTGTAAGCGATCGCGCTATACACCATACGTAAATATAGTCTGTATAATTAAATTAATTATTATTTAACTCCTAAATAAATGAGAATAAAAATTGTTTACATGTTCCAGGTATTACTATCTAAATTTCCAATTTGTATATGTTAATGTACACGAGAACTCTCATATTTCGTACTTCCTTAACACATTTTTACAGTAGTATTTAAATAAAACACTTTAACTGTTTAAAACGCGATATATATTAGTTGAACTTACTTGAGAATTGTTTTAACTGCCGCTCGACGTTTCTGATGGTTTGCAACAACTGTTGGGCTACTATATATCGCGTTTTAAACTGTTAAAGTGTTTTATTTACATGTGTACTACTCGCGTAAAGTACGTACCTACTTTACAACAATATACATAACGACGTAACAAAAACGCCATTGCTTATAACTTGGGCTGCGCTAAATTTTTATGCGAGTTCCGAGCGGCGAAAAAACCATCGCGTTTTGTTCTTGTTTCTTATCGTTCACCTCTCATTGCTATTAATTATTTATGCCATTACTTTTATTATCACTATCGAAACATTTGCACACACAACGAAAGATGCGGAAGTGCTTTGTAGTTTATGTATGGCGAAATGAGAGATCTATACCACCAATATTAAACGATAATGTGCCCTTCACAAGTTATTGTATGTGCTCAGCCTTCTTTTGTTGAAAAATTAAAAACACCTCTAGATAAACCCCGTCATCCAACTCATTAACTATGGACCAATGACCAATGGTGTATCAAGTTGTACCGTTTAAATAAAACACTTTTAACGGAATAAAACGCGAATTGTATTAGTTTTGTTTTAAACCGTCAAAAGTGTTTTATTTATATGTGCACTTTTTGCGTTAACTAAAAACAGTATTTGTTAGTACTATCTGTTTTAAATCACATAAGAGCCCTATATGTGCATGGGGCGAAAACTTCGGTCACTTAGTAAATTTATAAATACTTAATTAATTAGTTTTGTGATCTCCGCCAGTATCGGTACCTTAGATACCCTGGGTTTTCATCCAGGATTTCATTGAAGCCGCGGTAGCTTAAATATAATTCTTCAATCTTTAAAAACCTTTACTATAAAGATTTTTGATTTTGATTTTGACTTACCTTTCTCCAAAATGTAATCAGCGTTTGCTTAAGTGTAGCTTATTGCTTATACTTTTTGCAAGGCGTTTATATTTTCACTGTATCTTTTGCACATGAAGGCCGCTTAGAAAGAGTTAATGAAAAATATTTTAGCCTTATAATTTGTTGATAAAGACCAAACAAAGTAGGTACATTGATATAATTAAAATATTATCACACAACTCGGAAAGACTGCTGTATGCATTTTATGTACTTATTCTATTAGGTTAGGTTAGCACATTCAACCTAAACAATGATGTGATTATAGAACTTATATGCAAAAAAAGTCATTGAATAAATTGATGAAGAATATAAATTAAAATAATCTTACCTTTTTATAATTATCAAAAAATTAGAGAAAGGTATCAATTTGGTGGTTTATTTTTCAAAAAAAGTTGTTAAGATTGCTTAACTCACAAACCTATATTGCAAGTTAATATGTACTGTATTTTAAAAAATAAAGTTGTTATTAAAATCAATTTGAGCTATAAAAGAACTTCAATTGACCATGTGAATTGACGTAAGATCCAGTCAATGCAGATTTACACCACAGACCATCTGTTACCGCTATCTTTTTTAATATTAATGGCGGGTCACAATGACCACAGACAATACAATTAGTTTTGTTTTAATTAATTATCTGTAGTGTTAATTATTTGACAGTATAATTTGTGGACGTTTGGTGTGAATAAATGGGGAACCGTTGTTTTAAACGCAAGATTTATTGGTTTACAGTTACTTATCTTTTAATCGATGAGCAACATTGATTCTTCTTGTTGATCATTAGTTTGAAACGTGCGACCTGTTTCATTGTAGACTTTTTTATGTATATGTAATTGTGAAATGGTGTTTATGGTATTTTGTTGAATCATCGATAGACCAAAATAAAGTTTATTATTTGAAAAAAAAAAAAATATTTTCTGTTGGTAGTTGACGCCGAACTAGGTTCCGCAGCCGTGATCACTAAAATCAATTCTTCCGCTGCATTGCAGCACTAGATTGATATATATTTGTAGGTAGATAACGTGTGTAATGTGTTTTTTCTTCATTGATGGTGTAAATGAATAATGCTTGCCCTTGTGTGGCATGTGACTCGATGTGTTCGAGCTGGTTGTAGGTACTAACCATGTACCAGTACCAACCATGGAAACGAGAGTCGACCAGTACCACTAAACATACGCCGCTTTCGAGGGAGCCCTGGGAACTCGTTTGTACGACTCCAAAGCTGAAATAGTATGTACCACCTATATACCATTTAGGTATTGTGTAATTATAATAATCAAAAGATTATATTTTGGACTTCTTTAATGAATTGAAAATCGATTTTAGCTTTTTTTACGATACGGGCTGGACTTGAACTGACCTCCAAAGCGTTCTGTACCAACTGTCGTTCTAAAAAAATGAGCTAGTGTGTCTTGTCTTCGACCGCTTGTGCCGTTACGGATGCCGGTTCAAGTTCTGATCGTGGCGTATTAAAAACAAATTAAAATGTTATTTTAATTTATTCCATGTATTCTTCTGCTTCTTGAATGATTTAAACATTCTTTGGCATTTTATCCCTGGCTTTTAATAAATTTGTTGTTTTTAAGTATGTAGAAATCAAAAACTTATAAAATTGATGATATCTACATAATAGAATATTTCCTAAGGTTTTTGCTAAGAACACGCGATAAAATGAAACGCACTAGTCTAAAGCTTTACTGCCTGCGTAGCTCATTGGTTAACATTGTATTAAGCGTTAAAGTTTCAAGGGTCTAATCTCGGGACAACGACGTAATAGGTAGGCTAGAGCAATAAGTATATAGGTAGGCTAGAGCAATAATTTCACTTTTTTCGTCTCTATCGATCAGCGATAGAGACGAAAAAAGTGAAATTCCGTTTCCCCAAGTGGGGCATGGGGCGAATACATTTCATCCCTTTTGCTGATTGGATTTATTTATTTCATCAGACATCTGTGAACTGCCCGACCGAGATTCGCATCCAGGATCTTTAGCGCTTAACGTTGCTAGGCAACACGTTTATCATTTCAAAATATTAAATAGCTTCACAAAAGTAAGAAGTATAACCTAACCTAATCTAAGCAAAAAGAATTTATATAGGACACGGACTCTGTTTTTGACACTATTCCTTTTCATTTTCGTTAGAATACGTCTGTTTACTATAGACGTAGGTACTTAGGTTGCCTATAAATAAAATCGATCAGTAAAACTTAGACAATTACAGGTAAAAGAAAGGTTTGATAGTAAATCAGACTTAAACTAAAGTTAAATGTAACTTAATTAAGGTTTGAGTTTAACTGAATTTTTTAGCTTTCTATTTAGTATCCGTACTTTCTAAGAAAGACGAAACGACGAAAGGTATTTTGTATACAAATAGGTCCCTTTTTTCTACCTAACATTTTCTTCTTTAGAGCTACCTACCTACTACCTACCTGCTTCCAACTTATAAAAGTAGGTATACCTATCTAAATGGCTGTAGTAGCCTGAAGCTATTCCAAAGCTGAAATCCGTCCGAGAAGATGTTCTAAGTAGCTAACACCTATTTTAACAGTTAAAACCCGAAATATAGCAGTTCGATGATTTAACCCGCCCCGACATATAAAAGTTCCCTAGTACCCGCTACCCGATATATTTCGCGTATTAAACCGCGTCAAAATGATTTATTTAATGTGTATCTCCCACTTAAGACAATAGGTACGTTTGTTAGATAGTGTGATAAGTAGTGTTGTTATTATTTTAGCTACGGCCCCAAGTAACTCCGAGACT